TCGCCATAGGTTTCATGTATAGTATCTTTGTTGTTCGGCACCATAAACGATAGGTTGGAAATTAGGTACCTGGTGGTCGCGAAGAAAGATGTTAAAGGAATACTTACTTACTTACGCCTTTTACTCCCAGTGGAGAGTTGGCTATCGTCCAGCATTCTCCAACCCACTCTGTCCTGGGACCATCTTTCTAGCTCTATCCACTTGTTGTTCATTCTTCTCATGTCTGTCTCCATTTCCCGGCGCAATGTGTTCTTTGATCTTCTTCTTCTCCTTTGACCTTGAGGATTCCATGTGAGGGCTTGAATTGTGACGCAGTTGGGTGCCTTCCTTAATGTGTGTCCTATCCACTTCCAGCTCTTCTCCCTAATTTCTACCTCCGCTGGAATCGGTCTATTCTCTCCCACAGTAGGTTGTTGCTAATAGTGTCCGGCCAACGGATCCGAAGTATTTTGCGTAGACAACTATTAATAAACACCTGTATTTTCTGGATGATGGCTTTCGTAGTTCCCCAGGTTTCTGCCCCATACAGTAGAACTGTCTTGACATTTGTATTGAAAATCCTGACCTTGATGTTGGTTGACAGTTGCTTTGAGTTCCAGATGTTCTTCAGTTGTAAATATGTTGCTCTTGCTTTGCCGATCCGCGCCTTCACACCTGCATCAGATCCACCATGTTCATCAATGATGCTGCCCAGATATGTAAAGGTTTTCACATCTTCCAAATCTTCTCTATCAATTGTGATTTGATTGATGCATGCTGTGTTGCGTTGGAGAATCTTGCTTTTCCCTTTGTGTATATTGAGACCTACTGCTGCTGGGACTGCTGCTACACTGGTTGTCTTCTCCTGCATTTGTTGTTGCGTTTGGGATGGAAGGGCCAGATCATCTGCGAAGTCTAGATCGTCCAACTGCATCCTAGATGTCCATTGTATCCCATGTTTCCTTTCAAATGTTGACGTCTTCATGATCCAGTTGATCACCAAGAGAAAAAGGAATGGTGAGAGTAAGCAACCTTGCCTGACAACGGTCTTTACCTCGAACGAGTGTGTCAATTGTCCTGCATGTAAGATTTTGCAGTTTAATCCATCATAGGAATTCCGTAAGATAGTGACTATCTTCTCAGGCACACCGTAGTGTCTAAGAAGCTTCCATAGTGTTGTCCTATTCACGCTATCAAATGCTTTCGCGTAGTCAATGACGTTGATGTAAAGTGATGAATTCCATTCAATTGATTGTTCCACAATGATCCGTAGAGTTGCGATTTTATCTGTACACGATCTATCCTTACGGAATCCTGCCTGTTTGTCACGAAGTTGGGCGTCTACGCAGTCCTTCGTTCTGTTTAACAATACCCTGTTGAAAACGTTTCCTGGTATTGAGAGAAGAGTGATGCCCCTGTAGTTATCACAGTTGCTGAGATCTCCTTTCTTTGGTATTTTAACCGGTAGTCCTTCTTTCCAGTCTGTTGGTACTTGTTGCTCATCCCAAATCTTATTGAAGAGAATGTGGAGTATCCTTGCAGTTGCCGCTACGTCTGCTTCCAGTGCTTCTGCTGGAATATTGTCTGGTCCTGATGCTTTGCCACTCTTGACTTGTCTGGTGGCCATGCTGACTTCTTCAATTGCTGGTGGGTCAACATCGATTGGGAGGTCCGTGGGTGTTACTTCGATTTTGGATGGGTTTATTGGGGTTGGTCGATTCAAGAGCTCTTTGAAGTGTTCTACCCACCTGTTTTGTTGCTCTTCAATGTTGGCGATTATGTTGCTTTCCTTGATTTTCGCCGTTCGCTCTGGTTTATGATAATTTCCAGCGAGTTTCTTTGTTGTGTCATACAATTGTTTCGTGTTTCCTCTTCTTACAGCCTTTTTCGCCGTCATTGCTAAATCCTCCACATATTTACGTTTTTCGGTTCTGATGCTCCTCGAAGTAATTGCCTCTTTGATCCCCTTCCTGTTGCTCTCCACAGTAGTCTCCTCTCAATTGAGTAGATCGTGAAATACCTGGAACCGATTGCTCAAGGCCATCTTGAATTTGTTAAGTTTGTCAGTATCCCGAAGAAAAGCCGTATTAAACTTTTGCGATGCTGTCCGCCCGAATGTCCAGTGCTTATTGAGTTTCAGTATCATCTTAGCAACCAGTAAATGATGAGCTGATGCTATGTCAGCTCCTCTCTTGGTTCTCACATCTTCCATCGTCCTCCTGAACTTTTTTTGATGCAGATATGGTCGATTTCGTTTTGCGTAGTGTGATCCGGAGAAGTCCATGTGGTTTTGTGTATGGGGTTATGTGAGAACATAGTGCCTCCTATGACCAGTTTATTGAAGGCACATAGGTTCGTAAATCTTTCGCCATTTTCATTCCTTTCTTCCAGTCGCCGTCGCCCCATGATGTCTTCATATCCGGTGTTGTTCATTCCAACCTTGGCATTTAGGTCTCCCATCAGAATGGTTAAGTCCTTTGTTGGGCACTTCTTGACGATTAATTGCAGTTTATCGTAGAATTGACCTTCAAGGTTTTCATTGTAGTCGTTGGTCGACTCATAGCATTGGATGTCGTTCATTGCAACTCCCTCTTACTTTGTTTTGGTGATTCTTGGTCCATGAGATTCTCATCGTATATGTGCGTTTTTTGCTTGTTTGGACAGTATCAATGCAAAACCTTTTATATGTGGGGCATTTTCCTCATGACCGGAATATAAAAGAAGCTTCCCTGAAGCTAGTCGTTGTTGTCCAACCTGCATCCAATAAGTTTCACTGATTCCAAGCACCTCAAGGTTGTATCTCTTTATTTCCGCAGCGGTTTGGAAGAATCTCCCATACTGTACGAGCATTCTGTGTACCTAAATTAATGGTTGCGCTGGTTTTCAGAACAAGCATCAGCTTAGTGACTTCCGAATGAACTCGGCTTTCATCATGAGGCGTCATAACTCTTCTAAGTGAAGACCTAACTCTCAGTGACGAGTTAAAATGGTTTGGGTTTTTTTCTGTTAAGCGTTTTTTCAGCGAGTTAGTTTTTTACAAGATGAGGTTGAGCAGTTTTTAGTATCAATCAGGGTAGTAAGCTCATTATGTTTACTAGTAAATATTACATAAGACAGTACATGTAAGCATCAGTCAACAGATTAATAGAATACTGATTTATCGTAAGTATAAAAAGATCGATTAAGTTAAAGTTAATATGAGAGATAACAACAGGCCGCGTTTCTTTAGTCGTTCTCACCAATGTTAAACTATAGCGGAGATAAATATTGGTACGCTGGAAAGACTTGTTGAGAAAAATCAGTTAGTCGTTTTATGCGAAATTACACGGTGCTCGTGTAAAATATGAAAACCATGTAATAAACGCCTCATCTGCCCCTCTTTCTGGAGTTGTCTTTTACATAGTGAATGTCTCTTCTAATCCTGTTGTTATTCCGGTCGCTCTATATTTCTATCCCCTTTCCTTAATTTCAATCTTCTGCTGGTTAACAGTCCACTTCCAATCGCCGCTACATTTCACTTGTGTCTGTCTATCCGGATGTCCATACTGACTCACCCTACGTGACATTCAGAAGTTGTGTCTAAGGGATCCTGAAGAACACACTTAGGATGAGGGTAGGGTAACATTTCTAGTGTAACAAAACATGAGGCTTCAAAGAGTGATCACACTGGTATGGCCAAGCAATGTCCTTTCGATTCTTTCCTACTGCGTTCACTACATCTATCCTTCTCTTTCGGTATCACTGTTTTATTCCTTGATTCGGCTATCATCAGGGAATAGAAGTTACTTTTCTTATTTGAAGGAAAAGAGTGTTGCTGTTGTAAACTTTGCTTCCTCATCGCTTGAGTAGATCGAACTGATATAATCTTTGTAAGCTTTCCCTTATAGACAGGATAATGTTTGTGCACTTTTAAGTCATCACACTTACCTGAATTTTTCAGACTTAACTGTACATATCCTCACTTAACGACGTTTTGCACTGTATGGCGTGAGCTTTATTTTTCTGTGTACTTTATACCTACTATCAGAACCATGCCGAGCCCATCCATTACACATTGATCTAACGAGAGCGGAAGGATAAGTGCCTGACGTTTAGATAGATGGAAAACGGAATAAAAACTGTATCAGTTTAGAAGTCACACCAGGTATAGCAAAAATTACAAAGTGGTTCTAAAAGTAAATATTCCATAGGTACCTAGAGCTTGCCAACTCTGCTGTCTGTAACGCCTCTTTAAGCGAGGATCTCACAGCCAGTCAGAAGGGTTGTCAAAAACAAAGAGGTCCGAAAATATATTTGGAAATTGGTCGACATGTATAGAGAGATTAATACAAACTGACCAGTTGTTGTAATAAATGTGCTACAAACATTTAGATTATAAAAACTATATCCTAGCTACGTACATCCGTTCTGTTACTCGATTATCAGGATTTGGGAAAGAACCACACTATCACATGAAATACACGCAAACGGCTTAGTCTAACGCATCAGTCTCTTCTTAAATTAGTCATTTAGTAGAGTTCATCTTTTGTTTGGTTTGTGCCTAGACTAAGGATGCGCTTCATGCTAGGCGATTTAAATAGTTAACATGTATGAGAGAATGGGAAAAAGAAAAGAGACAATATAAAACTCCATCCGATGACTCATAAGGTACTCATAATACACTATTGCTCGATGATGAAAGTAGTCAAAAACAATTAACTGTAAAACAATCGCGAGATAACGATGACCTAATACCCGGAGCAAGAAATTCATCTTAATGAATTATGTGGCCGAATTTCAGGGAGACTTCAAAGATTTAGTTACTACCTCAATTATTTGTTACTACATAGTAGGTAATCTGACAGAGACCACTTTATGATACAAATAGAATTCTAACAATAGGCAGAAGCTATCAGGAAGCAAGACAAGCGATTACTTTATTCTTTTTAAGCCCATAACATTTCATAACAATGACTGTGGCAGCCCAAGAGATGATTAGTTTAAATTATCTAAATATTCAAATATTGGCTTTGGAAACTAGGAGCGCTGTTTGAAATGAAGGTCGCCCTGTCGGTTATTGCGTTTGCACTATTTGTTCATCAAGGACATGCCTTAAAGCCTGTTAGTTGTTTGTTTTTATATAACTAAGGTGTTTTGATTCGGGTTGTATGTAAAAGGGTTAAAAATAAAGGTAACAGTAATCAAGTATGAGATATAAGAAACTTGGTATGGTTATATGCCTATATCGGCGTATCCATAGCAGTATGCGTATGTATATACATTTCCAGAAATTTTCAAAGTTGCTGATAACAGGTACACTCTTTACGAGCACAACAGGGACATCTTGAGACAAATGTAATTCAACATTTGTTTATAACACAAGTTCTATCTTTTTTGATACCTCAAACAACCAATAAAAAAAAATTCAAGCCAAAAAATGGATAATAAAAAAGACGTTCTGTTTAAAAGTAAGGGAGGATCCCAAATTGCAACGCGTCAAATAGTCATTTCCGCCTGTCATTGGGAAATAATGCGAGATTCTTCCTCTCTGTCGCTTTATGTTCGAACTGTCATCAATTTGTTTATTTTCGCCTTAATTCATTCAGAATGGTCTTCTTGTTTGGCTCCAAATGTCCTGTGTTTGCTTTAATTTTCATTACTAAGCACGACGACTACAACCAACTACATTGAAAAACTATGCGTGGTTAAAGACACTTATCAACACGAAATAACATCATAGCGTACAAGGAAACGGATGCTCGACCAAAGATCTCTACGTATTTTCATTGTAAGTGCAAAGTTCTGGCGTCATTTAGAAGATCTACAATGTAGGTTACATGTAAGGGATTATTATATAATATCATATATCAATCATATCTATAGACAATTCAGCGTGTAGTCAGGCGAAAAGTAGACGATTTATCGACAATCAAACATGAGGCAACAAAATTGGTGAATTTTGTATTATTTCCCCATGACGTGAAAAAAGAGACGTTTTGTTGCATTTCACTTTTATTTCCTCCTTACTTTCTAACAGAATGTCCCCTTCGTTGGTTGCTTTGTAGTTCAACCCTTTTGATTAGTTTTTGTTGGCAAATTATCATGATAATATATTTCTTTGTATTTCATACTTAAGAGATTTCAGATTTCCTCAATACAAAGTATGAATTCTGTCCTCAGTGCCAATGAGTATTTTTCTTATGTACCCCAAAACATAAAATTTTAATGTCCGGTTGTCTTAGTCGTTAATTAGTTAGTGAAAATTAGTAGGTTTGATCGATCACGCCTTTTGATCCTTTTTATAATAACCTTGGAGATAGTTTCAAAGTTATGATAAAGCTTACACATTTTAAAACTCAAATCCCTATATATGATACAAAGTGTCAATACAAAATCGCTTCACACCTAGCAAATGGGGCTAAAGATTTAACTGCTGTGTTTCCTGTTAACTCCAACGTTTGTAAAGGTCTATCACAAACTTAGTACATACGTATCTAGTACTCAATAATACTATATTTAATAAGGAATGGACTGGCCACTTGGACACAGTACTCTAGGTGGGATCTCGAATGGGTTGGACATAAAATATTGTAAATGTGTTCGATAAAGCATCTGAAGGCTCTGTGAAGTAACCATAACGATGAAAACATTTAGCAGCCATTGCACTCCGATCTGAAGATAATTTCAAGTCATAGCTCACAATGACTATTAGGTTTTCTGTTCTTAATCTTATGGGAGCTGTGTTCGATAGATGGTGTATTAATGACCAAGTCGACTCATGACAATTTGTCCAGAATGAGTTCCAGAGACATTTCGTATGCTTTAACAGCTTTCAGATGGCCTACCTTACGTCCTCAATAATATGAAAGGGTTTTTGGCTTCTTAAAATGTGATATTGATTTCATCAATACTCCAATGTGTTAGTCCATTTCAACCTTCTAGTTATTTAAGACAGTACTGTCTCTTACGGCTGATATAACTGTGATAATAGTAAACGGAGTCATTTTCAACATCATGTTACAAACCCAAATTACACTTCAGCGTGATTACTATTTGTCGTTTCGGGTAAGCATTAAACACCTGCAACATCATCGCAATAATGTATGAAGACGAGATCTGTGCAAAGTTTTGTATTCGCTGCTTTTGTGAATGATTTGAACTCTGACCTGTTACTGCGCCACATCTAGCTTGTCGCTATAAAGTGAGTTAATTGTGACAGTTGGACGTGAATTGGACTGAAGTACTTATTTTTTCTGTGATAGGCAAAAATGTTTAAACTTAACTAGCTCATATATTTTAGTTAACTGTTTTTAAAGGAATGGTCGTTTCAGTTGATACGACCACTTGATGTAGGATACTGAGTTAAGATCGAGTATCGGTTGATAAAAATGTGAATCATAACTTGTTTGAGTGTCTAAAACGTGTGTTATGTATACCCAGGTACTATTTACCTTTACGTTTAATCCTGAATAAAGTAGATTGAAAGAGTGCTAGGGGCGACCAAACCACGACAGAAACATTCCACGAAGTCATTTACTCTTGGTTTAAGTGCTATTAGTAGGTATAGACTGCTTGCCTGGGATTCATTGGCACTACTATTAATATTACTTTGGTACTCGTTTACCTCACAATACTGGTGCGCTGTGGTAATTTAGGTCAATAGACGTAGTTTTCAGGTTGTATGTTGCTTGTGACTAGTTGAATGTTTATGGTGATAAAAACCATGGGTCAGCTTAGTTCATATAATTTAAGTCTTCTAGCATTTAGGAGTTTTACGTCAATGTAGGAAAAATATAACATAAGTAAAGCTGTAAATCAGTAGTTTATGTTTTCAATATGTTACTCGTACTAATCCTATTCCCCATTTAAGGGTTTTCACTAGTGACGGTATTAGCTTTCGCTTCATCCTTTATGAAAGTACATGTATATATCTATATATCTATTTATATATAGTTACAAATGCTATTATATATGCTTTTCGTTACCTATATTATTATATTTGCTTATTTGTATTATTCAACCTCGATTTAGTCAGTAGAGATTCTAAAAGTTTACAAGGGTGATAATGTATCGAGTCATCGGTGCTTTTATATTTCACAGACCGGAAAGTTGGATCCATTCCTAACAACGGTAAGTTTTGGTCAATTTACTTTTCTAGTGACGTAATTGCATTTGATTCGATTTTTATTCGAGCTAAAAACATTGTTAAATCTTACTAGTTCAGAATAGTTTGCTGAATTTATTAAATGTGTACCTTACATACGGACATCAAACAATAAAGTTTTCTTTCCTTATTCAATACACTTTTCGGACATAGAAAGATCGTTAAATATGGAACTATCCTTCTCCAAAATCTTTGATCATCAGCTTACTGTATCTTTCCAGGGCCAACAATTTACAGCTTGATCATGTATGTGGATATGACTTGAGTAGCAAATTCAAACTCGTTTGAAATTATGTCTGCTCCAAATTATCGTTCGCTGCTTGATGTAAATCAGTTAGTTTTGAGTTATCTTCATTTGGTTTCGATGCTTACGTTTATTAGTGAAACTATGTGCACTTTTTTCCATAAGTGTTTCGCACTCTGTATTTTTAGTAGGACTAAATCGTTTTCTGCTTGTAATGTCAGTGTCAGAGCTTTACCTAGCCAATAATGTAACAAAATGCCACTGCACTATTATATTCCAAAACTATCCCCAGGTAGTGGTGATAGGGCAATGTTGACTAGCATATATGGTATGGTAGTTTATGGATCTAAAACTTTGGCTTTAAAGCTACTTGGGTTTTAGCAGTCAGTTATCATCCCTAATCATTAAGTGGTTTGTTTAATTCGGTCCGCAAATGCCGAAATACTCTCACATGGCCACGTTCATGCAATCACTACCAGAGAAGTCCTACTCACTGTCTTCTCGCGGCACCGGTGTTGTCTACGAAATCGAGAGTACGAAAAGCGAATGTTTGGCGCTTTAACCGGGTTGGTGGACACGGAGGTCACCGGCCAACATAGGACTACATCAACTCACGTTGCTCCACTGCCTTGTAGATCAGACCTTTAGGTCGAAGGTTCCTGGTGTGTCCCCATAAGAAAACCATCTGCTTCGATTTGAGCATCCGGGCAGTGTCACAGCACACAGAAAAAGCAAGTGATTTGTGTGGTGCATATGTATTCGGCGTCCCTTTGTACCACTATTTGTGTGTTCAAATAAATAAATAAATAAATTCGTAAACAAATTCTTGGAAATATTTTCTCATTCACTTCTAGTTGTACTTGTTTCCTCTGCAAGTTTTGAATTTCTAATGTATTAACGGGGTATTTTTTGTATGAACATAGGGTTTTCCAGTCAGGTTTTATTTTCAGTATATTGTATTATCTTTTTTATCCTTCTGTATCACTCGTCAGGTACTTGTCCCACAGCGTTTCGTTTTTCACTAAGTAACATAATCGTTTCTGAAATGATATATGTTTCCACTCCTTCCTATGTTCCAATTTCAAGGTGGCAGTCGAAGGATTGTTGTATACTTTCACTCGTTGGGTTTTTATTGATACTTCAAAGTATTCTTAATGATTCCAATTTTCTCATGATATATCGGTGTCCATACTACCCGTTTCTAAATCAGAACATAATATAAAAACACAAAGTTGTAATTGGTTAGTCATTTATCAACTAAAAATTTATTTTTGTGATTTTTTGACCTATACTTTTATCAGTTTTCTGACTTTCGATGTTTGTGTCTTTCAAAAAGTGAGTATTCTAAACTTAGAAATTGCAATGAAGATTTTATACTAGATTATAACCCTCCTTTCCTTAGTGATCACATCCCTTATGGATTTTGATTATTTCATATAGTATTTTTCACATGTGAACTTATATAGTCTTTATGAAATAGTGTTAATAAAAAGTAGTTCCGAGTTTTATGTTTTTCATTAGATGATTAATCTACATCTTTCCGGTATAACAAGAAAATTTATCATTCTGTTTTCAAACTTTAAAACCGTGGAATGTGATTTATGAGTTCCAAGTGTTATAATACCTCTATCCTATTAAGTAGTTCATTTTCACTCAACTATCTCGTATTAATTTACTTCACTAAATAGAATAATCATCTAGCGGTTTTTATACCTCTCGTGTACCATACGATTGTTCACTCTGTTTTATTCTTGTGTCATGCGGATTTTATCGCTCAACTGAAAATGGTCGTTTAGTGTCAATCATTGTTGCACTAAAGTTGGCGATATTAGTCAACGTATATCATCCAACGAATGTAGTATGATCAACAGACTAAGTTAAACGTCACATTTTACTTAACTGCTTCTTAGATATTTCAGTGTTTAGAGCACGTCGACTTGGTTACTAACTAAACCACTACAAGTTAAGCTGTTGATACAAACTGGTCATAAGAAGATAACCAAAACTGTGGTTAACGTTTCCGATTTTATCTAATTAAGGTCAATCCGTGATATAATTATTAGAATACAACAGAATAACATACTGAATTAATTACTGGCCAAAATAGTCAAAATATGTATTTTAAACTTAACGGCTATCATGTTGAAATAATCAATAATTTTGTTCTTATTTGCTTCTTATTACTTGAATAATATCTGAATTTTCAATTGAATACCTTTACTTCACCCGACTTTACACTTAGACATGAATTTTGATTAGAGTATTACATCATTTATCCTAACAATCTCAATTAATTAAAGCCTATCCTTCCATATGATGTACTTTTTTCATCATAAACATGATCGAATTGTCTGTCCAATATTGATTAAATGTTTTATGAATAAAATGCAACTCACCAATTGCACAGAAATTTTTAAACTAATTTTTTTATCATAAACAAAGGAACTATTTAGCTGTTTAACTTTTGGTGGTGAGAACTGAGTCCCATTCTATGCTATATAATTTTCATGTTGCCTGTACTGAAGTAGATGGAGAGAGATTCAAATGTCCAAGGTAATGATTTTAAGATAAGTCACCGTTTTATTTACTATCAAAACCAAATATTCTACAAAAGATATGATGCAAAGTCAACATTTTAATTCAGTTGTTGCGTCAAATATGTGAGGAAAATGTAGTTTTATTCTGTTTAAGATTATTAAATCAAAATTATACCTGTAAATTTTCCTGAGTACATTTAATAAGAATACTGTTGTATTTTACGTATATAATTTTGTTGCAGACAAAACTGGAACTGGTCAATTTTGTATCTACTACTAAAGATCATCCTCAACCTTCATCATCATCACTGGCTGTATCTGTTATGTGGAATAATTTTAGTGATAGAGAAATATTATCAATCAATCCACAGCTTCTAATTATTGTTTATGATGGGGAATTAAATTCAAAATTAAAAGTTATATTTGAATCACATGCATGGGAAGTATTCAAAAGATCCAACTTATTTTTGGATATCGATCAGTTTAATGAGATAATTTATGTAAGTGTATACTTATTTGGTCAAATTGTTGTGTGTAATTTAGCTTGATTTTTACATTGATTTCAAATTCTATTTCAATGATACTCTTTATCAATCTGATCATAATTGTTTCTGGTTTCTTTATTAAATAAATCCATGAATAAAGGTTTATAAAATGTTGACTTTGTTTGTAATCGATGCATGGATTATTTAGCAGACGTAATTCTTGAATTTTAGAGATTCAAGTGTTATGTTTAGAAAACTATAGGAACTAACCATCTAGATCTTTTTCTTCTTGTGAAATTCTGTTAACTTATATTTTGCCTGATGTGTGAATTTCTACAAAAAATACTTTTGTTAAGTATGAAGATGATCTTACTGTATTTACTCCGATTTCTACATCTTCATATTCCCTTAAAATGAATGATTCATTGTCTCTCATTGAACGATGGTCTGTTGTTAATGGTCTCACACTTAATTCTTTTAAATGTCAAACTGTTAACTTAAGCCTGAGACATGAACAGCACTTAAACACCCTGTTGGAATCCCATAAAGTTTACCCTATTGGAGATTGTGTAAGTAAAACGATGTCAAATGTCGCCTGTCTTGGTGTGAGTTTTTAAAAAATCTCTTTTAGTCTTCTAAAATTTTTGTTAATGTTGAAGAAAGTTCTCCGTCTGACTTGTAATACGAAGAGGCTTCATTTAGCTGATGAGTCCCGAATAGGACGAAGCGCGTGACCCGGATTCCATTGCTAGCCACCATCCATCCCTGCTTAGAAGAGGCTACATGTTTTTGGCACTACTCGTTATTTACTTTTACGATTTGTAAGTTCTTGTTAATTACCTGTCCACCATTATTGCTTCCTTGTATTTTGAGAAGAGATTTTTCTATGTTGATGAGAGTGCTAAAGGCAGTTAATAAAATAGTTGGCGACTCTTTTGCTGTCATCATAAATATGATTATTGATAGGCATTTGGAAACAATTGGCAAGTGTTATCTTACTAAATACTAACAATCCACTACATTCATGTCTTTCTGTTTGTATATTTCTCGGAAGAACGAGTTTCAGATATATTAAAATCCATTCATGAAACTAATGTGCAACAACTCTACAACATTATCTAGCAAATATACTACGCGACAAACAGGTTGTAAGAGCTGGTCTAATTAAGAACTTATATTCTTTAACATGTTACCAATCCATGATTGAAGAGATTTTCACTTTCTCAAAAATATTTCATTTAATTGTAGAATATATATGTATGAGAAAGTTGTTCAAATATTGCATGCTGAGACTCCCGTGTTGTGTAATATCTTTATTTTTTATGTAGCTTGTTTACTAGGTACACTTTCGTTTACTTGACTTCGAGTCACTAATTATGAGGACCAACCATTCTACACGGTTATCTAAACCCTAAGTAAGTGTAGCGCGACCAAATCTGCGACCTAGTCGCTGAAAGTGAAAATCCTTAACTACAGAGCAAGTTACCTACTAAGAGCATAAGTACATATTAGGACTACTCCATTTAGGAAGAAGCTCTTATCCATCGATTGCTTCCTTCGAATATTGCTTTAACCAGCATTTATTAACTATTCAGAAATGTCTAACTTTTTATCTGACCTTGTAGAATCCTCTCGCTTGCCAATTATATCTAAAATGTGTTCATCGACAGAAAAATAATCAAATGAAACTAGATAATTAGTGGCTTTGAGTAGTACAGTGTCCAAAAGTTGACGATGATGAGATATCGATGCATTTGCGCCTTTGTGATTGGATTTGAACCATAATAAAAATGTTCCCAACCATAAATTACGATTGTCTCGCAAATTATAACCAGGAAACTTGTCACTGTCTTCACCTTTCAGATTAACAGTCAGTGATTTCGTTGATTATCACTGTGTTTCTGAATATCCTTAGCCTTTTTTACAGTCTGCTTCTACTCCAGCAAGAGAAGGAAATAAGAAACAACTATATGACAACAAAGAAACTAGCAGGAAACTGCAGTAAACCAGAGAGACCGATCAAGGACAAAGAAGGCAAGCCAATCACTGAAATCAAGGGCAGAGGAACAGATGGGCAGAATAATCTGATGAAGACTTAAGCAAACCATTTCCGTTGAATCCACTGGACATCGGAGTAACATACACAGATAATTCTATAGATGTCACTGCACCAACGATCGAAGAAAGCAGGATGACGATTAGATAAATCAAGAGTGGGAAAACAGCAGTACCTGAAAATATACCATCTGAGGCACTGAGATCAGACATAGAAGTGATTGCAAACATGTTACACACTCTATTCATAAAGATTTGGGAGGAAGAACAAGTGCCGATAGACTGGAAAGAAGGACACCTCACCAAGATTCCAAAGAATGGAGATCCCAGCAAGTGTAGGTAATAAAGGGGCATCACACTACTACTAGTACACGGATAAGTTTTCAACAGTGTTGCTGAACCGGATGAAAGACGCAGTAGACGCCCAACTTCGAGATCAAGAGGCTGGATTCCGTAAGAATCTGTCGTGCACAGACCATATCGTGACACTACTGATCATTGTTGACTGATCGATTGAATGTAACTCGTCACTATACATTAACTTTCTTGATTATGAGAAAGCATTTGACAGTGTGGATAGGAGAACATTATGGAACCTTCTTCGACACTATGGTGTGTCTGAGAAAATTGTCACAATTATACGGAATACATCTCCCCAACCTTGTCTGTTTTTATGTGAGTGTATGTGTGCACTTCTTATGCTACTCATCACATGTCTGTAACTTATTTTTGTTCGGTTATGAAATATCGATTAACGCTGGATTTAATCGAGTTAGCTCACACGTTTGCACCATTTCGCGTCATTTTTTCGCTTCGCTATCTGATCAACGACTGTACGAAATATACGTATTCAAAAATCCATTCTCGTATTTGACTTATTTAATTCCGTTATTCACTAATGTGATTTAAGTCGATAAGTTTGTACGAGGATTTGGCAGTATGCATATTTCAGTAATGATCAATATACGATCAAATTGGAGTCAGATATAGGGCCACTAAAGACTTGTTGTTCAGTCAGTAATAATATTAAATTGAATGTTTTAGAATCATGAGAGATTTCTCCTTCACCGACAAACATATATGATTTCTCATTTATTAGTGTATAAAACGTTAGCGTGGTAAGATCATGGATCTCTTTATTATCAGCTCACAACAGCCTATATCACCACTACTACTGGTTTCGTTAACTTTAAATAAACGATCATATAAACTTACTATGTCTGGCGCATGCATTTTAGCTGTGCTCCTTTTTTATTTTTAGAGCAAGCGTTCTAATCAGTCTAATATGAATATTTCAGTATCCGTTTTCCCATTTATTCCAAACGCTATGGCGTATAAATTTCTAATTTGGATTTTGTTGTATGGATTTGCTGTGACTAGCATTTCATTGGGCGCATGGATAATTATTGTTAACCATGAAAAACTGTAAGTGAGACTACGTTGTCAGATGTATAATAGTTAGATTTATATCCCTACGTATTGTTCTTTGATGATGTTTCGTTTCTTGAGCTGGGTGGCTGAGTTATGAAACTTTTTCTGTCATTCAGGATTATACCAACAGATCTTACTTCAAGTAGAAGTCAGGTGTTTTGTTAAAATTTATTTAATTAAAAAAACTAATGACTAATAAAGTCAGTTTTACTTAAATATAAACATGTTCACACTGTAGAATAATCAGAGGTAATGTATGGATTCGATATGTAGTGATATTTCTGTATTGAGCTTTCAACAGTAACTGATACTGACTCGATCTGTGTTGAGTCATGCCAGCCATTGCATATTCCAAATTGATGCGATTTCCAGATACATGAAAAACGTGATAAAATGACTGTAAATTTTGAGATTTTGTGAAGGTAAATTGTGTTAAATCACCACAGTGATGAGGTAAGCTGAGGTGAATAATCACACTTGATTTGTGTACACGCGTTTCAAAGACACAGCATACAGAACAAGGGACTATAATTTAACAGAAATACTTTCATCCGATTTTGGAGACAAACAGAAAACAAATCCAGTTCAACACAATCATATGTAGTGTTGTTTTAATTCACTAACTTTTGTTGTTGTAACACATATAAGCTAAGAACATTGTTAATAATAATAATAATAATAATAATAATAATAATAATAATAATAATAATAATAATAATAATAGCAATGGCTTTATTTAATATTATATTTTTGGTACAATTTAAAATTCTCAACATAGAGTATTTGAGCAAGTTCCATTTTTTACTTATTGATGGATCTTGACAATAAATATTGAGTGATCCCCAGTTAGATGTTAGCGGTTTAGGAATCGACACCTGAATAATTTTCATTCTTTTCATTGCCTATTACCAGCCAACACAATATCTCTGATTGTACCTTTAGTACCTTACAAAGCTATAGGTTGCAAACATTTTATATGCGCTCCTGAATAGGTAATGAGAATAATAGACAATATTAATGTTTTAAAACGAACAATACAGATAACTTGTTGAAATATTTAGATGGTAGGAACAGGTAGCCCAGATATTTTAACAGGCTGCTTCACCATATTATTCTCAACTAGATTGTCATTAAGGTTTACTTTAATATATGTGAAAATTTATCTGAGTATATTAAAATATTAAACTAATCAAAGAAATTTACGGGTCAATGATCACAATCACTTAGATTGCAGAACTAAAAAGTGAAAAGTACAAATTAGTATTAAGAAGACAAATACACTAGTTATGATAAGAATCATACTATCATAAAAGTTTTAGTCAATAGTTAAACTATGGAAGTAGCTCAAATTTGAATAAATAAACTTTAAAATCTTATTTATCATAATAATAACCACATAGTGATTCTCTGTGAAGTGTAATTAATCTACCTATCAATGATGTTGTTATTATTTTGGTTTGATTACTACACTTTCAACCATTAGGCCATATTTTTGTATTTACTGCATTTTTGTTATCTTTTCTTTAGTATAATGCGAATATTTCCGCGATTCATACAATATAAAAAAATAGCTTATAGATTTATATTTTATTAGTTTTATTTTTTTTTCTTTTTGTCTTAGAAACTTCGTCCTATAAGTTTAATCTAAATTATTTAATGTAACTCTTGTTACTAACATTAAACATTATTAAAATTCTTGTAGTTTTTATTTCAAGCTTCATGAGTAAATCATTTGTTTAGTAATTAAAAAAAGATTATAAATGACACAAATAATTAGTTCTTCATTCAACTATTCATGATACCTTTAGATTAATAATATATATTATAGTTAGTAATAAAGTCAATATGAACCATATGACAATGAGTTAGTAACAGCAAATAGCTATATTTAATATTATTTATAAAAACAACTAATGTATATTTGATCAGAACAATAAAAGATTAATTCGTGTTGTTCCGTTGTACTATTTAAACTTGGATTAATTTTAATTTGGTTATTTATTCTTCTCTGAAGAAGTGACTTACACTAAGTCACGAAACGTCAGAAAATCTAATTTTTCTATTCATTGGGATAATACAAATATATTATTCAATTGTTATAATTGTCTATATTAATATATGAATAAAAAATGGAAAATGTTTTGTATAATTTCATTTGGTTTAATTGAATATTATAATCGAGGAGAAAAAGCGTGTAAACATTTCTCGACATAATGGTTACGTTTAAATAAGTGAATTTCTATGATTTTCACTGTATGTAACAATCAAAATTTTGAATTATTGGAATTGATTTAGATCGTTTTTAAATACCATAAATTCAGTATCCAGTTTTCGATTATATGTGCAAAAATAAAGCTTTTTACTATTTTGTGTATTGATGAACTTGTCTAGTTGCTGGCCGAATATAACTTAGTCAAAAGGAGTTTTTGAACTGGTCAATACACATAGCAGAAGTTGAACTTGACAGTTCATCTCCATATCATGAAGTTGATGATTGATTGCTTAGATATTGGATTATGATTTCATTCTCTGTGCTTCATTTAAACTTCAGTTTTATTTATTTTTTAAAATACAATCAAATTTAATGCTTAGTAGATAGGTAGTTTTCATTAACTCACCATTGTTTAGTATTTAGTGCTAACTAAATTCTATCAAATTTCTATATAGCTACTAGCCTAAATGACTTGTTATCGGATGTACTTTTTTGTAGGCATTGGGCAGAAAACCTAGGTCCATGACTTGACGGTGATTACTTCCAACCACCTAATAATTGTCTGTTATCAATTGTAACTGCCAGAAACTCGTTTACTTATTGGCACGATTATACTTTATAGGTGAATAATTAGTTTAAATCATAGTTTATCCGATCTCTGCCATTCACATTCTGACGAGACAAGTTAAATATGAAGCCTATCACCAATGAGAAACCTGTAATTGTAATAAGTCTTCAATGTTTTGTTATTGATTGTATTTGGGAAAAGAAAGATTAAAACTATTATTTAGGAGTGAAATCGAAGAATTCCTGTTGTGCCACTCTGTACAAGCACTATAAATGTCTAAAAGTTATGAAATATTTGTTGTAAAAGATTGTATGGACTTATCTATATATGGATATAAAATTAGACACAAGTCTAATGAGACTTTATAGTCTAAACAAACGACTAACACCTTGAATACATTGGAAGATAATCACATAAACGTTTGTCAGAAATATTTACTGAATTTACTTGTTTGACCTTCATTTTTTATTTACTTTGATGAAGTGGCTTACATTAAGTCATGAAACGTTAGAAATACAATTTTTTCTACTCATTGACATATAACAAAAAATATATTCATTATTACTTCATTTTACTGGGTTTTTTTTTACGTTGGCATTGGAGTTGATAACACTTTTCAATCCCTACTATTATTATTTTCATCACCGTACCTTCTCGATGCAATTGCTTACATTTATGTTCGAGTGATTAGTAAAGTATTTATGTTAAAGTGAAATTTAAAATTTAGCTTACAGTATTATTTCAACATACTATCGAACTATTTCAGCTATCGAACACGTTGATTTTGTATAGGTTTGGGCCATGGGTTCTAATCTATCAGTAATCCATGTCAATTGTAAATAAAAGGTAAAAAGATCGATCAGTATTATTCAAGTCATGAGTAATTGTTTATCACTAATAATCTCAAATTAATCGTATCGATTATCGTGTAACGAAACATAGGTATTACCTAATAATATCTGCGGTTTTCCCGATGAATTTTCAAATAATTCCCTGCTTGTGAATATTTCTCGTTCATCTGAGCGATGGTGTTGAATAATTTAGTTGGGACATGTCCAAAAAGCACGACGAAGCCTCCAGAAGCTCTAAATGAGCTGAAGAGATTCCGTTCAATCATAATCTGATAGAGCCTTATGGAATATCAACGTGGCATGCTATGATTGGACAATTGCATAGCTTTCCTCCTTGCTGATTGGCTGGATTATAGCGATGTTATAGTCAATATTAAGAACTATTAAACCCCTGTTTTTCTGTTCATTTTTGACTTCTATCCAATAATCACTCCTCTCTGCCTCTTCCGTACTTTGATTTGCGACTGTGGGGTTATACAGGTTCGAGTACCGATAATTGTATACCGTATTCTACCGTAATTAAGTAGAGGACATAACAAATTCTTTTGTAAACAACCCTTGTTGTCGACCTATGTATGACATTTTATTATGAGTGACTTGGGTCGTAAAACTGTGTTTGGTTGCTCTCTGTTATTTGGTTCAGTTGAACTGTGAAGTACTCCACACATATATCATGTTTTATGTCATTTTACAAAAGTATTTGTTCATATTTCAATCATATCTGATTAAATTAACTCTTTCTTTCCTAGTGATTGCTTCGGTGACGTTAATCTGACATAGATTTCTTGTTTCTGTTTTATATTATTTCCAGGTTACTAGATTACTCTAGACATCAAAGTTTGCTACCAAAGTTCAAATCTTCTTTGTATTTATATATTATCGTGTGTTTGGTAATTTCTGTTACACTCTTGTTGCTAACTTACTTCCTGTATGATGTAGTAGGTAAGCTTGTTTATACAATGTAGTCTAATTTTATTATATGGTGAAACACTTTAATGATTTGCTTAGAGTTTGAAGCTGTTCACTTCATGAAATGTTAAATGTCTAATTATTAGAATTATTTGTGTTTGCCAAAACAATTAAGTTTTGTCACTCGTCATCTGGTGTTTGCACATCAGTAATTCAATGCATTGTGTATGTATGGGATTTCCAACTACTTAAAAGCTTTGAGATCATAAACAAAGTGGTGGAACAAGATAAAACTCGATGCAATGAAAAATCGGAATAATTCTGTCTTTTTTATTGACACAGTGACAGACAATGATCATAAATCCCCATGGAACAGGTGTCGATGTCTTAAAAACCCGACCCTGTTATCTAGAAGCTCTCCATACGATACAAACCATGTATCTACAACACCATACATTAATGGTCTTCTTATATTGCATGTGATCGCCATTTAACTTGTCTTTTACCAATCTTACTATATCCAGTAACCGGTAGAGTTTACCATGTGTAAAACAGGCTGAAACCATCTCAGTCTGCAGCATAAAACACGTCGAATGATTTCTCTGCTTAATAATCTACAGTCAGCCACCAAATTTCCTAAATTATAAAGTGTGGTGATTTAGATTGGTAATTAACTGCAATTCATGTTTATTCTAGTGATAAATATCTTTAAATCATATAGCAGAATAAAGTTTTCAACTGTAATGTATTATTATTTGATTTAAGAGAATGTACTGTTGAATCATTGGTGATCATACATGTTGTGGTTTGGTAACTTTCAACCTTGTCTTCCATTTTGTCAAATATGTGTTGGCTGAAGTTGTCACATTTTGTGTCTGTTGAAATTAACAGTGTCCAATAGCTTTAAAACGACAAACTTAAAAATGATACATCGGATGCAAGTGAAATTTAGGAATGATGTATACATAAATGTTAATATGATCAAGATTTAGGTGAAAATAAACAATCAATGCAACTACGATTTAAACTTACAATAGTAGATTATAATTATCTTGTGGATCTTAACCAGGATATATATACTTTTCTTTGCTCAATTTGAATTATATCACTATCTTATTGTAACTCGATGTTGTTACCAGAATACTTGTATTCTATACAGTGTATTGCACTAAATTAAGTGGTGATTGGGTATGAATAATTTATTCTAATCTACTACCTAAGTCAGTAAATGTTCTTAATAAATTTAACATATTTATGTAAGTGTCGTGTGCTTATCACCAGCACCATTGGGTTGATGGCATATCATCACCAATAGTACTTCAGCGACATCGGATCTATCAAAAACTCATGTATGTCGTCGACTTTTAGATGCTGTTTTTCATACTCGTAAACTAATACAGAGTGGAATACTACTCACTACAGTCGCTGTTTAATTAGCAGATGAATGTATTACATGGGTCATAGATGGCTTAAATTCATCATTCAATAACTCATTAGAATCGATCAAATACGTAAAGTTATCAGTGTGCTCAACTTCTTCGATTCCTAATATCAACCAAAACGTTATAACAGTCCAGTTTTGAAGCAGGATTTTTATATAGTAGATTCTTAACTGCATACAAAGGATCTTCTTACAGTGTTACTCAGTGGTAAGTGTAAGTCTTAATCGACCAGTTGATATACGTTTTAAAGAGTAAGCTCTTAAATTTTAGACAGAGAACGGAACTAGATAAAGATTAGTAGATATTGTGAGAGTTTGTTTGATATATTAGATTTCGATGCGTGCACATTATACTATGTTATCGTATTAACCGTAAATAATCAAATGATAAACATTTGTATCACTCAAAGATTATCTCATGCACAATATTCTTCACAAAAGAATGATATACTTACTAGATATTTTGTGAACGTACTGCGATTTTCATGGTTATTTTCATTTGGATGGCTTCTTATACAGATATTCTCTTTGAAAACTCTTGTCTTCAGCACTTTGCTTCATATTTTAATGAATGTTCTGCATAATTCTCCTTTCTTTTAGTATATCTCCTAATAGCACTGTTTGTACTGGTAGGCGCAAGTTCAATTTCGACATTCCTTACATTTGTTATCCAACGTATTGCTCCTGCAACAACCAAAACGTGAGTCTAATTTTAGTTTCTCTCAATATTCATTTGATGTGTTAATTATATATATATATATATATATATATATATATATATATATATACATATATATATATATATAAACTGTGGAGGCCTGTTTGAATATCTGAGCTACCTGTTCCTACCATCTAAATATTTCAACAAGTTATCTGTATTGTTCGTTTTAAAACATTAATATGTCTATTATTCTCATTACCTATTCAGGAGCGTATATAAAATTTTTACAACCTATCGCTTTACAAAGTACTAAAAAATACAACCAGAGACATTGTGTATGGCAATGTTCATCGGAAAAAATGAACATTAATCAGATGTCGATTCCTGAACTGCTAACTTTCAACTGCCGATCGCTGATTGCAAAGGTGGACTATCTTCAATCACTATTAAGTGTAAACACATTTTTTCATTTCTGTGTAGTCACAATTCAAGAATCCTGGCTAAATGCTTCACACGACGATTGTTTAGTATCGCTTCATTAGAAACGATGAATCAATAAGAAAATGTGGCGGCGGTCTAGCCACATTCGTTAATGTGAACTGGTGCATGTTTCAAATTTTTAAAACGACTTTATCGACTGTTTAAATTTATGATGCCATCCGAGGCAATTGAACAAATACAATCGTATTTATGTTACAAACATTTACGTAACTCCGGACCGCATATCATCTGCACTATCTGTTTTCGTTGACGAAGTCACTGATATCTGCTTCAATGTTTCACTTTCAGTCATATGTAGTGATTTTAATCTATGTGATTGTAGTTTTCTTTCATCACCAAGTCACCAAAATGTAATCGATTTTCCCACTCGTTCGGATGTCCATACAGACTTAGTTTTCATTAATGATGCGGGAATATATGTGACTTTCAATCGTGTTCCGTTGTTTAGTTCTGATCATTGTGTTATTTGTGTTCTACTCAAAGTATATGGCAAACTTATAAAGAGTACATCCCCAATGCCGTGGTACGACCGAGGGTGGGGAGAGTCAGTTCTCCCTCTCGAAATACTCTCACATGGCCACGTGCATGCAACCACTACCAGGGAATTCCTACTTACTACCTTCTCGCGGCACAAGTGTTGTCTACGAAGTTGAGAGGACGAAAAGCGAATGTCTGGCGCTTTAACCGGGTTAGTGGACACGGAGTATCCACTTAGGAGTGTTGAGAAAACCCTGATTCCAAACCAATGGTGCACATGGGCTCCAGTATCCTGAAGGAACAAATGGCGTATGAACCAATTATTGGTCACCGGCCAACATGGGACTGCATCTCCTTACGTTGCTCCACTGCCTTGTGGATCAGACTTTTAGGTCAAAGGCTCGGGGTGTGGCTCCTTAAGGAAACCATCTGCTTCGATTTGAGCGCCCGGGCAGTATCACAGCACACACACAAATCAAGTGATTTGTGTGGTGCATTTGTATTCGGTGTCCCTTTGTACCACTATTTGTGTGTTCAAATAAATAAATAAATACATCAGTCAAATAATGGAAGTATCCAAAATCTGGAAAAAACATGTTTCGTACGACAAACTGGAAATTATTTACAAATGACTCACTGGGAAATCCCTTTGATTTTGTCACTTGTAATCTTGAATTCTGCTTTATTGTTTGTTGTTCCGATGAAACTATTTTTGTAAGTTTTGATTGACTTACATCCCTACAACTAAAGCGATTTCGAACGCAAACAGAAAGAATATACGAGGATAAAAATTCTGTCGAAGTTCGAAGCTAAATGATCTAATGAACCTAGAGATTAGACGTATGAACTTGATGTTTGCTGAGAAACTCACATTTTTAAAATCTCTTCAAGTATGCGGAAATTATTTAAAGAGCTTACAAGTGTGAGACGCACTAGTGACCATAACCAGCTGAATGTTTGTGACTAAAATAAATCTTTTTTACGTCAATCATCTGATTTCATGCTTCCTATATCCACAAGTCTGAAGAATAGTTGTATTCCAATTTTCACTGAAAGTGATGTCCGAAAATGTCTCCAGTCACTTAACTCGTACCAATGTTTAGGAACTGACGAAATCCCAAACCTCCTTTTTAAGGAGTTGGTTGATGTTGCGTCGTCTGTCTACGAGCATCTTTAACGAATTTTTCTCAAATAATTTCATTATAATTGAATGATAATTATTTCTTACCTATAAATAACGTAACAATATTGAATAAATTCAAATCGTGGTCACAATTAGAATTAAATTGTTCCCATTGGACAACCACTTAATAAATACTCCTAAAAAGTCCTTATACTAATTCATTGAAAATGCAAAGGGGTCTCTTGTGAATGAATTTGTTATAAAGCTTTATATATAAATGAGGTATCAATCCTATAAAGATATATAAACCATGAATAAATGTGATAATGTAACATAAAAGTTATATTACTAGATTATTTAATGTGAATAATAACAATAAAAGTTTGTGTGTGCGCAAATAATAAGTTGTGCAAAATTAATAGGATAATAATTCATTATTCTGTGAATAGAGTAAGATAATTAAAATGTTTTTATCACAATAACTGAAGGTTTTAGAAGGGTTAAATGAATTAACTCGATATTAGAAGCAATAGTGAGGAAAATCATAAGTATTTGAAAATTACTGAAAGTGAGGGGGAGATATTCCCAAATACAAAATCAATGTAATGAAGATAACGATAAGTGTAGATTTTTGTGGCAGTGACAGGATTTACATAGATTTAAAAAAAGCGAACTGACCATCAGAGTTTGACCATGCCGGGTGTGAGACAGTTAACCACCGGACACAATAGAAGATTGTCGTGCAATGTCATGGATTGATTGGAGTTATACATTAACACCGTTGGATGCTGGTTCAGTGATCTAGAAGTTAAGCATTAGCGTGCTATACTTCCACGTCCAGGATCATGGATGGATACTGTTGAGGAATCTCCAGGTGTCATTGAGTGGTCTAACATTGGTCGGTTCATGATTCCAGTGAAAACGGAAATTAAGTCTAAGGTATAATTCAATAATTTTGAAATTTAGGAGGGAGAATAGTGATTGATTAGCAAACTATTCTCATGCTTATGATTTGTACACTTATTACTTTTAATGAACTAAAAATGTAACTCTAACGTCATTAATATAAGCTGCTACTAATTTAATAATAAATCGAAACAATAAATATTTGATGTTTTTTCACTGCAAAAGTTATTTCATTTTAGATCGAATGTCATTATAGCTTTGTGTAATACTTCATTGTATATTCCATTTTTCCCCTTCAATTTTATTTAGGATAATAATTAATGTAAAATGTTGTCGAGTTATTAGTCCCAGAAAAATATATATTCTTTCTCTAGTTACTTTCCCAATCGGTTTGGCCATAGCTACAACGTGGTTGGTATTTCGTAATAATGACATGTAAGCTTCAGTTTTATATGCCTTTGTTTTTAATCATCATGTACACGCATGTTCTTAATGATCATTTACCATTCAATTTCATTGGTAAAATCCAAATATTTATGTATGACTATGACGTGGGGTCTATATACTATAATCTGTCATACATATGTTAGTAAAAGCAACAGTTTTTTTTATACGAATGCTCAATAATTTATCTCCTCTCTAGATGTTATCTAATCCATTTGTAGTATACAAATAGGAAGACCTGTTCAGTAGGTCGTATGGCGTAATTGGTGAATATTATAGAAATTTTTAGTCGAAATCTGAGAATGTTTCAGATACTTCACATCTTTCTCAACTAAAAATTCTTACTTCAATACTGTGCTGAGCTGATGCATGTCTTAACCCTAATAAATGAAGTGCGCCAATCGCTTTATCAAACAAACGGTTGTCTGATCAAGGTCCTTAACCTTCAGACCATTGAACTAGGATCAGGTGGTTTCCATATCTAAATTCAGTCAATTCGCAATCCTTAAGCTGTGTCAGGAATTCATCCTGCTGAGCAATCCCATAATAAGATGAAGTAACTGTTCAGTAATTCTTGGCGTTTATTGTTTTTTTAATCAAGGTAGGTCCGTAATATAAAGTATCAAGTTATTATTAGTCGAACAGATTGTAGACATGTGTTTCATCACGGTAATCTAAAGGTAACACTTGCTGTGTGACGTTAAAATCTTGAGTTCATCAGGTGAAGTTGTTCTGTTATGAAGTTATCTCAACATTCATGATTTTATCCCCATTGTTTAGTAAGCTTTATGAAAATCTTGTGTATTAACAATTTTGTGATTAGGCGAGTAGTTTCGCTAGTTAAAGAAACCCTACTTTCCAATGTTTCTTTAAACTGCTTAGGTTTTTAAAATATATTCGATTGAATGCAATTCAATAATTGTTTCATCGTATTCTACAAGATTATGTGTTTTGTGGAAGATATGAAATTGTTGGTTGTTGAAATTAGAATAAAAATCTGGTGTAATACCGATCTTTGAGATAGAACCTTGTGTATCATGCTATTTAATACATATAAAGATGCCATTATCACTATTTAAATGAACATTTTGTTTAAAAAGAAACATTTTTATCAAGTTCTACTTTGACATTATGATTTTCATTCATTACATTATTTGAATCTTTTGTTAGAATTGGTTGGCCTTTGCAATCAGTTATCGGGATGTTTATAGTGGCAGTGATTATTTCATCTGGGTTGATTATACCATCAGTCAAGGTAATCAAGGAGTATGTTTCTGATAAATTCTACCCCATTTCTTACTTGTTACATCTACTCGTCACATTTGGTACCTAGAATTTCACACCTCGAACTGACTTTTTTAAATAGAGACTGGAAACCAGAAAGCACTAGACAAATGCTTAGTTTCAATATAGGACTTCTCAAAAATGGTGATCTACAACTTTACTAGAAGTTAAACCCTTAACTTTCAGATGTCTTGGGATAGTGCTTAACCTTCATACCACTGATTTTATCATCCAATGATCTACAGTTCTAACGTAATTGACTCGCGATATTGCGTTACTATCACTCGGTACTATAGGTTGGCTACTCTCTCAACCCTGTCATGACTGAAATTTGTGGTATAAAACTTTAAATTCAGTAATCACCATAATACCCTATGATCACGCTTGATGTACTCAAAGTATATTTTCTATTTAGTGCACTGGTAAATTATAATTCCTACACAACAGTCTTGTGATAGCTCATGTGATTCATATATATATATATATATATATATATATATATATATATATATATATATATCGTTTATATTCTTTGACTAAATCTCGTTTTTGACAACGCGGTCGCGAAAGCGCTAAAATACAAAATTTATATGGGGCGCGTTTATTTCAAGCATCCATGTGTAACCAGTCTAACAAAGGGTGTAGTGATTATGGAAATCGGGTTTTGACCAAGATCGGTGACTTAGGTGTGACTCAGCTTTTGTAGTCAGTCAACACTTTGTAGATGCATAGATAAGTACTTACTTACACACACAAAGTTACAGAAAGATATATAGGTGAAAGTGAATAATCAATAAGACCACGATTAACATGGTTACTCATAGACGATCTCATATGTCTATGATGACTAAAGAATGGTTAGGATGATAAAGAATGACGTGTTAGATACGTACTGTTTAAATCATTAATATCTGTTCAAAAGTCAGAATACCCTCATGGAGGTGTATAAAAGCCATTAAAGTCTATAGACATCTGTCTCTAGCAGAAATATCTTATGATTATGTCTCGACTACTTTTTGGTTGGTTGTATTTCTTTGTTGTCTGAATCCTCAATGGTTTTCCCCGTAAAATGCGTTGATCGTTTTGTGTGTCTATTTGTTCAAATGAAGCTCGGGTTTAGAGTTACCCATCATGTTTTACTTGTCATATTGATGAAAACTTCTTATGTTTTTGTAGTGAGTTTGCGGTATGATAGTTTGGACCGCCTTACTTTATTCAGCGTTAGATTATTGATAACCTTGGACCTAAGTTTCATGTTATTTAGCATACATCAGTGAAGTACATCTACAATTTGGATGGGGATGATGCTATTTATGGAATACAAAGCTTCACCAAAGTTGGAGACATTACTACTGAGATATCGAATATAAGGCATGGTTTTTCAAATCATACAAAAATTAAATTTCTGATCTATCTTTCATCGTCTTTTTAAAGGCAATTTCATTTATTTCAGTTTGCTGTTCTATCGGCTTATATGTCTGTGTCCGTATTACAGAGTATAGTCTACAATATATATTTTCACTGATGTATATAAGTATACTTTAATTGGAAATAATCAGTCCCCTTGAGAATTTTGGATAATGTTATAAGAAAATGAAGATAGTCAAAACTATATGACATTAACGCAATACATTTCGAACAATCTGACCACATCTATATTTTTGTTAAGAACATTTATATATGATTAATAAACGATCAATTAGACAAACAAACAATATAAATCTCACCACTATGAATAGTAAATAAATATTACCAAGAATAGATTTACGACGAGTACAAGCTGTTTCTGAATGCATAAAAAGAGTTTGAATTTTTTCTCAACAAGTATGTATGTGATCAGATTGTTCATGATTTATTGCACTTATATATCATATAGTTCTTATCATCTTTGTCTGGTTATATTTCGGTTGACAACTTTGTAAAACATAATTTCGTGACTTCCTTATATTCTTTTTTTTTTCGCATTATTTTCTCGTTAGGTTGGTACACTTTTGTTTACTGCATTTCTGATCTATGATATATTCTTCGTATTTATTACTCCCCTATTCATAGTAAGTTATTTATGTATTTCTAAACTAATTGGTATATTTTATAGTTATCATTTGATTTTGTCAAAAAAAGTATATTAATTTCTGATGTCTTTTTGTAACGTTAATAATAAGGCTACTAAAGATATTCACGAACCAACGTAAATAAGATGAGGTTTGCACCTAAGACTTGCAATGGTATTTAAATCTTCTTTTACGCGTAGTTATTGGTCACCATCGTTGACGATTTTTTTTAGTTTCAATTTGTTAGGAATTCATAAATGGTTTTTATTCCACTAATTTTTGCTTACGTATTTCTATCGTTCTTCATTGTCTTAATATTGTCTTCAGCATAGTCTGAATATTTGCATAAAACAAACACATCCAGTTAGATTTTCATAAACGATGAGGTTCTAATCTGAGATTTCAGCAAGTTTACGTAGAATTCTGTCCATTAAATGTTCATTTTGACTCTGTATTGAAAAGTTGATTTTCGGCTATTAGTTGACATGTGTCAGACATTTCACACCATCTATCGAGTTGAAAATATGTGAATGATCTCACTAACCTTTTTTAAAAGAAAATGATGATTACTGAGTTAAACAATACAGTTAAGTTCATTTTATCATTAGCTTGATAACGATATAACAGATGAATGAAGATGTTTTCCCGCTTTCACGATGTATTACTGTAATATGATGATTCGACCGCTGACCGAAATTATGCTACTGTCAGATTGAATACGGCCAAAGCAAGGGCCTCATTCCTACAATGGAAGAACATGTGGGACTCAAAATAACTGTCTGTCAACAAATATCAAAGTCAGAATCTTCAATACTAACGTCAAGACAGTCAGTTCTACTGTACGAAGCTGAGACGTGGATAACTACCACATCCATCATCAAAACAGTACAAGTATATTTATAAACAATCGTCTACCAGAGATAGTCAATGTCCGTTGACTGGATACCATTAGTAGCAGCCTGGTGTGGGGGAGAACAAACAGCTTCCAGCTGAGGAGGAAATTAGGAAAAGATGTTGGAAGTAGATAGGACACACATTGAGGAAACCATGAAACTGCATTACGAAGCAAACACTAATTTGTAATCCTGAAGGGAAATGAAAATGAAGAAGGCCAAAACCACACCGCCTCGAGAATTAAAAGCAAACATGAATAAGATGAATAGCAACTTGAAAGGATTGCTCAGTGCAGAGTTGGATGAAGAATGCTGGTGAGCGGTCTATGGTCCTCCATGAGAGGTAACAGGCATAAGTATGTAAGCAAGATTGAATACTTGATCAATAGACCTTGCACGAACTGAATCGCATTATACGAGACACACGATTCATGACCAAAAATAGTCAGAGCATAGACAAGACAATACTTTATTTTAATCAATTGCAAGCAGTCACACTCAATGAGTTTAAACTACAAATCAATGGTAGGAAAGTAGATCGCACATTTAATAGTCAGTAATTTTTTTGTTTGTCCACATTCAATGGTCAACCACATATAATTTCACTAAGCGCATATCAGACAACTTAAACTTCTTTTTAATCACTTGAATTTTTTTCGCAGTCAACTGCATCAACTAATGTTAGTCATTCCTCTGAGCATATCCAACTTACTAGAACACGACGTTCAACTGCTCATAGTTTTATGGAAGCCGTAGCAACTGGTTCAGCCGGTAAAAGTGGGGAACTGATACCGTTATCATTTCGTCTACTTATCAATGAACATATTGAAGTAAATAAACATAATACCGCGACCATGCCATATGCTTCTCTTCTAGGATTCGGTGATGCTGTTATTCCCGGTAAAGTTGTCAGTACATTCTTGTTTGTTTTCGCAAGTAAAATTTTATCTATCATTATAGGGAGTTTTTGACGATTGTTGAGTGCTATTGGGATCACTAACCGACCTAAGTTGGAGAACCATGGGGAACCAGGAAGCACTGGAAAACTGTTTCATTTTAATAATGAGATTTTGTGACAGTACTCATCCACTGCTCCATCGAGGATCGATTTTAAGACTTAGGTTTCAAGATGAGTGATCAACCTCCCGACTATTGAGTCGACATCCGATGGTTTACATGTGTGACTTCAAATAATTCTCAATAGTTCACAACTGTCTGCTATTGTCTTCGGTTGGTCACTTCACACCGAAGAAATATGAACTCCATTGATTTTATGGCTTCTCACTAGCGCTTCAGGACTTACCTCTCGAAATTAATTCCTCGTGAGCACGTGGGGTTTATGGAGATCGTAGAGTTTTATGTTTGTTTGTCTCATTTTTGTAAAGATTGTGATCTAATGAAAATGGTCTTTGGTTTCATTTTTACAATTCATAATCTACTATCTAAATTTACTGTCATTTGGTGCTTTCTTAGAGACTTCAGTTCCAAATATTGAACTTTATGTTGATTGGAATAAAGCAAATACAACAAACTTAGTGGATTAAGGGTGAATTCATTTGTTTCGTAGATCCTTGTCAGTTCCTTACGACCTCGAAATGATGACGACAATAATTTTCGTTATTCTACTAATCTTCAATAATGCACATAGATTGTCTAAAAATAATTATTACTACTATTTCTAGCTTTTAAGCAGTTGATGAGGATCTATGAAATAAACGAATTCACCTTATTCTAATACTCTTGTTGTTTTTACTTTAATAAAAGTTTGTCAATGGGAAAGTTTTCTTTCATTTTGTGTTATTCGTTAATGGTGTATATATGTGACATTTTTATTATTCTCTTATCGATTTGGTTGATTGAGTTGTTGAAGTTCACTGAAATTATGAACCGATCAATGTTAGATCACCATTGAAAATCTAGAAGCACTGGACAACCTTTTCTTACTAGTGTGGCACAAAATGGCCGTCCAGTGCTTCCAGGTTCTCAATGGTGATCTATCATTGGTCGGTTCATAAGTTCAATAAAATTCTTTTATCGATTTTCTTGATTGTGTAATTTTAAATGCAATGTTAATAGAACTAAGTAATCTCTCCAATGACTATGCAAGATATTTATTTCCGTGGTCTGCAAAGGTATATTTAATGTTCACTTTATTTTAACCAGAAATTTCAGTCATTTTCTAATGAAGCTACTGTGTGCTTGTTTAGCTTTTGAATTGGTGCCTTTCATTGGATGTCCCCAGATAACATTTTATCGCATCAAATGGATATATATGTATCGTGTTCTTGTTTCGTTAGAGTAGAGTTATTTGTTTCATAACTTTGCATCATAATTTGTATTAGGTTATTTGACAGTATTTAAGGAAGACTGCAATTTACAAGTTAATAAGTTCGGTGATTGAAAGTAAACTAGCGAAAAATTCGAATTTAAGTTTCATACTGGTTGATATTTATTATAAAGTGAGATATCTGCAGCGCTAAGGGAACTGATACTCGAACCCGTTAGAATTGAACTATTTGAGCTATCACTAATCTCTTATAGGTTACTACTCAACAATCGATGTACGTAAACATCTCGGTCCTACGCAGAGATTTATATTTCCAAAATACTCATTTGGAAAGTGAAAAGTTTCTTTCTTTTGTAGATATGATAAAATCTCACAGCCGAATCATAAATGAACTTAGTGTCGATCTGCATTATTTTGAATTAACCTACCTTGAAACATATTCATTATTACAAAAATGTAAACAATCAAGTACTTCATCTTATTTACTTTATTGCATCATTTTACTTGCTAGACTCCGTATGTTTAAAAATAAATACATTTTAAATTAATAAGAAAAACAGCTAAAGACTACTTAAATTATATGACTTATATACTAGTCATATATGAGTTATACTTTTACGCTTCCTCATTGACTGTCACTGTTATGATCGTAAGTACAAATGAGTATTTATTCATAATACAAGAAACATATTAATTTCACGGTACAAAGATGACAGTCTGTTGTATATAATTCATTTTATGGTTACCAGTTGATCATTTTCTTACTTATTTTTTTTTCTCGAAAAAAACAATTTTCAGGAATATTTATTCAATTTCTGGCATTCTATGATGCATGTTGGCGTGCTCCGTACTATCGACACTTTTTAGGTGGAATTTTAGGTTGGTTTCTTTTATTAGAAAGAAATTATTTCCTTAAATCTATTTTTATGATCAATTTAGTATTTTTTATGCGTAAAAAATACAGTAGAAATGAGAAACAATAACGTATCAGTGCTTTTACAGCAACTCTGTGTACCTATGATTAGCATATTTGCTGTTCAAATGGTCTATAATTTTCTGAAATCACTTTCCTCGACTTATTTGAGGAAGTTTTCAATTGTGTTTAAGTGTGCCGAATTATAAAAATAGAATGTAAAAACAATATTTTTCTCATAAGCAACCTACTTACGCCTGTCACCTCTCGTGGTGGAGCATAAGCCGTTCATCAGGAATCTCCATCGAACTTTGTCCTTAGCAATCCTTTCCAGTTGTTATTTATTCTTTTGATGTCTACTTCCAATATTGTGGAAGTTATTTAAGGCTTTCAACATTACTCGACCTTCATTACAGCACAATGACAGGATGTCTAATTTACTAACACTATCACGAATTTTTTTTATAGAATCTGGTTAGTATTCAAAATTAGGGAACTACATTATCATGTAATTGTTCAGTTGAGTCACATCTGATTGATTATTTGCCCCTCAATCCTTAAAAAAATTACCCAAAATAATATTTGAATATCCGATAATTAAAAATCTCCATTATTCTTCTTCCTTTATACATTTGACTAAAAAATGCTTTCAGTAACAAGGAGCTTATACAAAGTGTCTAACTAAAAACGATGTTTAATATCAAAAATTGAAATATGGAGTTCGAAGTCATTTCTTTGTCACATATCTCACAAAATATACCCGATATGTCATATTACTGTATACTTAATTCCTACTTTTAATTATCTTCTAAGTAATAATTTTTATTATATCACCGGCGTTTTTATGGCACTTGTGCACGTGATAATAAATTGTAAAACATTTTATATTTGCTAACATCATCGATACTCCACTCAATTTATGTATTTAAAATTCCTTTTAGTTACACACACACACACACACACACAAATAGTCATACTGAAAACTACCGTATTCAGTTAAAACTTATGACCTTGAACTGACGGAAATGTTTACATCTTTCTGTTTAAGTGGTGTGAGAGATCTACTAATATTTAGTTTAACTACTAGAAAGAAATATTTTGATAAAATGAATGTTTGTTTGAAATTATTAGTCATTTTATTTTGCAACATCCTACTAATCTTATCGTATTGTTGTTGAATGGTTGGGTAACAATGTATTTATCATAAATGGCCTTAATTGACTTATTTCCTCTATACATGTATGTAAATATTACCTTATATTTAAGCAAAGATCACATTAGAAACAATATTGTTTGCTGATAAGTTTTATTCCGAAGGAAAAAAACATTTGTTTGAAAAAATCTGAATAAGAGTTTATGTTTCTCGAAATCCAGTTCATTTGTTATTTCTTTATCAATTTATCATTGACTTTGGTTACTATTTTAGGTTACTCACTTGGTTTCATAGTTACCATCATTATGTTAAATGTTACTAATGTCAGTCAACCAGCTTTATTGTATCTATGTCCATTTACTCTTCTTGTAACCTTCATTGTTGTCATCGTTTGTGATGGTCTAAATGAATGGAAACTAATGTGGTCAGGCAGTTTGCCTACATTGGTCGATAATACAAATATGAATCCGACTGGCGATAGCGACCGGGTTAATCAACCAACTGGTTCTTTAGAAGTGAATAATCTATATTCAATTGAAAATAAATCGCTTAACCATTCAAAAACTCCACTAGTCCCTGAGCAATAATAATAATACTCACTGATATAGTACTACTTATACCAAAAAAAAGAAAAGGAACGTACTGTGGCTTTTATTTCTTTCTTATCTTTGTAAATGCTTATTTCCGTGATGACTTTGTGATTACATCCGCATTTTTATTTGTATTTGTGTATGTGCGTTTCAGACCTTTTATTCGTAATGCTATAAATGATAGTAATCACCATATCCTAGAAACTAGTTGATTCATTTGTGAAGATGTTGTGTGATTTTGATATTTTGTTTACCAGTGTAGCAGCTTCTGATTCTAGATATGGAAGCAAAAAATGTGGTTCCCGTGATAATCTGTTCGTTGGGTAACTGATTAAGGTTTCATAGCAGAAGCGGCACTGTTCACTCTCGTGATTATGGTTTCTTTTCAATGTCGTTTGTTTCGTATATTTACTCGTAGCTTTATTATGCAGTACTACATTGTTGTCCTGAATTCATAAATCTCAAACCTCGGGACTAGCTCTAATGACGGACTTAATTATGAGAACTGCAATCACTACTATTCTCGTTCTTGATTCGGTTGTAGACACGTAATCTCATTAACTTGATTTCCATTTCATATCATTTCTGCCAACATCCATCTCTTGACAAGTTACAACAACAAGGGGTCTAATGATAACAAAAGAAGATAAGAAAGTTATTTAGAGACAAAGAAAAATCTATCTGCTTTACTCGTTGGTACCGGATCTTATTTTATCGACTGCACTGTAAGATATTTGGGAACTGGAAGCATCACAATGATAGCTGAAAGAAAATTACGATCCACATATTGTACCTCAATTATTCACCCAAACAAGGTATTGTCGCTTCTATTCTGTCGAGAAGGGGAAACGAAGACTAATCGATGGCTGGGAACAAAAGACACTGATGTGTTTAGGATGTAATTTTAGACGATTAGTTCCTTTGTATGACTGATTGTTGCGACATAAGTGGAAGGGTTCTTATTTTTCGGAATTATGCCCTAATAACCCAGGATCTAGTAAAAAGTATCTATCAACATAATGAGAGGTAGTTAGAAAAGATGTGTAGCTATGCAGCAAAGTAATGTTACTCTCCCTGATCTTAAGAAAAATATTGGAAATGGAAGCTTTATAACAGAGTACACAGGCTTTTGTGCGTCACGGTTCATTATGAAGTCGCTTCGAAATGGCTTACGAAGGACCTTTTAAAGTCCTGCATCTTAAGCTTTATTACTCTACCATCGACAAAAAGGGAACTAATTGTAACGTTAGCATTGACCGTCTTCAGGTCTCTTAATTGAAAGGAATCTTAATTTTCCTCCTGTACAATCAAACGATAGGAGCCTCACAATCACTATGCCTTCCCCGATATTCAGCAATCAAAACGAAACATTGCAGATATCTAAAAACCAGCCAAAAACAACGCGCTCTGCCAGAAGTGTAAGGTTTTCTGAATAATAGGACAACTACTACACGTAGGACATTAGATACCTTTTTGTTTTATCTCATTACTTCGCAACTTATCTGATTGTACTGTATATATCATTGTATCAAACAATTACATCACAACGAAGATTGAATTATGAGTAACTTCTGGCAACTATTCATAGTCTCTTATTACATATATTGTTATTGTATAACTATACAATAACCAGATTATGTTTATATATAAAGCTGTAGCAGTGGAGGTATACCCAAAATAAATAGTTTTGTATGTCTTCGACATTAATGCTGACCTCATTAGTTTTATTGGACACCCTAACTAGAGGCTCTCAGACACATATCAACACCATATCAGGAGTTGGTACACCGTGCCCCATTACAAGACGTGATAGTACCAGCATGACATAACAAACAATGTAAATTTATTAAATTCTGGTATGCAGATTGTTATTCATTGTGAATAAGTTCATCGATACTCTTACATAAATCCTGGTGTTGAAGTTCATTAACTTAAGCAAATGAACTTAATGGCAAAATCAGTTTTCTCAATAATAACGAAATGATTATTAACTACCTCTCATATTCACAGAAAATAACTAGCCATGAAGAAACTAGACGTTGATGGTGTAGCGGTAAGTACACCTCTGAAATCAATAGTTTTGCAAGTTTTCGACATTTGGTGTTGACTGCATTAATTTTACTGGTCCCAAGTAGATGAAGGCTCTCTGTCCCGCATCCACATCAGATCACAAGCGGGAACGTCGGGCTACGTACCTCTTTTCAGCTACTAGCGAGCTTAGACCAATGTTCCTTCGACATATTGGACAACCTCTCAAACATATCTTCGAACTTTTTCATTACTGTCTTCTGATATGATTGAGCTGACACACTTCAATTATAAAACTGTTACTGGCTTAGGTGTTACCACACTCCAAATTATTGTAGCATCCTTGTTAGTTGTGTCATCGATTTCAGCAGATAATAGTAGGCAGATGAATTAACTCAAATATGCTAACCACATGATGACAGGTTCGGCATCACAAGCATTCCGTTGTACGAATGTCAGGCTTACAAGTATATTTTGCTCGTCACAACTCTCATCTCCTCCCTTATATGTCTAAAAGTTTCCGTCTCAAATGTGCGTTGCGTTTAAACTGACATAAGCTATTCCTTGCATTTTTCATTGCTTAAACATCTGAGTTTAGTCTTGTTACCGTCTGTCTTCTTATCGATCAATCATTTTTCGACCTGAAGAGATTCATCTCACACTCTCACACTCTGTTATTTCTTCTGTTAAACACGAAGGTTTATTTACGAAGTCATCCCCTAATCGGCCCATAAATGTTTGAACTCCTTTGAATCGTTTGAACTAACTAATAGGGTCAAACTTTTGTAATGGCAAGGTCATTGGCACGCGGAATAAACAGGTTCGTTGTATGGTAGTTGTATGTTGGTTTAGAACAAGCTTGAATGAGTACAGGGTTCGTAAGCTGGCTGAAGTATTAGCTTATATTTAAGTGGATTCCCAGGTTTTTTAAGAATGCCGTTTATAGTTAACTCAAAGCCCAGGTTGCCATGCTGCAAACGCACTATATAAGATTGACAAGATTTTCCAAAGTGATTGATCAAACACATAGATCTATTCATTTTATAGATTTGAATCAATTTCGTAATCTTTATGGCTGTCTTAAATCCTAACATGGCAAAGTAATATTTCATAAAGTGATTGAAATGATAGGCTAAGTACCTCACAATACAAAGTGACTTATCCTTTATTTTATTAATCTGAACACCTTAAATTCCCGCTTTAATTAGTTTCACCTATTTTCGCTTAGGCGTTTCCCAGTATTCATCACATTTCCTTGCTTACTTTCATTTATTATGCTGATATACATCACAGAAACTTCAACTGGTACACATTTTCTATCGGTTTTAATTAATGTCAGTTCCAACCTTTTGATCATAAGAAAGCACGTTTTGAGACAGGAAAAGGCTGGTTTGGTAGGAGGCTTTCTAGTTTCAGTTTATGAGGAAAACGAGTGTATGGCAAAGCTAAATAATTCATGGATTGTTTCCGAAGTCTTGTCGAATCATATGTGAGACCACACTAATTTATAGGAATTTATCCACCCTAAATTAGTATTGAACAAACGACCGCATAGTTAGAAGTCTAGTGAGTAAATTTCCAGGCCGTTGAGTTACGTAAATCACATATATCACATATATTTGAAAGTTAATAATATTTAGGCTTTCTTCTAACCTGTAAGTTGTGTTTTACATGACATTACTCATTATTTTTGAAGGTTATTTTGAGTTAGGTTAATAACTGTGGAGAGCGTTTTAATTTCTAGATAACCTTTGTCTGGCTCAACAAAATAATTCTATTGCCATACGTTTTATACACCCATGTAACTATTCTGCATTTTAAAAATTATTTATTTATTTATTTTAACACATAGATATTGGTACGAGGAGGCATCAAATACATATGCGCCACACAAACCTCTTTCGGTATGTGTGAGGGTTGTGGTACTGCCCGGGTGCCCGAACCGAAGCAGGTGGTTTTCTTAGGGGGCCACTCCCCGAGCCTTCGACCTGAAGGTCTGATCCACAAGGCAGTGGAGCAACGTAAGGAGATGCAGTCCCATGGTAGCCGGTGACCAACAATTGGTTCATACGCCATTTGTTCCCGCAGAATACCGGAGCCCATGTGCACCATTGGTTTGGAATCCGGTTAAAGCGCCAGACATTCGCTTTTCGTCCTCTCATATTCGTAAACAGCACCCCCGCCACAAGAAGACAGTGAGTAGGAATTCCCTGGCAGAGGCTATATACGCTTTATATAAGCTTCAACCAAATCTTGTTTCACTTAAAGTCACTTTGTTTGTAGTAATTCTCCTTGAAAATATACGCGTAAATTATTGTAATGTCATTTGTGAAAGATATTTTGAGTTACGTTGTATTTTTTCATGCAGTAAATAACTCGCTTATTTATCTTAAAGTTAAATGGCTTACTTTCAGATTCCTTATGACTTCACTAAAATACAATGAAAGGGAATATGAAGCTTGTGATTGGTTTTTAAATATACAAACACAAAGATCTGTCTCTGAACTTCAATCAGATCTGTTCGTCTCAAATAGCGGATTCTTGGTTGATAACAGAACACAACGTTTTGTAGAGCGTTACTTCAATGCATTTTATTTAGTTGATGTTGGTGGGGAGTTTGAAAATGATATTTGTATATTAAGGCATAGCAATACTTTGTGTGTTGTTGGTCTTGCTTGTGGGCACCATATTTTTAAAAGGTGTAGCAAGAATTCCTCTAGTGACTGTTCTTCTTCCGTAACTCACGAAATTTTAGGATTAGACTATCAGGTAAATATTTGTTACCTTTCCTCATATAATTTATACTGATTTTAAATCATTCATGTTGAGCAAATTTGTATTACGTCCCTTTGTCTTTATATTGTAGTTTGATTTTTATGACATGCATTTCATTTTTAGTACGCACATGACTATCAAAATAACTCTTTTCTACTATGAATGTGTGTTTGATATTACTGTTACCTCCCATGGAGGAGCATAAGGCGTCCACCAGAACTCTCCATCGAGCATTGTTGCGAGCGATCCTTCCTAGTTGTTATCCATTCTTTTGATGTCTACTTCAGATTGCCAACTCAATGTGCTTCTTCGTCTTTTCCCTTTCCCTTCAGGATTACAAGTTAGCGCTTGTCTTGTGATGCAGTTTGATTTCCTCAATGTGTGTCCTATCCACTTCCAACATCGTTTCCTAATTTCCTCCTCAATCAACGGACATTGACTATCTATAGTAGACAATTGTTTATAAATATACTTGTACTGTTTTGGTGATGGATGTGGTAGTTATCCACGTCTCAGCTTCGTACAGTAGAACTGACTGTCTTGACGTTAGTATTGAAGATTCTGACTTTGATATTTGTTGACAGACAGTTATTTTGAGTTCCACATGTTCTTCAAGTATAGGGATGCCGTTGTTGCCTTACCGACCCTCGCCTTTACGTCTGCACCAGATCCCTCACGTTCATCGGTGACGCTGCATAAGCAAGTGAAAGTTTCCACATCTTCCAGGTCTTCTCCATCAAGTGTGGTTGCGTTGGTGTTCTCTGTGTTGTATTTGAGAATTTTGCTTGTTCCCTTGTGTATTGTTGAGGCCTTCTGATGTAGAAACTGCTGCTACACTGACTGTATTCACCTGCATCAGTTCTTGTGTACGGGCTAGAAGAGCTAGGTAGATGATATACGAAGTCCAAATCTTCTAGTTGCATGTAAGGTTGTACATTGTATGCCGTGTTTCTCATGAGATATGGAAGTCTTCATAACCCAGTCAACCCTCAGAAAAAAAGAGAAAGAAGGGGAGTAGGCAGCCTTGCTAACCTCGATCCTCACGTGGAATGCGTCTGTCAGCTGTTCTTCGTGCATAACTCTGCAGTATAGTCGGTCCTATGAAATCGGTGTGATGTTGACGATCTTTTCGTGTACACCATACTGTCGAAGAACTTTCTACAAAGTTTTATTGTCCATGCTGTCAAACGCTTCTGTATAGTCAAGGAAGTTGATGTAAAGTGACGAATTCCATCCAATTGATTGTTCAACAACGATCAGTAGTGTCGCAATTTGGTCCGCGCACGAAAAATTCTTACGGAATCCAGCCTGTTGATCTCAGATCTCCTTTCTCTGGTATGTTGATGAGGTGCCCTTCTTTTCAATCCATTGGCGCGTAATCATCCCTCTGAGTCTTCCTGAATAGAACGTGGAGCATGTTTGCAGTTACCTCTGTATGTGACATCAGTGCTTTAGCTGGGATATTGTCTGGTGCTGTTGCTTTCCCACACTTGATTTGTCTAATGGCTATCCTGGTTTCTTCGATCGTTGGTTCAGTGACATCTATAGAATGGTCTGTGTAAGCTGTTTCATTCTCCAGCGGATTCAATGTAGCCCTTCCACGTATTTCTGCTTGTCGGCTCCAATGCCCTTCTTCATCTGCTTGTTTGCTTCTGTGCATTCGGTGTGCCTTGACTTTCTCCGTTCTTGTTCGTCTGTTATTCATTGCCGTCTTCTTGTTCTTCCTATCTTGAATCTTGACCAGGGTTTCCATAGAGATCCATTCCTTATGATGATGCTTCTTGTGGCCCAGAAACTCCTGACATGTTGAAGTTAATGCTTCTTTCATCCCTTTCCGACTGTCCTCCATAGTAGTTTTTTCTTTCAGTATATCCTGTAAGGATTGGAACCTGTTGTTGAGAGTTATACTGAATTCGTTGAGTTTGTCAGTATCTCGAAGGAATTCTGTATTGAACCTTTGTAATGCTGTTTCTTCACTTATCCATTGCTGTTTTTGCTTCAGTTTCATTTTGGCAACCACCATGTAGGTGGATTAAGTTTGATATAGGTGTGTTTTAGTTATCTGTATCAGCATATTTAAGTATATTAATTGGTAGCTCGGAGGATTTTTTTAAGCTCATGTAATATTTAGTTTTAAGATTTAGAAATTGGCATTTCCTTAACTTTATGTTCTGATTCCGGTTACCTGTATGTATACCTAAGACATGTGATTATATCTTCCCATATCGTGACTGCAAGGTTGGGAAATAGGTGTTCACTGTTATGTGAACTAATATTCGCTGTTCAAGGAGTCTTTCAACACGTTTTAATGGATCACAATGTTGGTTTTAGTATTTGGTTAATATTTGCTTAAAGTCCATCAAGTAACAATCAAAATAATGACTCAGTGAATGGTTAATTATTGATGCAAATACGAAACTATAATTATCCTAGAACTCAGTTACCTTATATATTCCTGTGAATGATAATCTCCAACGGAAACTAATACATTGAATATACTCCATAATTTCATTATTACTTGATTATTTTAGGTTTCCAATGGATTAAATCGTTCGAAAAAAAATGTCAAAGGCCGTCGTAAACATGGAGGTCATGTTTTGAATAAATCTACAGACATAATAGCTTATGCTATTTGTGATCGTGAAATAAAGCATCCTGTAGTGTGTGGCATTCCAGGCAATCTTTTGGAAGTTAATAATTCTCTAGACATTACAAAAACCGAGTTTCATCCTCCTATCTCAGAAGATTTAGGCTATTTAAATTCAAAAGTGAAGTTAACTCCTTTGATAGGAAGCGAGAGTACTATTAATGTTGGTACCTACTTATCCATTATATTGCCAAAACCAAGACCAAGGAAGGATCAAAGTGGGTGTATAATTGATAAGTCCATTGATGAGTCGATTTTACTGATTGATTCTCCCACTCAAAACTCTACAGCATTAGTTGGTGATGTTTCAGAAAAGCTTGATGATTTAACCCAATCAGACTATGCAGCACAGATTGCTGATTTTATTTCACAGACATCTCTTCCTAAAGAACAAAAGGTACTTAACTGGAATGAATATTCAGCCCTTCGACATTGTACATAGATTATTCTGTGATATTATTTTTTATACTATATTTTTACATTTAAATATATAAATGCTTAACTATACGTGATTTTCTTGATTTATGCAATTAATACTATGAAGTATTAGTCACTAAACTTAACTAACTAGTAATTTTGTTAATCGCCCTTAAATCTTTTACTTCAATACTAACTGGAATTATAAAAACTTTAATTAGTGGTCTGTTTATAGGGTATAACTAAAACTGGATTTCTTCACTTTTCAAAGATCTTTGCGTGAATGTATTTTCAAGATAAATCGTTTGAAAACATCCTTTTAGTGCGCAAAACGTTTTTAATACGAATATCAACTTGAGCATTTAATGTTTTAAGGGATGATTTTATTATTTAAGCCATTAACAACCAGACGATTATTAAGTTTTCCTTGTTTAAAATTTCGTTTTAATACCTTTGTTCATCCTACCTCACTGCCACCATATGTAACAGAACTTTATTATCCGTATTATTATAATTATTATCATCCTGAAAAATAAGTATATATAAATATGCGGTTGTACATCTTTAGAAGTGAATTCGCCGGAAAGAGAACTCCTCGCTGAACTTATCTATCTTATTTAATGTATTAATGGGTGTATTCCGTTTTGGTTTCGAACACTAATTATACTGATGGTTTCATCATACATATTTTTCATAATTAAATAAATAGAGGTAAGTTTGATCAACAATAGTTGTGGGTTAGTAAATTTCAGTATATAATCTTTACTCATGAAATAGTAATCACATAGGTCTATTTATTCTGCCATTTAGTATTCACAGATTTTGATTATATGAGCAGTCTAACTCATTAAGAATAATATATTCGAGTGAATGGTTTAGGTCTTCTATATTACTAACAGTCATTTATTCGAAGATTATTATTGATAGCATCAACACACTTAGTAAACTCGAAGGCTCATGATTTTCAAATAACAGCTATTCTCAATATTGAACCTTACGTCTTTACAAATAATCATTATAATTTTGAACTAAGCTACATCACTAATATATATGTATATATATACTTGGGAACAATTAAAACAATGCATCAGTTGATCGAAGTGTTACACTTTTGGGTAGTAAGTCCTACTGTATTGTTTGACACGGAGTCCTGAAAATGAAGGTTCGTTTATTGTTTAAAGCGCAGTTTCAGGTTTAAAGCAGCACTTGGTAAACTGAAATCGTTAATTTTGGTGCCACATTCGGTAAAACAAATCCGTAGAAGAAGGGCTCATGGCAGGAATAGAAGAAATACTAGGATGAGGCTGTTATCGGGATCAAGATAGATTAGGGTGCTACTTGAGTTGTGCAGGCAGTTGAACCTATCAGATCTCTCATGAGGTGAGAGAACATTTATTCTTGAGGGATCTCTAATTGGTACCAGGAATTTTTTATACAAAAGGTATATCTGTGCTTTCTCTTTTTTGATAGCTTCCAATTGTGGAGATACCAAGTGGAGATACCACTTATCCGTGCTAAACATTTTATCACTACTGGAGCACGGTACAGTTGGTAGTTTCCTCTAATTTCAACAATACTATGCTATATCTGATTAATTAGATGTAAGTAATGGGAGATAAATATGAACTAATAAAATAACTTTCTGGAGCCAGTCTTAGTGGATTTTTGAGTTGACTATTAGCTGGGTAGTTTATAGTTGAAATGCTACTCTACCCATTATTATTATTATTATTATTATTATTATTATTATTATTATTATTGTTATTATTATTATTATTGTTATTATTATTATTATTATTGTTATTGTTATTATTATTATTATTATTATTATTATTATTATTATTATTATTATTATTATTATTATTATTATTATTATTATTATTATTATTATTATTATTATTATTATTATTATTATTGAGTAATGAATGTACTCCATCAGTCAAATACTCATTTGCTCAAAATATTTGACTGATTCCTAACTCTCATTATTTTCCCGTTTTTGTTTGGATACAGAAAACCGTTTCTGTGTTATGTATTCAGACAGTCTAAGTAGTTTATTAATTGAAAAATTATCGACACGGTTATCTACTCTTTCAATGTTCGAAGTAATAAATGTGGATTTTTATGTAGTCACCATTGGAATAAACCACATCAGCAGGTTTAGTCGATTAACATTTCGAGTTTCATACACATTATTTTTACCTATAATAATGCAAACATTTTGTGTACAGCAGCGTTTGGTCCCCAAGTTATACCGATTTTTTATTTTTTATAAAAGATATTTCTCTTTTGAAATGAGTATCTAGTTTGATCATAATTGCTACAGATGTGAACAATGACTTACTCCTCTAATAGATAAATCGCAAAAGTATGATAAAGCAATTTATATATCATGGAATACAGGTAGTTCTAATATGATGAAGTTCTAATACTCAAAATGTACGTAGAAATATTGAAGCTCCTGTTATAACTTGTCAATGGAATGCTAGAATATCATATATTATACGATAAAAATATACGCATAGTGTTGTTCCATAAATGGATCCCAAAAATTACCATTCCTTATCCATATCGAGACGTAACACACCCCTGTTTTGAAGATCTGGAGTTGATATCCGGATTTTAGATTTCCCGAGCTTATCTTCCCCCACGAAGTAGTGTTGGGTCCTCATGTTTCCAAGTTACAATTAATTTGGATTTATTTAAAACATTTGTCGCATTGAACAGAGAATCTACTGAAAGTAACTAAGTGGTGAGGATCAACGACACTTGATATGAGGTCATCGAAGTTTGATTCTTCTGAAACATTTACATCAAATTTATTGAAAACCTCATTAGTAGATGATGACTCATTAGGGTAAACAGCATCTATCAAAACTGTACTAAGTTCTTTATTATCATTTGGTGCATGTGACACATTTTCTGGTAAAACAAAGGAATCTCGATAATTAGATTCGTCAGAAACTTCTATCACTGAATGATGAGCTCCATTTGGTGCATCTGGATTCAGTGTACTGCTTGATTCGTTTTCTGTTTCTTCATGGGCGGTTACTGCGACAATTTCATGAACATTTAACAGGATATCGTCTTTTTGAGAGCTGGATAAGCCACTGTTTGCACATGCTGTTTCGGAGATAATGGGGTTCGAGTTCATTACCGGACATGTTTCTGAAATGGACCGCTACACCACTGGGTGGATCTTGAATAACTGTTGTTTCGTTTAAATTAGGGTTTGTTGAGGATTCATGGAGGCTGCAATCATTTTCAAGCTCGGTGCGCAATTAAGAAATTAATCCATTCAGTTCCGTCGCATCTCCAAAGCATGAGTGATTCAGCAGCTATGTGCGTAGTTTGACTAAGAACTTCAACTGTCGCTCAAATAGCAACTGTAATCGATCGGAAGGGAGAGTCATTTTCTGAATCAACACAGTAATGAAAAATACTGTATGACTAATGAACAATCCATGTCGTTGAAGGACACCGGCGAGAACCCTATATGCTGATTGTTCAGGTAACTAATAATGGTCTAGGAGAGATTAGTTAATGATTTGAACTATGAATTTACTGAACTGATTACAAAAATAAATTATGTTTCAGTATTGAATATAATTTATTGGGATATAGTAACATCAAAGTTTAAATATTACACACACACACAACAACAACAAAAACAAACTAATTCTATGAGAAGTATTCAGTTCATGTGTATCAATTTTTAGGTTGACGAATGAGATTAATTAGATAATATATAACCTATTTCAATTGTAACTCTTCAAATTCACATAGATAAGTAAAATAAAATACAACATGCAAGTATAATTAAATGTAATACAATAGAAAAAAGATTGACATTTCAAGAATAAAGCTTTCCTAAATAAAACACTTTTTTTTGAAGGAAAATTCGAGAATTCAATTTTAATTTTTCTTTTTTTTAACAAATCAGTTTTATAAATAATTAAGTTAATGTAAAGTTGAAAAATATGAACTGGGATAAAATGAATTTATCATTTCATTAAATTATAACTGATACATTTCATATTTCTTTATGACATCCAGGTTCATTATCAGGACATGCACATGTACGTGATCTACCACCGTCATTTGGTAAACATATATAACGACATCGTCCATTAGAATAAGTGCATGGATTAGTTGAAGCTAAATAGGTAATTAATATCGATAAAAATATTATAATTAATTGTTTTGATTAGTTTAAATGGTTGGGGGGTATGTAAATGAAAATATTTATCGTCATCATAGTGATGATGAATCCATCAATCAAAATAATGAATATTACTAATGAATAATTATAAATAAGACAAGTTTGTACATACTATGCATGTTATTAAGCACATATTCCCTTGGTTACGTATACATTGACTTTGAAAATATCTGGTCAATTGTTGTACAACTAGAACCATAATCATTGACTACACTAATATTAGTTCCATTCATTAGTCGAACTGATAAAATGCAACAATATTATCATGGAAAATATACTATGTATTTTCGTTTATTAAAAATTCTACTTACTTTCGGAGAAAATATTTTATAGAAAAATGATTATAGCTGCTGATCAGAAGATTCTGTGGCAGTTTGCTCTTGAATGACTTACCAAATGAGTAAATAAACACTACGAAGGCTCTCTAATTAGGGACTATTGGTTGAGTCAGGAACCGTCAGCGAAATTGTTAACCTCAATTGTCATTAATCGGAGCTGCTCATCTTTATTCAATTTTATCATCAATATCCTTTCGGAAATAAAATGTTTCTTCGACCAACTTCTCAGGGGTCAACCCCCTACATGGAAGTTCGCCTGTCGATTTAGAATGATTAGATTACATATTGTTACTGAGTGAAAATAATGACAAACTGCAGAATCCCTTAATCGTTCTCAGCAAAAATGTTAGTATGTTTCGTACGCGAAGTGCTGCTTCAGGACTGGTTTGCATTAACGCCTGAACTGATGATATGGAGTGAAGTAGTTTTATTCTTTTGACCACTTTATTTATCTTGGAAGCCTCATCAGCCCTGGTGGTTTGGTGTCTGACGAAACCTCGGTTGGCTCTTGACAACGTGCGTCGCTTGTGGCTTGGACGAAATGTTCATCTGACAACCAAGGGACGTGTATATTCCACAGCAATCCGTTTTGTACTACTTTATATCCGTGAACCATAGTCTATCAAAGTAGAAGATATTCGTGGGCTAAAGGTTTTTGATCATATTTGTCTTCAAAGCAGTGCTCGCGTTTTGTGAAATAACCGAATGAGCATTTGTGAGCTTAGACATAAGGTAATTGGTAGGAGTAACAACTCGGTTGATGAGATAATAAAATTTTCACAGACTAAGGTGGTTTTGCAATGTGTTATGTATCATCAACCATAGCCGATTTAAGTGAGTGAAGCTTGCAAGTGCAGAGGTAGGTTGGAAAAAGTTAGGAGCGTTCAAAACAAAAGGCGATTAATGGTGTTAGGAATTGTTAGATGTTAACTATCCGGTTAAGGTCCGCTTGATAACCACTATCAATGGTTGCATATGTTAGGTAACATGCTTCAGAATCAGTCACAGCCGCGTAGATCTATCTACTCATTATCTTCATCCGGATTGAAGTTCTGATACTTTCCCGTTTTATCATGCTCTCAAGATCATTAGGCATGAAACTGCATAGTAATTTGATTTTTGATGGATATTCTCAATAGTAAATGGTCGTTTATGAAAAATTTGACCTCAGTTAATTCTAGTTGTGAATAAAAAAGTAAACTTTTAAAATAATCATGCTATTTGGTATGTAAATTAGATCTGTGTAAAACATTTTAGAGGAGACTATGGATATTCTACAACGACAGTAGTAAATTACCACCTTATTTACGAAAAGGATGATGTAAGTTGGAATAAAATGTGATTTGTCAATAGAAAAACAAACCGTATGTCTCCAGGTAACTAATGCATTGCTCTAAATATGAAACTATGAGATTCAGCTTCTGATAAGATTTCAAATTCAATTTATTCACAAAGTGTTGCGATTGGCTGCTATGTGGATAAAAGGTATGTAGCTAACTTCCTTTTTTTCAGTCTAATTGTTCAAACAGGTTCTCTCATTCTATTCTAAATAAGGGTGAATTCGATCAGGATGATCATATTTCTGTAACCTATTGCTCACAAAAAAGCTGTCAATAGATGAGTCCTAACATAATCAGTTAACAATAATCTGGGTGCAGGAAACTGCTTCTTGTTCATTTTATTAAAATTACATGTATTACCCAGAATGCAAAATCAATTGTCAATGGCATGGTCAAATTTGTTTTAAAACAATGATCCTAATAAATGTTTATTTATTAGGAATTTACTATTGAATTATGTAGAATAAATTCAAAAGATCTGAAATTACCTTGTGGACAATCACCTAATACTGATAAGGCTTGGAAACGATTGGAACAACAGACATAACGGACACGTATTCGGCGATCAGGATTGATAGAGTAATAGACTGTCCTAAATTTAAGGAGAAATGTAAATATTTAGAATAGTTTTAGTAATATATCAAATATTTTATTGTAAGTTAATATATTAACTGTTAATATTTTGATCGTAAACTTCTTTTTTAAATGAAATCGATCAGACGTTTATAACGCTAAAATCATTGAAACAAGGATCAAAAACAATACGTGTAGAAATGTCATTCTATAAATAAACCGTTTCTTTTTCATTATTTTAATATCAGTTTGAAGGATATTGATCAAAGAAGATAAGGGGACCAATTACTTAGCTAAGAGGCCCAACATCACAGTTAGCTATTTTTTGTACTTATTCTATATTTTCTCTTGTGTATCAGAAATTCTCTGGTTTCATACATTTTGGTAAAATAAGGCAAAACTATTCGTTACATAAATGAAGTGGTAATATTGTACAGATGGAGGAGGAAGAGCCTTGCAATCTAGAAACAAATAGAAATGGCGGTATTGAATTAGAGCTTTATTTTACCTCAAAATATAACCTAGAATAGTTTCCAAAACGTCAAGGAATTGAATAGAAATTTTTCAAAAAACACCACAGAAAAATCCAACAGGATAACGTATAGTTTCTGTTCTGAACCATATACGATAAAGTTTAAAGCCACTTAGTTTCATGGTCTCTATGACCCCAGCCGAAGAATGGTTATGCACTAAGAAATCTTACTCCTTCATGTCACATGAGACGAAATCAAATGGCACACGTAGCTTCAGAAAATTTACGCCAGACTTCATGTTTGGCGGCAACTTGTGAAAAACTAACCATTTACGAACTGAGGACTATTGGACAATATATAACTATCAAACTCCCATAGATGAACTCCTTGCATCCATCAGCTCAGTTTAGGATTCGATCGTCCACTTTTCAACCTTTCAGAATAGTAAAAGCACCGCCACATGATAGGAGTGAGTAGGACTTACCCGACAGAGACTATAAACCTATATCCGTATGATAGGATTTTCAAACAGAGCATACTTTCGATTTCCATATATTTCAGGGAGATTACAAGATCTTTAAATTTATTACTTGTTCCGACAGAATGTTATAAGTAACGTTGCAATAAAATAGTTAGGCTACCGTTAGGATGAGAACCATACTTAGTGACCAAAAACAGCCAGAAATATACCGGTGTAAATTTTAGAGTTATTATCGGAGTGTGGTTTTTATCTGCATATTCATTTCAATAGCGAAAAGAAAAAAATTGTAATGAAACAGTATTTCTTTAGAAAGTTGGAATTTTGAACACATTCATAAGGAAATTAGGATTACTCGGGATATAAACTTGAAATTTACAGCTTTTGAAGTCCGAAAATGAATTCAGGAAAAGCAATTACCAGTGGAGAATTCTAGCTTTTATTGATTAATAGACATTAAGAGTCAATCAAAAGATTGTCTATAAAAACACATTTTTAAATATGTTCTTTATTCTGACTCAAAAGGATGTAAATGGAGAGGTTGATATATGAACTGGATCGTAGTGCATTTGGAATGCAGTAAATTTATGAGTTGAAGAAAATTATATAGTCATTAATAACAAGCTAATTCTTTCTTCCTGTACTATATCCGTATACACAATCTTTCTTTAACACATTACTAACATTGAAGTAACTACTTCTATGAATTCGGTGTCCGCCTTGTTGTGCTAATGAGGTGTGGCAACTTGGACCGAAGCATATATATGCCTAATCCTACGTTGTAGCTGACTGACAGACGTACTGATGATAAAATTAAACAATCCCTAAAACATAGTTCAAAAACAATCCATTTAACTGCTATTTGGTCCTATTTTGGGACCCCTCAGCAGTGTGTATCCACAATCCCACCCCACGGGATTCGAACCCAGGACCTATCAGTCTCGCGCGCGAGCGTTTAACCATTAACTAGCATTAGAAAGAAGTTATTTCATGATGGATCAGTTAGATTGGACTAATTCTGTCATCTATTACAAAATGATTATTTATTTGTTAATTGTTCATTTCTTGTTGCATATTAGAGTGAACTTATAAGAACCTAAAAACTGAAACGTTCAGTGTTAAAAAAGTTAACGATATTAGAATGAAATAGTCTTATTAAAACAATAGCCTTTATGGAAATTTGTAGATAATGTTGTAACTAATTAAATTTAGCCTATGGAATGAAATTTTGTGAAATTCCTTAATTGATAAATAGTATTCTTAAAAGAAATTTACTTCACTTCACTTATTATAAAAGCTTATTTCAAAAATTGATTACTTTGAAGCATCTGTCCACAATAATGTTCCTTTATATTGTGTCATACCAAAAGATGGTTCTTCAGAAGGACTGAATTCTCTAATCTTTTCATTGGTTAATATCTCTCTACCTGTTTGACCTAATCGTGCACAATGTAGTTCAGTGACTAGTCCAAACATTCCTTTAGAAGATCTTTGCATCCAGCATAATTTTCCAGCGGAATTACCATTAACTGGCGTTGCTGGTGATATACTAATTGCCAATGGTTCACCAGTTAGTTGTAATAATTGCTCCTCATTTTCACCAGACATTGAAGCCACTTGAATTGTACCATTCGGTCTCCAACCGTCTGTGTATATTGCCCAGTACATTAGACTGATTATAGCAGTAAAAATAGATAAGCAAGTAAATACATGTATATCTCAAAAAGACGAATAATTTGGAAATTCAGTGTCTAAATGGTATCGAAATTTAAACATATGAGGAATGTTCCCTTATTTTACTTAACTGTAGCATTCTTAAGTAAGCGCAATGTAAAGCAGTGAGTATAATCCCTACCAACAGTTGTATAGAGAGGTAGAATTATAATCTATCACACAATTAATATGTGTAATCCTGTATTTGGACAGTAAGGTAGATTTAATTTTAAATGAGTGTATGCTAATACTAGAGTAGTCTTATAATGATAATAATATTCTTACATTCAAGACTAGTGTTTGAAATCATAATCATTTCGTTTGGAAATTTGGTAACTTGAAGCTAGTTACAGTGAACTTGAAGATAATATAACAAGTAATGGAATGCATTGAGCGTTGAATACAACCAAGCATATTTACAGCCATTAATAGAAACTCTAGACACTAGAAAATTAAAGGTTTATGATTAAAACGTTCCGAATAGAAAGTTCGACACCATTAAAGTACATACACCAGCTACCAACTTATCTAATCTTTTAAAAAACGGAACGTATGTAAATATGTATAATACTTACAGATCTAACAATATTACTATATATTCATCTATCGATATTCTATTTACTCACCCTAATGTGGAGTGCAAAGCTAGCCCAGCGAAATTCTGTTGTTCAGATGAAGTTAGGCTATGTAAACTTTCAAGTGTATAATGAATATTTGGTTTATTTGGATTGAATACCATAATTTTTCCAAAGGCCTCTTCCCAGGCAAACACATTTCCAGACAATGAATCTACCGCCAAATTGCGAAATCGGTTAAATTGTGAAGTGTATATTTCTTTTGTCACCAATTTATTTTGTCCAGAGTTTGAATTACCCCATCGGATAGTATGACCATAATCAGATGTATATATAATTCGTTGACTATTACAATCACCGACCATGGAGACACGTCCATATTTGTTATTTTCAGCTAGATAGGGCAATAGAAACAGAAGTTACGGGTTACAGTTAAGATAAAATTTAACTTGAAGGATAGTCTCCTGAAAAGTATATACATATGGATAAAGTAATTCAAAATGAAAATGATGCATCTGGAGGCCTTTATGATGATAAATTATGGCATTGGTAATTTTTTTATGATAAATTACATGTTATGGAACTAACGTTTAAACACTAGTTTTAAAATATTTTGATAAATTAGATTTAAACTACTTACTACTAACTCTCTTTTTCATCACCTGATTAATGTCGGAAACTGAGATCAGAGGTTTGTGGAAAGGGACCAATTTGAACTTAGTTTTCACCACAGATTAACATAAAACGGTTAATCATTTAAAACCAAGGATTGGTACCTGACGATTTTTACACCTTAATTTTGAATTGTATAGCATTACACATGCGTAATCAAATCTGGTACCTTCAGTTATCTAGTTAAGGACGATACATATAAATTTTTAGTTCGGATTCCAGTAGTCTACTCTCAAACTTCGGTTGAACTTCCATATTGTGTGACAATATTTCAATGCTGTCGGTAACGTAGATCACCGTTTAATACTAGGACTTCAGGAATCCAGTACGAATTCAGTTGCTTTACAGTACATGATTATTTTTAAGTTTATTTAAATTGAAATTTTTTGAGAAACCTTATATTAGAATAAAGCAACTCTCCAACAAACCAAGATTTTGAAAGGTTCTTCAACAGATGTCAGACTGTAATAAAATTACTTTGGAAAATTAGTTAATGTACTTCTGAAATATTGTAGAATGAGTAGGATTATGAAGTGTAACATCTACTAAAATCATATTAAAGACTATTTCATCAGTTGAATAGTCAAAAATCATGTAAGTATTTTAATGTCTAACTTCGTCCAACCTCATTTTCAAAGATTATAATTTTTAGTAATCTCAAACGTCTTTATCTCTCTTCTATTTCTGCCAATTCATTTTTATAGAATATTTTGTTCCTTTTCTGATAAGAAGGAAATATCTGGAGTAGTTTGATAATTCTCAGTCATAGAATTATGCTAAATTTAGTAAGGGAGTTCTTTTTTAGTAAGATCGGTTAAATATTAAATCCGGTTGATTAAAATTGTTTTTCAAATATTGTGACTAGATTTTCAGTTTCATTACAGTTCGATAATTATCAAAGGTTATATGGAAGGGTTTGGATATACTGCATGACAGATTCTAAAGTTTCATTCTATATTAGGCAAATGACTAGAATCAGTTGCACATCTTGAGATGGAACAAGTTTGTTTTTTTCTCTATAGAACTAAACCAGTAAATATTCAGAAATGGTTCACAAACTTTGGAATGACATTTATTTGTCAGGTTAATGTAGTACGTAACTGTAACCGTAAAGCTTCAAAAAATATTTTGTTATATTAGAAAAAATCATTATGCAACTCGAGTTTAATCAGGAATAAAACTAAAGTCTATTCAGATTTGCAAGATAAGAGTGGCTGTAAATTAGAAGCCCAGCCTGATAAACAAGTTGATTGATCATTGTGCAGCAGCTGCGTTCTATTAATTAAGTGCAATTCTATAGAACTTGAGATAGTGTCGTAACTTAGACTGATGTCGATATTACAAATGATAGTTATGATTCCATCAAAACTATTGTCTAGATAAACGCTAGATTAGTTGTTGTGTGTGCTAGTTATTTCTGTTGACATAAGTAATACGTATACCAATAGGAAGTGGAAAACCTGTCAGCAGAAGGCTAGGTAGATTGAGTTGAGGAGAATAGAAGAGAAAACAGAAAGGAATTATGAACTGGAAGAATCATACAGAAAGTGAAAGACAAATGATGGAAATTCACAAAAGAAGTATCCAGTGTATAATTTGTATATTTTACCAAGAGATTCTTTAATTATGTATTCCGATAGAATCGGTTATCACCCCTTGTATTCCCGTTCACAACATTACCTATTATCCACTGACTAGTTGCAGCTCGAATATTTCACTTACAATATCTCTGACTGCTATACTATATGAGGAGGATCAAATCCTACAGGAAACATCAACTCCCTCAATAATGGGGATCACACCTTTGGTTACAAATGCCCACTGCCATAAAACTAGGTACTTTTTGTTATCTGCTTTCAACCACCTAATATTCGATTTTTTTAGGGCAAAATTTAAAATCTTATTGTTGCCATAGAATAAATAAACAAAATTCCATGTATATGGCAATGAAGATGTGCAATGTTACATCTTCACAATTGATTGATCACTGGGTGGTGATCAATGTCATGTGTGTCAAGTCCTTATTTAGTGCATATCGAATGCTATCGACCAAGTTGCAATGTGGTCGCGGCCCGGATAGCTCAGTGGTAACGTCTCTGACCGTGAAGCTGGGTGACACGGGATCGAATCCGCCAGGGAGCACCAGTTCTCTCAAGATTACAGGTACACCTTGCCGACGAGTGCCAAGTAGCACGAAACCCGGGTCCAGGATTTCTTGTCGACTATTCCAACCATCATCTAATGTTACATCTTAAATCAAGAAAATCATTACAAAGCTCTCAAACTATTATTTACATATACTGTGGTGTGTGCTACTTATATTGACATAAGTAGTAGATAATGTTAGTCGTGGACAGAAGGTCTGGCAGCAAAGAGACAAGAGGATCGAACAGTAAAGAATGGAAACAGGATGCCATTTGTATGAAAATGCAAGAATAACGAATTCTGAGTCATTTTGAGACAACTAGTGGATATTTTGGAAATTACGTATTTACTATTTGATGGTTAGATTTTATTAACAAGTCCTGTAATTTTGTGTTAAATACATTCCATTGTCCCCATCCGTGTTCTTGTTTACTACAATACCCCAAGACGAATATCATATTGGTCAGATCAACTACTACTTTAGGACGATCAAATATACAGATGAGTATATCATATAAACTATACCATATCGTATAGATAAAATAAAAACAATAATATAGCATGATTCTCAATGTATCACTTACCAATATTCCATAGAGTAGCTTTGGTTACATTTGAATCGGTAGATTGTGTCATTAAAATCCCATCATCACTTGTAAGTAGCACAGTGAATGGAACTTAAAAATCAAATTGATCAAAAGTTTTAGGATTATATTTTTCTTCGGCATAACAGTTCGAAAGATTGTTAAAAGACTAAAGATGGATTACTACTTAAGAAAATTTTTAGTGTTAATACTTACCATTTCTATGACTTATTTGTTTTATAATCGTCAACAGATTTCAATGGAATATTCTATTATTTCGGAATTATTTAGATCTCCTAGCCAATCTTAACCAGGGTTCTGTTCATTTGAGTGATCATGTTTTGATGAAATGAAACGACTAGTAGTCATGACTTAAATTAGATTATTTGATGTGATGAATTTTTCATCGTAAAACTGGTATCTTAATAAAGACAATTCATTTCAGAAAGAGAGCAGTGACTTAAAGTAAGAAAACGTATGATGGAATGAAATCCCAGATCCTATAAATTCGATTTTATAAGCCTATATCTTTCTTGTTACAAAACACAATATAAAAAATTTATAAAAACTTTCGTACAGATTTAATCGAAAAGTTTCATAGTAGTTGGGCCGCGTCATCGGTGAGGAAAATTATATTCTTAAAAATCATAGCCATACATTTGATTTCAACAGTACAAGAATCCTTCAAATGGTTTTATTTCATACAAAGTGAGATTAACATCTGAAGCTTTATACATATGGGCAAATCCAAATAATATTAACGGGAGAGATGGAGTACTATTAACTGTGACATGGCAACTAATGATTGACAAGTAACCACGATCTCCATTTTACTGTTTACTAACTTAAATCCTATTTTTATTATGTGGACAACAATGATTACATTTACTTGTTCCAATCAGTGCGTTTATCTGAACAAGCAGCTTGGTCAACATGCTTGTTTATCTATCCTCATTTTATGCGTGCTATGACACATTTGATTCATATCATTTAGTCAATTGTTTATTTTCATCAAATGGATTTTTCGCACATTTGATCTGCATGAATATACATAAAATTTAAAACAATTAGTCCCTTTGATAAATTTCGATAATGATATTAGAAGACGAAGATTATCAGAACTATGTGATATATTAGCGCAATGTGACCAGATTGTTCGAAATGTATTGCGCTAATATATCATATAGTTCTGATAATCTTCGTCTTCTAATATCATTATCGAAATACATAAAATTATTATCATAACACGATTTTCTAGACCTCCCATACCAAATGTCTCATACGTTGTTACCATAGTTGGACGATGTGTTTAGCGTACGGCTAACCTTTGAACAAAATACTTAAGTTTGATTATATTTCCTTGAAAAAGCTTGGATCAAATTACTTAAACTCTTCCCAGTATTTTAAAAACTTAATTCATTTAGTCATAAGTACAAAATTAGTTCAAAGTTAAATTTACAAACATACTTGCTGATTCTTCCACATTTACATCTATGAAAGCAGCAACATTCCCTGCACGGCACTCATACCTTCCACTATCAGTTATTGCAGGTTGATTTATACGCAGGGAAATTTCATAGCCATCTTGTTGTCTAGTTTTAGTCACTATTGGTTCTTGAGCGGAATGTGGTTGAATCCATTGGCCGGAATATGACTGATCGCTTCCAGTTACGAAACATCTTAATTCAAGCGGATGAGATATATCTGTAATATGCATTACTTCTCCTTCTCCCATTATTCGAACTTTTATAGAATCTGGAAGAAATATATATTAGTTTATCATATTTAATAACGTCATTTTTTCCTGATGACTGTCACCAATGATTTCATACAAAAAATAGTAGGTAATAAAATGTAAATTTTGATGTACATTGGGTAACATATGTAAATGGATCCGAAGTCGGACAGCTTTCTAATAAAAGGTCACCTACACTAGATGCATCTAGGTCTCTTCACAAAGCTATCATTTATGAATGAAGGGGTCAAGAAAGATATTTCTTGAAAAACCAATACATTGATGATCGAACTTACCTTGCCTAACTGGAATTCGTTCACAAAATGTTTGTCCATCTCCACGATAACCAGATGGACAAATGCATCTTTCGTTTTCACGATCACAAATAGCACTCGGATGACACAGCTTACAATTCCAGTAGCAACCCCTCTCTCCATCTCCATCATAACCTGATCGACATTTACATGTTCCAGTATATCGATCACATTCCGCATTTCGTATCATACAGCCTCCACCGCACGTAGGATCAAAGGCGTGTGATGATGTGGCATCTTCTCTACCTACACTTTCAGGCTTGCAAACAGATACTCCATCTCCGGTAAAACCAGCTTTACAATGACATGAATAGGCGCCATTAAACCTGTCATCCGGTCGACAGAGGGCATCCTGATGACAATTGTCTTGCACACATTCCATACAGACACCTGCCTGAACTTCAATAAATCCACGAGCACAAACACATCGTCCACCAACACACTGAGCTATTTCTTTGAAAGGTATACCATTGCAATTACCACAATCTGCTGAAGTTGCTGTATTTAAATAGAGATATAAAGAAACACAATATAATCATATATGTACATCTTCGTACATATGATAGATAATTCCATTGCTGACAGCAAAGCTGACAAACAACTCATTGTAAACTATCGAAAAATCTCCTCGAAATTGCGGCCTACTTAGTTAAGGAATATCATTGAATTATGGTGTCACAGTGTTTAGGAATTTTAATGTTTTAAAAGGGTTATGAAGTACAACTAACTTCTAAGGTCTATCATCTAACTTAGTGGAGGAATCTTATCAAGTTCTATAAGTAGAATATATCAGTCATCCATCAGATGCTTGCATATGAGCCACGCTTTAATTGTGAGGGCTAATGATACTATCCGGTTTCCCAAACTGAAGTAGGTGAGGAGGAGTCTAAACCTGATACTGAATAGAGGAAGTTCGAGCTTCCTAGCCGCTAAGATACCGCTCCCTATATAAATTAAGTTAATAATGATAAATTCCCTCGGAAAACGAAACAAGTGTTATTAAAACTACTTTTGTAGTTGAACTCGTACATCTATAGTGACTCACGTGCAATCGAGTTTAGTTCAGTCAAGGTCTTTTGTTGACCTATTTAATGGACAAAGTCATCCATGATATAACAACTTGTTGTACTATCTTTATTATTATGCTTGTATGAAATACATATGCTTGAACATTGTTTAGCGCCTACGCATGTATTCATTCTGCTAGCTTCATTATTAACTGCTTAGTCTATTCGCTGACTCATCCATTTTCCTATACATATATATATGTGTACATTTGCACCCATTCACTACTACTACTACTACAACTACTTGCTACTGCTACAATCGTAGTTCGCTTGCTCATTCATTTTGCCTCTCTGCTGTCTGGTCCGAATTATCTACAAAATAAAACTGTAGTAGCTGCTTCTTTTTGCCTTCTGATTTCAAACATCGTTGAAGATTATACGATAACGGTTCGAGGGTGATTAATTATCGAAGCACAGCCACTACACATCAATCCCTTAATTTGTACGTCATGAGTATAAATGTTTGTTTTTCGTTACTCCCTAAATTAAATAGTAATGATCTTACCTTATTACTTCTTTCATCTGAGTAGGTTTGCAAGCTACGTCCGTTCAAGAAGGCTTAAACTATTTTTTTATTACACAAGCATTCACAGTTACGTTTTTATTTGGCAAGATGAGATAACGTATATCTCACAAGTCTCAGTCCTAGTTGTTTTTACACTTTCAAACTAACCAAAAGTATTTATAATTAAAGCGAAACGTTGACGGCTTTCTGAAGTTCAACTCAAACTTGCACCTCAAAAATGTTTTCACTAATTAGTGTTAATAAAATGTTATCAATCATAATATTCAGATCACGCTTGTCTAAGCAGTGCAATTAGGCGCCAATGTTAAGTGGATTAAAACTGATAATCATCCGATCATTTGTCTGTAGGTGGAGAACTATTCCAACTTTCAAGGAGTTTCACATCCTAAAATACAAACTCTAGGAGATATTTTTGATATGGTATTGGATCTAACGTGGTTGAATAGGTTAGCCGCTAAAAAACTTCATTCCACAGAAGAGAGTTTGTAAGGGACTTCATAGTTTTCGAGAAAAGGTAACCAAATGGATACAAACAGAGAATATTTATAATTTTACATAATCAGCAAAAATCGATATCAGCTGGGCAGCACAATAATATTGAGGTACGAAAGGTTCCAGCAATTAATTATTTCTGTAACAGTCTCAATAAGTTGTAATATTGGTTTAGATCACTTACAGCAATCTCGACTTCAACTGTTTTTGTACCTTTATTTGAAACATCATGATGGATTATCTTTTTTCAAATAAGCAAACATTTATAACTGTTAGTGTGCCATTACGAGTGATTTGACAAATAAATATACAAGATTATATTTACCTCCAGGTATTATATTACACATCTGATAGCCATCTCCTTCGTATCCATCCAAACAGCGGCACTGACCTTCAACACATCTAGCGAACTGATGGCATTGTTCTGCCCGACATAGATCTGAAGTTAATATTTTACAAAAGCAATTATACTGAGTATAGATGGGGATATATTTGACCTCATATAGGGGTAAGCATATCATGCTATTTTTCAAAAAGTTCAGAGCATAAAAAGTAGAAATGCTTTGGAGAGTATATGAAAAACATTTTATTATGCAAGGTAGTTGATTTCTCATATGAATATAAAATGGTTTCAAATTAAAGTTTTATATTTTATTAGTAACTCATTCCAAAAATGTGTTTGACTATGTTCTGTATGTTATATCTGTTTGTTTTAATGATGTTACGATGCGTGTGATAATGCCAATAAAGGTTTAAAAATAACTATCTAAATAAAAATAAACATGCTTTAATTCAAGTATTTGAAGTTTTTCGGTCTTATTGGGATAGGAACAGAGCTTACCAGTTTGTATAGGTTGACAGTTCCAATAGCCATCACCTTTATAACCATTTTTACAGCGGCAAAACCCATACTCACACTGAGCTTGGGGATGACAGCGAATACGTGCACATGGATCTCTATCTACATTAGGGTTTTATAGAATTGACTGATATAAAACATGATTATGCAAAAAACGCTTTAAAAACGCTTCATATACGTATATATGAATATCCAGTTCAGTACGTACAACCCGATTACTCGATGCTCGAAATTCAGTTACAAATTTTTTAGAGGCATATCTATCACAGTATTTCACATACACTCTTGATGAGAAATAATAAAAGATAAGTTATATTAAGATTTTTGGACATTCTACAAAATATACTATATAGTATATGTACTTATTTGATGGCGTCTGTAGCATTTCGTCAAATGATAAAAATCTCATTAACCTGAAATGCTATTGCCACGTTAGTTTGTGAATCCAAGTGACAGGCTACAGTTTTATCCTCATAACTTACTTTAACACTTACAACATAATGGTACTTATCATCACATATGATTGCAACTGTACTTTTGCACCTAAAAACAAGCTATTGTAACACGATTTAGTTCTTTTATTAACGACTTGTATGATTATTTGGCCGATAATATGTAATGTTAGAACAAAGATAAGAACTCGAATGATACAATGACACAAAGTTTATCAGAACTATTTTATATATTGTCTCAAAACAATTTAAAAAATCTGGGCAGACCTTAACTTGTTGGGATATTTATATGTGGAAAGTAAGGGTCAATTTAGAAAGATTTGAAGGTAAGAAAAATAAAATAAGGAAATACATAATAAATTATATCATTATGGATATTAGATCAATATTACCAGGGTAGGTTCAATGTAAGTACTAATATAAGGGACCTAAACTTTCAAACGGCCAAAGCCTCATTGAATCGACATATTTTCTGTAGATAAGTGATATATGAGTGCATAAATTCTGGGTTAAGATCAACCGTACGACTTGTTTGAACTGTATATTTGGTGAAGGGATGAGAGTGGTGTTTGTCATCTGCTTTTATTAGGATATTAAGCTTTATTTGTTTTTAGGGTAATTTTGGTACCTCTTCAGCCATTCCGAGATGGAAATCATCATTACTCTTCCATATATATATATATTGAAATATGACACAATCGTTTATATACTGTTTTGTGTTTTGGTTAGGTATGAACATTTCTTTGTTTAATTATAATGACGTTTGATGCACAGTGCCTTCTGTAGTGAACAAGAACACGGGCGGGGACAATCGATTGTATTCAGCGCAAAATTACAAACTATCTCAATAAAATGTGAATACCATAAAGTCAATCGTCAATTTGCAAAATATCATCCCATCATATCAAACTGTACTGTTCCCGTTGCAAACACTAATCCATTGTCTCCCATTCCATTGTACATGCGTTTTCTTACAATTCCATTGTGCTCTTGCTCTTCCTTTCTTGATCTTCGCCATCTTCTGCTGCCGGACATTACGTTCTTTTAACGCCCGTTATATACTACTTATATCAATATAAGTAGCTCACACCACACCTTCTACTGATAACCACTTCAAGCCTTCGTTGTGGCGCGGGGCTATTTAACGCACCTCTGAGCGATAAGATGAAATAGACTTATTTTTAGGTCCCAAAAGTATAGTAGTTTTCAACATACTCATAGGTTCATGCTTTCTATTGGGTATCTGTTGTGTATCACATCGTTTAACAGCTTGACCGCATCCTCGATAGTATAATTGTATAGAAATGGTCGATGCTATTGAATATGCCCTTCATTACACCTCATTTTTATTGAACTGTGCAATAACTACTGACAAAATATCACAAAAGTCTGGTAAGCTTCTCCTTTTTCTTGCCTTATCCAAACTTACCAAAAGGCCTAATTGTTTTGAATCTCAAACCTTTGTCCGGACGTTCTCTGGTTATTGCAAATTGGAATTCGAAACATTTAGATTATAAGTGCAGGGGATTTGCAGAGACTGTAGTATTTTCACCATAGAAATAGTGAATGGATCTGAGCTAGATCACTAGTGAGAGCCTGGAAGCACTGAACAGTCGTTTAGAGATTACCAAATAAAAAATCTTCTTCTAAACAAATCCTCATCAGGTTCTTAAATTAATGGCAGTGAACGTTTTTTAACTTGACTAATTTCTAACAGAAGAACCTACTGAGAACTTATTGAAAACAAAATTCTCCACTTATAAGTGGCGAATATAAATTTCGTCAAACGAAATTTCAGTAACTATGGTAAAACATTTGATGACTCCGCCAATGTTCTTGTCATGAATGGTTAGGTCCTCGTTACATTTGGCTTGTTGAATAAATTTGATTAACGTACACACGGAGTTGCTGAAACGCTAGAAATGATTTATAGTCCAAGAAGATAGAAACTATATAGCATCCTCAAAGTTGTATTAATCAGTCGTTGAAGTTCAATCATTCAACTGGATGACTTCATCGGCACGTAGTTTGAGAAGAAAAAAATTTGAAAATATACTACTTATTAACGAGGTAAATATTGATGGAGTCACCTGACATGGTGGTTAAAAAGCCCATCATCGAGTGTAAAAATGACAAAGAAAAATCATAGGTTTAGTTAGATATTCCAATTAATTAGCTAGTAACACATAAAATCATGGATAAAAGGGTGCTAAACATTTAACAAAAAGCATGTGCTGTAAGCACGTAGCACTTGTTAGTTAACAAAAGCATCTACACATTTACTTAAAGACAGGCGACACAGCGACTAATCAGAGCAAAAGAACATAAAGTAAAATACATTTCTGATAGTACATTTATTATATATTGAGCACAACACGGACAAAATCTGTCTATTTAACTACTTCCAAAGAAAGCGTGCACACATAAACATACACTGGCACAATCAATTCCTCATGCTAACTTGCTAATTACGTGAATGCCTTGCCACATTTACTCACCTTCACTTTTACGTCTACACTCACTGTAGCCATCACCCTCAAAACCTTCTTTGCAACGACAGTACCCGTCGTCACATTTAGCATTTTCATGACACCGAACATTCGCACAACGATCTGAAAATATTAACATTTCTCTCTTAAATAGTTTTAAAGTAGTACTGTACTGGTTGTTGCACAGTAGAGAAGTATACTGCATATCATACACCGCATGCATATTGATGCATATTGAAAGAATTCAAAACAATTCCACCAAATAATTCATGTTGTATTTATGAATCTGGTCATAGCAGTTAACTAGAAATCCGTCACTGAATTACTTACTACTGAATCTATTTCGACGTTTCATTATGATTACTACCATTTTAAGCTTAATAGAACACCTTAGTTACTTTGAAAGCTTATACAGGAAGTGTTTTCTTCATTTTATATGAGCTAGTACACTCAAATTGTTTTTAAAGACGGAAGACATAAAGTATGATGGCTTTTATTTTCCAGAATTTTCTTCATGCATTATTTAATTTTATAAGCAGATGTGAATAATTTTATTTCAATATTTGCACATGCAAACGTTCATATCAAAGAGTGTAGTAAGTGTGTAGTTTAAAGAAATGATCTCATTGAATGTTTACAGAATTATAGAAAACATTATCTGGAAAACAGTAAAAATCACAATGAAAATTGGAAGGAAAACGTTGCAGCAGGAAAAGCTTAGACTTCTGGTGAACTATTTATATATATTTCTTGGTTTATGGTTCAAGTTATAAGGTAAAATGAATAGATTTACAAGGTATGCATCTAATAGGTAGAAAAATAATGAATAAAGATTATAAATGAAATGAAAAATGATACGTAGATATTCAATAAAGTGATTGTATAGAATGAGATGAATATACAAGAGGTTCCTCAAAATCATGTCAACAATAACACTTTTTTTCTAAACATATAATAGCGGCTTAAAAACATGATCAACAATACCTTGGTTGAACAGAAACCACTTTCTTGTATTTCTTTCGAGCAACCAAGTTAAAATATTCACAGTGGTTTGAAAAAATGTTCCTAAAGGATTCAAGCACCTCAAAAATTCTTTAGCTATTTTCCTTCATTATCTTCCTTCTCAACATTCTGCCGCCAGGCGTTCCACTTACATACTACTTACATCCGTCGACTTCAGTAGCACACACCACAATAGTATTTATATGAAGTTTTTAAATTAAGAATAATAAAGATGCAACGGATGTGCTATAGTCAAAACAAACTTATATGGTAACTTCAAGACATGCATTATTCTACCTTGAGTAATTCGTTTACACTCATAATATCCGTCTCCTTCGAAACCAGCAGGACAGAAACAGTAACCATCAGTACACTGAGCATCTGGATGACATCTCACTCGTGAGCACTTATCTGCCCGTAATGATTTGAACAATTTGTAATTAAATATTAATTGTAATGATAAAAATGTTGATTTATTTTTAACATCGCAATGAACAGAATATTAAAATTTAATCATTTCTCGACTTATGGTAAAACGCTTCATTAAAGAGTAAAAAAACTATTTCATGTTGATGCAAGTTAAAATAATAAAAGGAACTATTTACATCAAATATTGAGTGCATTCATGTAAATCTGATAAATGGAAATGACCAAGTAATTTGATTAGTAATTGTTTGCAACATGACTTCAGGCACGTTAAATAGAACTGTATGAATAGATTGTCTAAATGGTTGGATACTTAGTCCATTTTGGTTGGAGAGATAACACGAACTGATTGAGTTACTTACCTTGTTTTATAGTTATCGAAAACATTACGGATCATTTGAGCATGTTAAATATCATTAAAATGGTTACTTAATGTGGAATGTACTGCTAACGTATAGTTGATTTGTAGATTTTTAATATCAATAGGATTATTTTATTATTTAAACTAACTTTATTATACTCTTTATTATACTTCACGAGAAGATTCTTTGGAAGAAAATGTAACGGCCTCCACATAGCGTAGTCTACAAATAATTCTGTGTCGATGTAAATATATGTGTTTTTTATATCGAATCCCTAAGCTCCATGTTACTTTACGATTTTTTCGTAGTTTTTCTGTCGTAATTTGACAGTAGGGTAGGACAACTGACGATTTATGATTTTAATTTCGTTTTTCATTCATTAAGAAATCGCTGCATTTCAGTACGTTTTCATTTATCGTCTTAATAAGTGACATACATTAGTCTACAAAGAGTCAATAATTTTATTTCCTAGTCGCTGCTATAAATACATATTTACTTTTAATATTAAGAACTGTCTATCCAAACTTTAATGAGTCTGGAATTATTAAATCAACCCTAAGTAACTTTACTTACGAGATATTAAACAGTTTTTAACTTATTAACTTTGAGTTGTTGTTGTTTACTTGTATCTTCCCATTGTTGTTTAGCACTGCATTTGACCAGTCTCTTGTTGGCATATGTGCATTCCGTAAGAACTACTTTGATATTATCTTAGGTGAGAATCTCTATAAGCAAAGATGGATAGTGGTCAGCAGTGGAATCCAAGACGCGCGTTACGTCCCATTTGGGACTCGTCAGCTGGATTTGCCTGTATCTCAGTTTTGATTTTCACTCTGGCACTCGGACCCAGTGTAGTGAACGAGAACACGGGTAGGAACAATCGAATGTATTGAACACAAAATTACAGGACTTGTTAATAAAATCTAACAATCATAAAGTAAATGCTTAATTTGCAAAATGTCCACCAATTGTCTCAAAATGACTCAAACTTCGTTGTTCTTGGATTTTCATACCAATGGCATCCTGTTTCCAATCTTTACTGTTCGGTCCTCTTTCCTCTCTGCTGCCAGACCTTCTGTTCACGACTAACATCATCTACTACTTATGTCAATATAAGTAGCATACACCGCACCATGACCGTTCGCTTCAAACGCCATCGCGTTATCCACTCAGCTACTGAGTCCTAATAGCCACTTGCTTGTGTAATGGGGTGAATTTAAATTCACTTGGTACTGTTTTGTTTGTATCTCCCCACTGAGATTCAAGACTGCAATTGATCAGCCTATTATTGGCATAAGTGCATACTGTGCGTATTGCCTCGATATATGTATATATGACATTTAACCATTATGTGTAATCTTCACGGGAAGAACTACATAAATAGTAACTGTGCTGAACAATCGGATTACTGCGAACATCGACAATAATCTCCACACATCGGTTCATTGCAATTTAAGATATTGAATCATCAGAAAATTAAGTCATATACATGAATCCAGTGAACACTAGTCTAAGTTAAACAGAAATACAACACTAACTTACATCTATCTACGATTGTGCTCGTCTCAAATAAAACAAACAAATAATTCGGTAGACAACTATGAATGTATGTAGAATCACACTAAATAGAGGGGAAAACTGAAATGAAACTATCTCATAGGAAATTCCCAAAAAACTCATATAAAAATATCTACTTTTAAGTAATTTTTAGTACTAATGTTAACTAATCCAAGGTTCTGGTGTAGTGAATTTCAAACTACTTATTCCTCAAATTATCTTTGAGACCAAATGAAAGTCCAATTCACTTATTACTTGCTGACAAAATGAAATACAGAGTAGTAAATTTTTGAAAAAAAAGTAAAACAATGACTTAGTGATTTAAGTAATCAACCTTCAATTACCAGGTTACAAGTTCTGGGCTTAATAATCAATAGAAATCTTAGCTACTAAAGATATCCAAAGTATAATGTTAATGTGTCAATAACAATACATTGTCTTATAATTTTATCGTTTCTAGCCTGAAAATAAAAGGAATAACATTACAATTTACTGGATAGAAAATAATTCAAAAAGTTTAAAATAATAACAAAATTATTTTTAGAGAAGAAAAATGAATCTTACCTTCTGTAACTAGTCGGCAATCTGAATAACCATCACCATCATAACCAGTAACACAACGACACTGTCCTCTATCACATGTAGCATATTGATGACATTGTACATTACCACACAATTTCACTATAAAACCAATAAAATTTCAAAACTTACAATAACTGAATTAAAAGTACAGATAATCATTTGACTCTCTGTAATCAACATAAATCATATTGAATTTAAATAGAAAATCTATTGAAATATAAATTGTCAGTAATTCTTTTCAAAAGTTTTTTTCTTCATTTTACTCATTACCTAGTTTAACCATTCAGACATGAGATATTCTTATGGACTCATGATCTCAACTATTGAAATTACTATAATATTCACATAAAACCCCTTCTGATATTAATCAACATATGCTCACTAGTAACTGGCTTTAAGAGGTATTTCCTGGAGTTGTGGTAACAAGCAGTGACCAGTGGACTTCAACCAGGTTTGTTGTCAGATAGTAACTCACTGAACACAATAGTGGATGTATAGCTCAATTTCGTGGATTAGTTGAAGTTAGACATTAACACCGTTGTGTGTCAACTGGCTCAGTGGTCTAGTGGCTAGGCGCCCGCGCGCGAGACTGATAAGTCTTGGGTTCGAATCTCGCGGGGGGGGGCGTGGATGCGCACTACTGACGAATCCCACAACAGGACGAAACAATCGTCCAGTGCTTCCAGGTTTTGCATGATGGTCTAGCTTCAATTGATTCTTGATCTCAACTATTGAAATTACTATAATATCCACAAAAACCCTTTCTGATATTCTTATATGTTTTAAAGAAAATTTCTGAAATGTCTCCTTTGAAGTAGTGTTTTTTTTTCAAAGGAACAAAATGTAATTAATCGAAAAGCTTTTATGATTGTTTAAAAGCAATAGTTCATTAGTAATGAATAGACTACTCATTTTTTAAATACAAAATGTCTTAGCCTGTGCAATTATTTGTATTTATAAATTATTATGAATGATAGTCTTCTAATATACATGTGCACTAACATGAATAATAAGTCAATATTATGATGTAATAGTGACTAGTAGTTATGCTTTTCTTTCCTGACTGAAAGTTTAGAAATATAGGAACTTCAATAGTGTATCAAGTGTAGAAAAATATGTTATCAGAGATTAGGGATTTATTGTTGATGACCAATGAGAATGAAACAATGCGAAGTAAATATCAGTAAATGAAAATTAATAATGATAAAATAATGTGGTTTTTTTATGGCTGATATTATTTTAATTTGAAGCTTTAGGTTAAAATCTCTCAAGCTGGAAAATGTATGATTTCCATCATTTTAAAAATGATCCATCATGACTGTTCATAAAACATAATAGATTTTAATTGATCACACACAAAAGCCATTTAGATTTGCTGAAAATGAAAATGAAAGTCTATCAAGTAGGCGAATTAATTGAATTTCCATATAACCACGAAATGAAGGAATGTATTACATGTAAATGGTTTTTTGTACCTAGTGTATAATTGCATTCAGTTATTACTGAGCATATCGTTGACATTTTCTAATCCTTCATAACTATCAGTAGTGAATAGAACTCGATGTCACTTCGGTCTCTCGAAACAGTAGCAACTGAAAAACTGGTTTATATGTCCAGGAATAGACAATAATCAATTTGGTAATGCCTTAAGAATATTCATAGCTTTGACTAATATCACGAGGAATTTTTTTATTTTTTAACCTTTTGCGATTTTATCAGTGTTTATTTTTATATTTTTTTAAACTGATCGTTATTGCGGATACACTGAAACCATTCATTCATCCATCCATCCATTTTTTCATTCACTCAATTCTTTAAACTTAGATAAACTATTCAAATCTCGTATAGCTGTTATGTAATCACTCAATTTCAAATCCCAGGCAATTATCATCTGATTGCTCTCAATCTTCTGTATTTATTTTCAAGCCATATGAAACTTATGAATACTCCTCGCAACTTCTATCATTATCATAGGATCCACTTTATCAGTTTATGGTCTTTAGTCAATCATTGCCTTTATGTCTTTAAATTTGATCTCCAAATGACCTCTTTCTGTCATCAATATCGATTACTTAGTATTGTATCATATCTCAATATTAAACTTTATTACATATATGATAATAAGCAACTGATGAGAAACCACAAAATATAAGGAATTCATATTATTCTGCATCAATCGTTGGTTGAATTGTGGAGTGTGCTACTTATATTGATGTAAGTAGTATATTATGCGAGTCAGAAACATAATGTCTAGCAGCAGAATATGAGGGGAAGATCAAGAAAAGAAGAGCGAGAACACAATAGAATTTGTTGGAAAACGCATGAGCAATGGAATGGGAGACAATGGATTGGTGTTTGCTACAGAAACAGTCCAGTTTGATATGATGCATTAATATTTTGCAAATTGACGATTCACTATATGGTATTCAGATTTTATTGAAACAGTCTGTAATTTGCGTGATTAACATGTTTGATTATCATGCCTGATGTCCCCACCAGTGTTCTTGTTCACTACTGAATCATTCGAGAACGACTATATTTTCTACAAGTGTCTTCGCCAGCATGTTCTATCAACAAGTGTAAGATATAGACCTCCAATCAACTGCCCATTGGGATGGAAAGTAGCTGAGCAAAGTGGAAGAAAAATGGTACGCTTAATGATAACGGATACACACTACAGGATCCGCAAATACCAACACGTCATAGAGGACCAAAAGATGAGGCTACAAAGGACACTCACGTCAGAACATTTGGAAATCTGGACAACAGCCATCGAGACATCATGCAAACGACACAGAGAACAAAGAAGGAACACCTTAAAGAAAAAACTAATCAAGATCTCAAAACCACCCATGGAAGAAAACACAAACAACTGCGTGATCAGTCTGTCAAACCAACCACTAACAAATACAAAAGAACACCTACTCCGAAAGGGATTAAGCAACAATACAAGCGACACCTCAAAACTGGAATTCTTCGCAGCACTAGATATTGTAATTAACAATGAAATTTTCTATAAAGTTGTACATTGAACTGATTAGAATTTACTTACCACCCTCGGCTTCTCGACATTCATTGTAACCATCTCCTGTATAACCAGGATCACATACGCATCGACCATCTTGACAACGTCCATTAGCAGCACAACGAACGCCATCACATGGATCTAGAATACATATTTTAGAGATAGACGTATTGAGTTGTATGTAAATTTACTGGCGTATTCTAGTAAATACTTCATGAATATCATAAATATCATATTTATATGCAAGCAAAAATACTGTAATTAGAAATATTGATCAGATGAATGGCTGTAAAGGAACTGAGCAATTGAGACTTCCTGGTTATTATATGATCTTAAATATCCTAATGTTTATATTATTTTCAATCAATAATAATAAGTAATTTAATTTACGAAAGCATATTCTTTTCCTTAAATATATATAGAGAGAAATATGTTAAACTAAATGACATCTTTACAGATATGATGAAGTCAACATCTTATTGATTCTTATAACTACTAAACCTTTAAGCTTATTTTCAGAACTGATGAAAGCTTATATTTTAAAAAGAATTAAACATGAACTGATCACTTTCAAATGTGTGTATGCAAGAGATTTTCATAACTAGAGTAGTAGAAGTTGAAAGAAACTGAAAGCTCCAAACTAAGAGATTGGATTCTTAGTATATCACATATGACGCGAGCACTTGAACGCTGGAACCCTCCAAGTCACAAATAAGAAAACATAAGAAGACTGGAGAAAGTGCTTGTTGGGCAAGAATCAAAATGTACAGAAAATCATGGGTATTTATAGATATTAGCGTCTGTTAAATCAACATTATAATTCAATCAATCCGCAAAGAGGCATGCCATGCTACTGACCAATAGTAGCATGCAGCTTTGATATTCTAGAAAGCTTCATTGTGTCCTGGTTGGATGAAACTCTTCGGCCTTCTAGGGTCTCTGAAGGCTCCTTCGTAGTTCTTGGAAGCTATCCCAACAGAATCAACCAAAATTAAAAACTTATTAGAGCTAACTAGGTTCATAAACATTTTTTAAATGTCTAAGGAAAGGCTTTAATGATTTCTGGTTATGCACCTCTTAAGTAGTTAGTTTTGGTAATCAAATAAGCTTCCCTACAGTTGGGAAATTTGCTTGATAATAATAAGAATTGAATGGCTGACAGAATTGTTAGAACAACTACAACATTCGAGTTATTCTAAATTTTCGTTGATAATTCACTACGTTAAATATTTTGTCTCACTGGTTGTTAGGATGGTGGAGAATCGTGGAATTGTGAATTGATTTTTTTGACGTTATTTATATACACTTGGTTTGTTTGTCAATTGATTGTGAATTCTGTTTTCTAACTTTCAATTTATTTTCATTTTATTAACTAATTCATTGTAAATTTGTGTTCAAGTGGAAATTGCACAGCTTAGTTTATACAAATCTAATTAAATCACTTTTTATCAGTCATATTAAAAATGAGTGTCTTCCGATAATGATAATTCGGTTTGTTTTGGACGTCAAACAAATCCATGTTCACCATTTTCATAATCTTGCTTGAATCAAACTGTTCACGATTTCTCGTTGAAGTTTCTTATTCGTCATGAAACCCAAAATTTAAACAGTTCTACTTGCAGTATTTTGAGAATTTTCAGCTTGAAAGTACCAAATACATTTCATCATATGAGTTGCCAGCTTACATTACATCAGGGTGAACTAGAGTTTATTTATAACTGATCTCTAAATACTATTCACCAATGTATCAAATTATTTCAAACGTACAAATATTTAATCATAAAAAGGTATATCAAATCAAATTAAAACCTACCGTTTGCACGTGCATCACAAAAGTTAACCCCATCCCCAACGTATCCATGACTGCAGTAGCATCGATTTTCATAACATTGACCAAAACGATGACATTGAACACCAGCGCATAACTCTGTAATATTTAAGATTGGCACTCAAAACAATTATTTGTTCTGCTTAGAAATCCAATAAGTTTTTTTTTTGAATTACGACAAACGGTAGGTTAGAAAAATTCTTAAGTAAGAATATATGTGGTGTAAATACCTAGATGAATAGTGTGTTCTTCTTTAGAAGAACCAAACATAAAGATCTATATGAATTACATCATCATTAATATGTTTCAATTAGTAGGAAATAAATGTAGAAGTTAATGTTGAAAGCATGGACGACGTTTATCATTTGTAAACAATTAAAGAAATCTACAAAAAATCCAGAATAAATTAAAATCTACAAGAAAACTGTGCATCATTTATGAATTCACTAATCTAGAAATTAAAACCAAATACTATGAGAATTAAGCTTAGGGGATTTCTAATGCGTTGAACAGTATTTTTTTAACATTAGTAAGGAAGTTTAGTTAAAAGAGTATTTTTAATGATAAAATATCGGTCAAAAGTAATCGTTTTGTTTATCATTCAATCTATAATGTTAGAAAATCAATTTTTTAGAGCTTTTATTATGCAACAAACAATAAGTTCAATATTTATTATTTCATAATTTTAATAGTTGAGATCACGAGTCAATTGAAGCTAGGCCATCATACAAAACCTGAAAGCATTGAACAGCTATTTCGTCCTAGTACGAGACTCTTCAGCAGTGCGCATCCACGATCCCGCCCAGTGGGATTCGAACTCAGGGAATATCAGTCTCGTGCATGAACGCTTATCCATTAGACCACTGAGCCAATTCATGAAATTGAGTCACCGTCCACCATTGTCTTCAATGAGTTATTATCTCACAACAGATGCGGTTGAACTCCACTGTTCACTGCTTCTCACTTGAACTCCAGGATATACCTCTTGAAGCCAGTCACTAGTGAGCATATGATGATTATTATCAGGAGGTCCAGAGGTCAGTGCGAGACTAATAGGTCCTGGGTTCGGATCTTGTGGGTCGGGATCACAGATGCACACTGCTGAGGAGTCCCATACTAGGATGAAACGGCCGTCCAGTGCTTTCAGGTTTTTCATGGTGGTCTAGCTTCAATTAGCTCATGAGTTCAACTATTAAAATGACTAAAATCTCTAGAAAACTCCCCATCCGATATTATTTAATAATTTGATTTTTACGTAAAATGAATCACTAATTGCTAAAAGCATTCATAAAAACGAATACAAAAATAAAGGAGTTCAAAACAATTATTTCTTCCAAATTATCAAATTAATAGTAAACACTAAGTAAATCGTTACTTCAGCAAGAAAAAAAATTCATGATAAAAGACAATATTTATTAAAATGACTGTCCTCTATAAAAGTATGACATTTCTTAGTAAAACAAAAATGATGTGTATTGCAATTAAGTCTTCACTATTAATCAAGAACAAGTAATTATGAAACGTAATGTGTAATTCATCTAGGAGAATATATTTTTTTTATGACACTGGAATTTAATAATTTCATTCCTTGTTCAACATGTAAACCTATAAACTGTTGATAAATGAAATAAAGTTCAACAAATCAACATTAAATGTATGAGAACAAACTGAAAAATTTAATTTTGAAATAAAATATAGAGAAGATTTGTAGCTGGAGTTTTGTTCTTTGAGCTGGATGGTTTGGTCATAGAGCTCAGAGAACAAAACTCCATCAAAATAAAACGTGTTTATCATGTTTCGAGTTAACAAAACTCAAGCTGAAAATATTTAAAATAGTAACAAGTTTTAAAGTAGAAGAATAATGATAACTTTTGAAAAATTAATAGTTAAACAAAGAATATTCTTATCGACTAATTCTCTTTAGGTTCTACAATGATATTTCCAAATAGATAATCCGAAAAATGGTCAGGTTAAGGGTAAATTGAATCATTTAAAGTTTAAGCATGTGAATTTAGGATTGTCAATCAAAATAGGATAAAATGGTTATTGATTGAGATAGTAAACCGATTGATGTTAGACCAACATTGAAAACCTCAGCAGTACTCATCCATTATCCCGCTCGCAGGACTCAAACTCAGGGCCTTCAGTCTCGCGCACGAACGCTTAACCTCTAGACTACTGAGCTAGCATCCAACGGTGCTAGTGTTTGAAGAGTCCCACAATAGGACGTAACGGCCGTACAGTGCTTCCAGGTTTTCAATGGTGGTCTAACATCAATCGGTTCATGATCTTAATCAAATACTTAATATTATCCACAACCCTATACTGAAAATTTAGAATGTTAACTTGAATCTTTTTTAAATTTTAAGTGACTATTGTACTTACGACCTTTCGTAATCAAATGTAATTATCTCTGTTATCTTTATTCACAAATCTTTGTACTATTATTATTATTACTATTGGTTAAACATGATTAATGATCTCCCAATATATGATTCATATCTCATTCATCCCACCTTATTATGTCTTAGTAATAATTTTTTACACAACATTGTCTTCCACTAAACATTTGATCAAATTGCAATTTCACTATTATTTCTCTCACCTTATCTGACCCATATTTATTCTAATCATGGATTTGAACATTTCACTTAACATACAAGCAGATTTGAGTTAACATTCTATATGTTATATCAACATTAACAATTTTATTCTATTTTATTTACTAATCCTAAATTCGCATGCTTTAACTTTAAATGATTCATTTTACCCTTAACCTGGCCATTATTCGGATTATTAATTTGGATATATGTATTCTAGGATCTGAAGTGAATTTATCGTTCAAATATTCTTCGTTTAATATGATGGGGATCTTTAAACGATAACTTTGAATTTATTTTTATACAATTTTATCTCCAGTATTATTTTCTTTATACAAACTATTCATCGCATACAATAAACAAAAAATTATCTAGGTGAGTAAAACAATTTTAAAAAATCGGAAGTGGTTTTGTGGAGATTATTAGTAATTTCAGTGGTTGAAATAAGTCAATTGAAGCTAGAACACCATGCAAAACCTGGAAGCATTGAACAGCTGTTTCGTCCCAGTACGAGACTCCTCAGAAGTGCGCATCCACGACCCCTCCCCGCGGGATTCGAACACAGGAACTATTAGCCTCGCGCGCGAACGCTTAACCACAAGACCACTGAGCTGGTTGGTATCCAATGGTGTTAATGTCTAACTTCAACTAACCCACGAAATTGCGCCACCGTACACCACTGTCTTCAGTGAGCTGATATCTGACAGCAGACGTGGTAGAACTCCACTGGTCACGGCTTCTCACTAGAACTCCAGGAGTCTTTTTTGAAGTCAGTCACTAGTGAGCAGATGATTATTATCAGAAAGGGTTTTGTGGAGATCTTTAGTAATTTCAACAGTCTCGTACAAGGATGAAATGGCTGTCCAGTGCTTCCAGGTTTTCCATGGTGGTCTAGATTCAATTGACTCATGATCTCAGCTATTGAAATAAAAAAATGTTTTTTTTCAAAAAGAAGAGTAGATTAAGGATTTTGTTTTCTTGGAGTGTTACATGTGATATTGAATGATATAGATGATGCGGTCTCTGGGGTATCGAAAGATGATTTACTTCTGTTTTATTATTCTTTTCTGTCCATTTGTTTTTAAGCGATCTAGACTAATATAAAGTTAGTAGAACCACTTAATTTACTTAGAAATGTTTTGAGATTTCGTGATGGTATAGATTTTTGTCTCAAATATTGAGTAATAACAAAAAGGTAATGGTTTGAATGAAATGTTTTGCTAAATGATAGTCTGTTATGTAAGAGATAAATTGTTCTATTTTAGTTAACTGTTCTATGCATATTTTCGTTGTCTATTCTGGAACTTGAGAAATCTAAAATAAAGTGTATCAGATTGTAGCTTATTGTAATATATTCAAAAAAGTAGCAAAGAAATTAACTGACAACTAAACTTCAGCTTTATTACATCATTTCTTCGACATTACACAGTTAGTGTTCAAACAATCGTACTAAAGTTTCCAAAAAACTCAGAATAAATCAAAACTAATACTTCCAAGTTATTAATAGAACGATTTGATAGAGTATTAGCATTGTTAGACCAAGCACTTTCTATTAAGTATTTAAACCTATGTGTTTCGGTATTTCAAAATAAAACAAAAAAATCCGGGACAGAATAAGCGGAACGAATGTAGCGACCATTGAAAATACGAGGCCTAGTTACGTACGTTTGCGAAGTAACGGTTTTTATCCCTTAATAATTAATGACAAGCTGCAAGTATAAATATACTCCTTATATGTCTTTTACATTGTGGGATGGTTACTTCTACAGTGATCTATAAAACAATCTGCAGTAACATAAAAAAACATTCACATCGTCCGACCGTCATACTATTTTACCGAAAATACTATCTTAACAGAACGGGCAAAATCTGACAAGTATAAAGAGTAACCAAGATAAGATAAATGGACGAAACCATAAAATAATCCGGTTTAGTTATATCACAGATATATCTATTTATATAACACAGACGGCTTAGTTCAAGAAAATTAGTATCATGAGTAGGCGTGCCATCGAATGAAAAAGTCGGTATAGAATTTAACGAAACAGAATCGGTTAGAAAATAATGAAACACATTTTTAAGATTAATTTCCTCAGGTAATGGTATAAAATCGATAGGTTACAAAAGTAATCTCTTTATTCGTTAACGGTCTAAGAATTCAAAACTACATATACATTTAGTTAGTAATTTATGTTAGATGGTTTTATGATATCAGTCATACATCAGTAAGGTGCATCTGTAACGTAAGGAAGCCGATGTTTTCTATGGGACACGAAGTTGTCACAACCTTACTGTTAGATATTTTGTCAATCAACTTTTCGGTTTCAGTTGATTATTCTCAATAGGCTATCTATCAATATCAAACAACCATAGAATAATGTATATAATAATCGGATGGTATCACACAATCCAAACAATTATATGTTAGATAAGTGATCATAGGAAAAGAATATAAAGGTTTAAAGTAGAATTTAGGAGTAAGAATAGATAGGAGTACTTAAATGTTATGAATTTTCAAATAAAATTGCATATATATATAATATCAAAATATTCTAACATAATGGCTAGCCTTCAAAACTAAAGACAATAACCATCAAGATTGTGTTGATCAAACCATAAATTATTGATCTGAGTCTGAGATATAAGATTATATAAAATTTACTTAAGTATGTAAATTTATATCACTTGGGAGTGACAAATAAGGCCACTAGCTTTGAAATTATTTGTGACAACCTCAGTACTCATCACTGACTAGATTTTGTAGACTAGCGCTTAAACATGTGAGATTTTCTTCAATGATTATAAACAAATTAAAAATCAGAAGCAAATATTTCATTAAGTCTGTTTGCATCGTGAACACTACTATGTATTCATTATACAAGATCATCTTGTTCAGTGACAGTAAAATGTTAACTTACCTTGTGAACTTTTCTGACATTCATAGTATCCATCTCCCGTATAACCATCAAGACACTGACATTTACCGTGTTCATTGCATTTTGCATTTTCATGACATCGAACATACTTGCAAAGGTCTTTAACAAGATAATTAGATGAGTATTTCAACTACTAGGTAATTCATTTGCATACCAAAGATATATATATATATATATACCTGGAGACATGGTTATATACATCAAACTACACACACTTCAAAAATATATATACTTCATCATACACAAAATAAATTAAATGATTTAACAGAATTCAGTATAGTTTTAACATAAGTCAAATAAAATATTGAATTATATTACATAATACGTTTAAATTATATGAGAAAGCACAACAAAAGTTAAGCAAATAAAGATTAGCAAAGACTCAAACAAATAGATATAACATCCTATGTGAAACACGAAAAGACAGTACATGAAAGAGCGTTAAAGTAACAAAATGTAATTCTCGGAAAATTCAGAAAAACCAATCTATGCGTAGCAATAAAAACAAAAATTCAAAGGAAATATCCGATAGCTAACATGTGCATATAAATTTTCACACAATTGTAAAGTCTCTATCCATTCAAAATTAGGGATTTTTATTCAGTCAAGATACAGAAATTGAAGAGATAGGCATTTATAATGTCACTATCTCAACTAAAACTTGCTACAAACATTAGATAAACTTTGATTATAAACATTTCAATTATTCCTTAATAAATAAAAGTTATTCAAAACTTATGCACAAATACTCATGCGAAAACATGATGCAGGGGTTTTAGTAATATTTTAAGCTCCTATTACAGTAAATTATTTTTGTATCTTACCACTTTTTATGGGTTTACATTCCCAGTAACCATCTCCTTCATAACCTGCATTACATTGACATCTACCATTTTGACAGTTTGCAAACTCATGACAACGAATATTTTGACACTGGTCTGTGTAAAATATAGTAGTTTTAAGAGGTGTTAGTTTGCATGTCAATATTCAATTGATAGATTTATCACCTACATGAATTTGTCGCATCTACGTTTTATATGTAAATAGTTCTAGGAGCATTTTAATGTACACAAACGTAAACAGATGACTGAGACTAAATAAAGAAACATGATTAACGAGAAAGCAAAGAGCGTGTGTTTCAGGAAGGTTTGGGACTGTTCCAATATTATGGACTCAAAACTGTACATGGAGTTATAGCACGGAGCTGTAGGTTTTGTGGTTAGCATGATACTTACACACCACTGAATGTAAACACAAAAAGCCTAACTTTATTTGCATAAAACAAATCTCTACAAACTGCTTAATTAATAACAATCCTGTAGTTTTCAAAAATCACCTTCTAGATGGATTTCCTGAAGTTTGGGTCAGTCATTTAGTCATCAGTGTAAGGAGTGATTAAGTTACCTATCACACGGATTTATACATAGAAATGGAAATAGCTTTTGATATACTGTCGAGATTTTCACACCCTTCGGATATTTCACTTCTCTATAAATGGCATTTTACCTGTGGTGAAGTAATAATTAAAGGAAAATAGTTGTGTAAACAAAAGCTTTCTTCCTTTAATACATTCACTATAATAAATATATTAGTGTGATGATCCACTTTTCATTAATAAAATGGATATCATGCACCACCAGTTGAGCTTCTCATAAGTAAGCAATGGTTTCCAATTTCGTAAAGCGAAATCATTTGAAGGTGAATGTCACTTGCTTTGTTACGTACAAAAATGCGACATACATATTGAATGAAAGCTTATGTATTTGAAATACCAATTATAATTAATATAAAGTAATCGGATTTGTCACGTATCTGTACTTATTTTCATACATCCAGAGGTTAAGTGTTCGCGCGCGAGACCAATAGGTCGTGGGTTCGAATGCCGCGAAGCAGGATTGCGGATGCGCACAGCTGGGGAGTTCCACAGTAGGAAGAAAAGACCGTCCACTGCTTCCACATTTCCCACGGTGGTCTACCTACAGTTGATTCATGATCTCAACCATCAAAAATCACTACATACTTATTAAAAAGCTTCATGTAAATTTATTCAACCTACATTACCACATTTACAACGATATTCAGTTGAGTATGAATCGGATTGAGAAATAGTCCTAAGTGTTGGAAGAGCACTAAAGTGTTATTCTATATCTCATTTTATTAAAGCACAAAAATATTCATCGTGGTAGTAAAAAGCTACTACCTATACTTCAGTTGATCTATAAATAACCATATTCACCGGTCAGGTATGCTGATAGAAATGATTTATTAGATTACAACTCAGTGCTCAACCCATCATCTGAGTGTAGTGATTTATTCCCATGTAGGTTATTGTGTGGTCACATGTGATGTGTTCGATACCAGAGCGAAATACCTATTAAGCACTGTTTACATGAAATATGCGTGCTAACACTCCGAAACACGTTAGATACGGGAAAATAATCACAGTGATTCGTCTATGATTTCAATAACTATGAGTCATAATAATGAAACGTATTTTAGTAACGTTGAATAATTTAATAAAATTTCAGTTAAGGATGAAAATATATCAAGGTTTCTAAAAATATGTATTTAGATCCGTCAGTAAACATTTATAATCTAAAATTGAGTTGCACTAAAAGTGAGTAAAGGCATCCCGAATATGTAAGTGGATAATCATTAACATTGATCATTAACAGTGATTCAAAAAGATTATGCCTCTGGTTTGTATCTTAGTGATTGAAGTAACAGTCTGAGATTAGAAATTCGATTGTTTAGAAGTCAAAAGAAAGAACTGTGCTTTCAAAATAACTCGTTTTCATATCAGAACTATACTTAATTCCCTATCATTCAGCATGCAATAAAACGTGAGAATGAATTATTTGCATACTCCTACCCTGCTGAATAGGATCACAATAATGTTTTCCATCTCCCTGATAGCCGTCCAAACATCGGCATTCACCATCAGAGCATTTAGCGTTTATATGACATCTCATACTAGAACACGGATCTACAATTAAATAATTATGATTCATTAGAATGTACACTCAATCTCAGAATCATTTATGTTAAGCACATTTTTCAAAATGGTCTTATCTACTTAGTGATATAATTGAGATTAGCGTCTCAGAATTTGAGCTTCTCAATAATGAACTTTAGTAAAATCTCTGTTTGCGTAGTACCATTAGGAAAAATTCAAAGGAAATATCCGATAGCTAACATGTGCATATAAATTTTCACACAATTGTAAAGTCTCTATCCATTCAAAATTAGGGATTTTTATTCAGTCAAGATACAGAAATTGAAGAGATAGGCATTTATAATGTCACTATCTCAACTAAAACTTGCTACAAACATTAGATAAACTTTGATTATAAACATTTCAATTATTCCTTAATAAATAAAAGTTATTCAAAACTTATGCACAAATACTCATGCGAAAACATGATGCAGGGGTTTTAGTAATATTTTAAGCTCCTATTACAGTAAATTATTTTTGTATCTTACCACTTTTTATGGGTTTACATTCCCAGTAACCATCTCCTTCATAACCTGCATTACATTGACATCTACCATTTTGACAGTTTGCAAACTCATGACAACGAATATTTTGACACTGGTCTGTGTAAAATATAGTAGTTTTAAGAGGTGTTAGTTTGCATGTCAATATTCAATTGATAGATTTATCACCTACATGAATTTGTCGCATCTACGTTTTATATGTAAATAGTTCTAGGAGCATTTTAATGTACACAAACGTAAACAGATGACTGAGACTAAATAAAGAAACATGATTAACGAGAAAGCAAAGAGCGTGTGTTTCAGGAAGGTTTGGGACTGTTCCAATATTATGGACTCAAAACTGTACATGGAGTTATAGCACGGAGCTGTAGGTTTTGTGGTTAGCATGATACTTACACACCACTGAATGTAAACACAAAAAGCCTAACTTTATTTGCATAAAACAAATCTCTACAAACTGCTTAATTAATAACAATCCTGTAGTTTTCAAAAATCACCTTCTAGATGGATTTCCTGAAGTTTGGGTCAGTCATTTAGTCATCAGTGTAAGGAGTGATTAAGTTACCTATCACACGGATTTATACATAGAAATGGAAATAGCTTTTGATATACTGTCGAGATTTTCACACCCTTCGGATATTTCACTTCTCTATAAATGGCATTTTACCTGTGGTGAAGTAATAATTAAAGGAAAATAGTTGTGTAAACAAAAGCTTTCTTCCTTTAATACATTCACTATAATAAATATATTAGTGTGATGATCCACTTTTCATTAATAAAATGGATATCATGCACCACCAGTTGAGCTTCTCATAAGTAAGCAATGGTTTCCAATTTCGTAAAGCGAAATCATTTGAAGGTGAATGTCACTTGCTTTGTTACGTACAAAAATGCGACATACATATTGAATGAAAGCTTATGTATTTGAAATACCAATTATAATTAATATAAAGTAATCGGATTTGTCGCGTATCTGTACTTATTTTCATACATCCAGAGGTTAAGTGTTCGCGCGCGAGACCAATAGGTCGTGGGTTCGAATGCCGCGAAGCAGGATTGCGGATGCGCACAGCTGGGGAGTTCCACAGTAGGAAGAAAAGACCGTCCACTGCTTCCACATTTCCCACGGTGGTCTACCTACAGTTGATTCATGATCTCAACCATCAAAAATCACTACATACTTATTAAAAAGCTTCATGTAAATTTATTCAACCTACATTACCACATTTACAACGATATTCAGTTGAGTATGAATCGGATTGAGAAATAGTCCTAAGTGTTGGAAGAGCACTAAAGTGTTATTCTATATCTCATTTTATTAAAGCACAAAAATATTCATCGTGGTGGTAAAAAGCTACTACCTATACTTCAGTTGATCTATAAATAACCATATTCACCGGTCAGGTATGCTGATAGAAATGATTTATTAGATTACAACTCAGTGCTCAACCCATCATCTGAGTGTAGTGATTTATTCCCATGTAGGTTATTGTGTGGTCACATGTGATGTGTTCGATACCAGAGCGAAATACCTATTAAGCACTGTTTACATGAAATATGCGTGCTAACACTCCGAAACACGTTAGATACGGGAAAATAATCACAGTGATTCGTCTATGATTTCAATAACTATGAGTCATAATAATGAAACGTATTTTAGTAACGTTGAATAATTTAATAAAATTTCAGTTAAGGATGAAAATATATCAAGGTTTCTAAAAATATGTATTTAGATCCGTCAGTAAACATTTATAATCTAAAATTGAGTTGCACTAAAAGTGAGTAAAGGCATCCCGAATATGTAAGTGGATAATCATTAACATTGATCATTAACAGTGATTCAAAAAGATTATGCCTCTGGTTTGTATCTTAGTGATTGAAGTAACAGTCTGAGATTAGAAATTCGATTGTTTAGAAGTCAAAAGAAAGAACTGTGCTTTCAAAATAACTCGTTTTCATATCAGAACTATACTTAATTCCCTATCATTCAGCATGCAATAAAACGTGAGAATGAATTATTTGCATACTCCTACCCTGCTGAATAGGATCACAATAATGTTTTCCATCTCCCTGATAGCCGTCCAAACATCGGCATTCACCATCAGAGCATTTAGCGTTTATATGACATCTCATACTAGAACACGGATCTACAATTAAATAATTATGATTCATTAGAATGTACACTCAATCTCAGAATCATTTATGTTAAGCACATTTTTCAAAATGGTCTTATCTACTTAGTGATATAATTGAGATTAGCGTCTCAGAATTTGAGCTTCTCAATAATGAACTTTAGTAAAATCTCTGTTTGCGTAGTACCATTAGGAAAAATTCAAAGGAAATATCCGATAGCTAACATGTGCATATAAATTTTCACACAATTGTAAAGTCTCTATCCATTCAAAATTAGGGATTTTTATTCAGTCAAGATACAGAAATTGAAGAGATAGGCATTTATAATGTCACTATCTCAACTAAAACTTGCTACAAACATTAGATAAACTTTGATTATAAACATTTCAATTATTCCTTAATAAATAAAAGTTATTCAAAACTTATGCACAAATACTCATGCGAAAACATGATGCAGGGGTTTTAGTAATATTTTAAGCTCCTATTACAGTAAATTATTTTTGTATCTTACCACTTTTTATGGGTTTACATTCCCAGTAACCATCTCCTTCATAACCTGCATTACATTGACATCTACCATTTTGACAGTTTGCAAACTCATGACAACGAATATTTTGACACTGGTCTGTGTAAAATATAGTAGTTTTAAGAGGTGTTAGTTTGCATGTCAATATTCAATTGATAGATTTATCACCTACATGAATTTGTCGCATCTACGTTTTATATGTAAATAGTTCTAGGAGCATTTTAATGTACACAAACGTAAACAGATGACTGAGACTAAATAAAGAAACATGATTAACGAGAAAGCAAAGAGCGTGTGTTTCAGGAAGGTTTGGGACTGTTCCAATATTATGGACTCAAAACTGTACATGGAGTTATAGCACGGAGCTGTAGGTTTTGTGGTTAGCATGATACTTACACACCACTGAATGTAAACACAAAAAGCCTAACTTTATTTGCATAAAACAAATCTCTACAAACTGCTTAATTAATAACAATCCTGTAGTTTTCAAAAATCACCTTCTAGATGGATTTCCTGAAGTTTGGGTCAGTCATTTAGTCATCAGTGTAAGGAGTGATTAAGTTACCTATCACACGGATTTATACATAGAAATGGAAATAGCTTTTGATATACTGTCGAGATTTTCACACCCTTCGGATATTTCACTTCTCTATAAATGGCATTTTACCTGTGGTGAAGTAATAATTAAAGGAAAATAGTTGTGTAAACAAAAGCTTTCTTCCTTTAATACATTCACTATAATAAATATATTAGTGTGATGATCCACTTTTCATTAATAAAATGGATATCATGCACCACCAGTTGAGCTTCTCATAAGTAAGCAATGGTTTCCAATTTCGTAAAGCGAAATCATTTGAAGGTGAATGTCACTTGCTTTGTTACGTACAAAAATGCGACATACATATTGAATGAAAGCTTATGTATTTGAAATACCAATTATAATTAATATAAAGTAATCGGATTTGTCACGTATCTGTACTTATTTTCATACATCCAGAGGTTAAGTGTTCGCGCGCGAGACCAATAGGTCGTGGGTTCGAATGCCGCGAAGCAGGATTGCGGATGCGCACAGCTGGGGAGTTCCACAGTAGGAAGAAAAGACCGTCCACTGCTTCCACATTTCCCACGGTGGTCTACCTACAGTTGATTCATGATCTCAACCATCAAAAATCACTACATACTTATTAAAAAGCTTCATGTAAATTTATTCAACCTACATTACCACATTTACAACGATATTCAGTTGAGTATGAATCGGATTGAGAAATAGTCCTAAGTGTTGGAAGAGCACTAAAGTGTTATTCTATATCTCATTTTATTAAAGCACAAAAATATTCATCGTGGTAGTAAAAAGCTACTACCTATACTTCAGTTGATCTATAAATAACCATATTCACCGGTCAGGTATGCTGATAGAAATGATTTATTAGATTACAACTCAGTGCTCAACCCATCATCTGAGTGTAGTGATTTATTCCCATGTAGGTTATTGTGTGGTCACATGTGATGTGTTCGATACCAGAGCGAAATACCTATTAAGCACTGTTTACATGAAATATGCGTGCTAACACTCCGAAACACGTTAGATACGGGAAAATAATCACAGTGATTCGTCTATGATTTCAATAACTATGAGTCATAATAATGAAACGTATTTTAGTAACGTTGAATAATTTAATAAAATTTCAGTTAAGGATGAAAATATATCAAGGTTTCTAAAAATATGTATTTAGATCCGTCAGTAAACATTTATAATCTAAAATTGAGTTGCACTAAAAGTGAGTAAAGGCATCCCGAATATGTAAGTGGATAATCATTAACATTGATCATTAACAGTGATTCAAAAAGATTATGCCTCTGGTTTGTATCTTAGTGATTGAAGTAACAGTCTGAGATTAGAAATTCGATTGTTTAGAAGTCAAAAGAAAGAACTGTGCTTTCAAAATAACTCGTTTTCATATCAGAACTATACTTAATTCCCTATCATTCAGCATGCAATAAAACGTGAGAATGAATTATTTGCATACTCCTACCCTGCTGAATAGGATCACAATAATGTTTTCCATCTCCCTGATAGCCGTCCAAACATCGGCATTCACCATCAGAGCATTTAGCGTTTATATGACATCTCATACTAGAACACGGATCTACAATTAAATAATTATGATTCATTAGAATGTACACTCAATCTCAGAATCATTTATGTTAAGCACATTTTTCAAAATGGTCTTATCTACTTAGTGATATAATTGAGATTAGCGTCTCAGAATTTGAGCTTCTCAATAATGAACTTTAGTAAAATCTCTGTTTGCGTAGTACCATTAGGAAAAATTCAAAGGAAATATCCGATAGCTAACATGTGCATATAAATTTTCACACAATTGTAAAGTCTCTATCCATTCAAAATTAGGGATTTTTATTCAGTCAAGATACAGAAATTGAAGAGATAGGCATTTATAATGTCACTATCTCAACTAAAACTTGCTACAAACATTAGATAAACTTTGATTATAAACATTTCAATTATTCCTTAATAAATAAAAGTTATTCAAAACTTATGCACAAATACTCATGCGAAAACATGATGCAGGGGTTTTAGTAATATTTTAAGCTCCTATTACAGTAAATTATTTTTGTATCTTACCACTTTTTATGGGTTTACATTCCCAGTAACCATCTCCTTCATAACCTGCATTACATTGACATCTACCATTTTGACAGTTTGCAAACTCATGACAACGAATATTTTGACACTGGTCTGTGTAAAATATAGTAGTTTTAAGAGGTGTTAGTTTGCATGTCAATATTCAATTGATAGATTTATCACCTACATGAATTTGTCGCATCTACGTTTTATATGTAAATAGTTCTAGGAGCATTTTAATGTACACAAACGTAAACAGATGACTGAGACTAAATAAAGAAACATGATTAACGAGAAAGCAAAGAGCGTGTGTTTCAGGAAGGTTTGGGACTGTTCCAATATTATGGACTCAAAACTGTACATGGAGTTATAGCACGGAGCTGTAGGTTTTGTGGTTAGCATGATACTTACACACCACTGAATGTAAACACAAAAAGCCTAACTTTATTTGCATAAAACAAATCTCTACAAACTGCTTAATTAATAACAATCCTGTAGTTTTCAAAAATCACCTTCTAGATGGATTTCCTGAAGTTTGGGTCAGTCATTTAGTCATCAGTGTAAGGAGTGATTAAGTTACCTATCACACGGATTTATACATAGAAATGGAAATAGCTTTTGATATACTGTCGAGATTTTCACACCCTTCGGATATTTCACTTCTCTATAAATGGCATTTTACCTGTGGTGAAGTAATAATTAAAGGAAAATAGTTGTGTAAACAAAAGCTTTCTTCCTTTAATACATTCACTATAATAAATATATTAGTGTGATGATCCACTTTTCATTAATAAAATGGATATCATGCACCACCAGTTGAGCTTCTCATAAGTAAGCAATGGTTTCCAATTTCGTAAAGCGAAATCATTTGAAGGTGAATGTCACTTGCTTTGTTACGTACAAAAATGCGACATACATATTGAATGAAAGCTTATGTATTTGAAATACCAATTATAATTAATATAAAGTAATCGGATTTGTCACGTATCTGTACTTATTTTCATACATCCAGAGGTTAAGTGTTCGCGCGCGAGACCAATAGGTCGTGGGTTCGAATGCCGCGAAGCAGGATTGCGGATGCGCACAGCTGGGGAGTTCCACAGTAGGAAGAAAAGACCGTCCACTGCTTCCACATTTCCCACGGTGGTCTACCTACAGTTGATTCATGATCTCAACCATCAAAAATCACTACATACTTATTAAAAAGCTTCATGTAAATTTATTCAACCTACATTACCACATTTACAACGATATTCAGTTGAGTATGAATCGGATTGAGAAATAGTCCTAAGTGTTGGAAGAGCACTAAAGTGTTATTCTATATCTCATTTTATTAAAGCACAAAAATATTCATCGTGGTAGTAAAAAGCTACTACCTATACTTCAGTTAATCTATAAATAACCATATTCACCGGTCAGGTATGCTGATAGAAATGATTTATTAGATTACAATTCAGTGCTCAACCCATCATCTGAGTGTAGTGATTTATTCCCATGTAGGTTATTGTGTGGTCACATGTGATGTGTTCGATACCAGAGCGAAATACCTATTAAGCACTGTTTACATGAAATATGCGTGCTAACACTCCGAAACACGTTAGATACGGGAAAATAATCACAGTGATTCGTCTATGATTTCAATAACTATGAGTCATAATAATGAAACGTATTTTAGTAACGTTGAATAATTTAATAAAATTTCAGTTAAGGATGAAAATATATCAAGGTTTCTAAAAATATGTATTTAGATCCGTCAGTAAACATTTATAATCTAAAATTGAGTTGCACTAAAAGTGAGTAAAGGCATCCCGAATATGTAAGTGGATAATCATTAACATTGATCATTAACAGTGATTCAAAAAGATTATGCCTCTGGTTTGTATCTTAGTGATTGAAGTAACAGTCTGAGATTAGAAATTCGATTGTTTAGAAGTCAAAAGAAAGAACTGTGCTTTCAAAATAACTCGTTTTCATATCAGAACTATACTTAATTCCCTATCATTCAGCATGCAATAAAACGTGAGAATGAATTATTTGCATACTCCTACCCTGCTGAATAGGATCACAATAATGTTTTCCATCTCCCTGATAGCCGTCCAAACATCGGCATTCACCATCAGAGCATTTAGCGTTTATATGACATCTCATACTAGAACACGGATCTACAATTAAATAATTATGATTCATTAGAATGTACACTCAATCTCAGAATCATTTATGTTAAGCACATTTTTCAAAATGGTCTTATCTACTTAGTGATATAATTGAGATTAGCGTCTCAGAATTTGAGCTTCTCAATAACAGAAACTTTTCTTCTTTTTTTTGTTGGTTTTAATTTGTTATCTTGTAATATTCCAGTGTGATTCAATTCTAAATTATTAAAATATTCTTGTGTTTTCTGCCCATATTACTTCATTGTTAATAAATGTTAATCTGGGGAAATGATTACCGTCGTATGTGTAATGTGAAATACCATATTCATAATTTAGAAATTTCTTTAAAATCATATTCTTCTGATGATGAGCTGTTGATAAATCATGAAATATTATAAATTCATTTTTTTCTGCAGCCATTTTTGTTCTGGAATTTTTTAAATTCATTAAGCGATCTAATTGCAAGAAATATTTAATAAGTATCTATTCTAAAATTCATTTTTATAATGGAGTCTGTACATTTTTTAGATGCACTAAGTCTATCAGCCCTAGTTTTTTTCAGACGTAGGTATATTCTCAGACTCAATTGTTTTTCGTGTACAATCATATTACCGATTATCCTTAGCTTAACTGTATAATGTACATAGAACAGTAAATTAATTATGGAATATGGGAGGGGAAAATTTTGTTTTTCTAACTATTTACTACGGTCCTTACCATCTTGCATTGCATAACAATAATGAAAACCATCCCCTTCGTAGCCATTCAGGCAACGACAGTAACCATTTTGACATTCTGCTTTAGAATGACACTGTACTCCTATGCAAGGATCTACAAAGGAGACAAACATTTTAGAAACTGAAAAAGACTATGTAATACTATTTCTTCCCAATTAGTAACATGCATCATGTGATTTATATTTTATGATAATGTTTTCATAGAATGTTTTTGACACATGCAGTTATTTGTCTGCTTGAAATAAGTGAATTCAGTTTTAGTCTCTCTATTCCCATATAAATAAAACAGTAGTATTTTCGGGAGAACGATGCAAATAGATGGAGTACAAGTTCATTTCATGCTACTTAAAAAGTAGTTTTCATTGAGAAATAATCAACATTTTTCTTGATATTTATTTATGTTTCAGAACAAATTTCTCCATGAAAGAGCATGCTCTTTTATTTGTATAGATGATGTTATGAGATGCATACTAGGAACTGATAAGCTTACCACTATGAACTGGACGACATTCATAATAACCATCACCTTCATAACCGTTTAAACATAAACAACGTCCATTTCTACAATAACCATTAGGATGACACTGAACATTTGAACATGGATCTACCGGTACAAAAACGTTGGAAGTCCAAGTATGTTTGCGAAACCAATAACAATTTTATAGTAAAAAGCCTTATCTATTTATAAGCAGATTTACAGTTTTAGTTTGTGATTTACATGGTCTATTCAAGTGCATTATTAAGTAAACACAATAGTTTAGTATTGTTCAGAAAACAAACCATTTGACAGTATTCGACTATTAGTATTTAATTGTCAGTAAACTGCAGAAGTTCAGAAATTTTCAGGTTACACTTTTTTGTCCTATTATCTAATTATTTTTTATTAGGGACAGTTTTATACCATTTTTAATCGCTAGAAAGTCCCCATCATGTTAAAGACACAGATGAAGTTTACCACGCGTCCGATGATAACTCTAAAAATGAAAGATAACTTGACAAATAACCCAGGAATTTGTGTTCTCAGTCAAAAGGCCACCTCCTAGTGTAGTTAAAGCTGTCAATAACTCAATTCTTTCATGAACGTAGAATCTCTAGATAATCATTAAAAACAAGATGCACAGAAAAGGAATCTCTTTTCAAAGAATTTGTTAGCATACTGTACATTCGTTTATATATGACTGTATAGCTTGCTGATAAATTTGTTAAAAAAAGACCTCTTCTCTGAACTTCGTGTTTTTAGTTTAATTCGTGCTTATTTAGTGAAAACGTGCCATAAAGTCAACTTGGATCAGCCATTTCCAAACCTGTTAAACTAAGAGTACTTCAAACAGCTGAAGCAAAAGCTATTCCAATCAGAAAGCCGGGGCAATACATCTGAAAGAAAAATATATTTTTTATTCTATCAACAATCCTACATTTTATGACCAGTAATTGTAAATGATGTATTGACCTTTGATTAGGTTCTCCCCTTTGTAATATGACTTTGGATTTATTTCATAGTTCCATTTTTATATATCCCATTTCCTTCTTGTTTCAGTACCCTGTATTACTGTCATAGAAAAACTAAAAAATATTTTCCATTTTATTCCTGTTTTATTACTTTTCAATTCTTTCACTTATCTGCTTTGAAACGTTACACCACAATTATTTACTGCTTTGTTTTATTTTTGACCTCAAGTCTTTTATGGCTTAGAATAATGATGATTTATTTATTGAATTCGTTTACTTATATTCACTGCGTTCATAATGTGATTATAATTTTTTAATAAAACTCTAATTTATAATAGATTTATAAGCAGAGATGGATGGTGGCTAGTAGTGGAATCGACGATGCTTATTTTGTCCTGTTTGGGACTCGAATCCAGCATCGTGAGATTTAAATGCCATCATATTATGCATTTAGCTACTGAGTGCAAATAGCCACCAGCTTGTACAATGGAGTGAGGTCTTAATAAATTTACCTGTTGTATATGAATAGGACTTTAATATTTTTAAATTGAAATAGTTATGAAGGAACGTTTTCCGATAAACATATTTCCTTTATGCCTTGATGAAAATGATTAATTTATCTACTGAGTTCTTTGAAGAAAAACTTGGTTGTTTTAGTACCAATTCATGTACAATATATTTCGTATCGTTTCAAAAATGATTTTAGCATCTTACGCGGCAGCCTTAATAGTTAGAACGATTAGCCCTACTTTGTTTTAGAGATTGTATGAGACTGTTTTAGGTTTTATTCCTTCTTCTTTACTTTGCCTACAATCTGTTAACTATTTGAGCGAACGGCAATAAGACAAGTTAGAAGCACAAATGAATCTTTCAGTTTTTAGTAGAAATGCTCTGAACTTCTCAGATTTATTCTTTAACAAAGGTTTTCCTAAACCAGTTAAAGACCATCTTTTGCATTTTTAATCCTCGAGTTTACAGTGTTTATGAATCCAGTTAAAGAGCATCGCTTTTGTGTGATGTTTCGATAACACTGTATCAAAATAGTGAGTCCGATTTACATATAAAATAGTGTTTACTTAAAGTTACATTATTTTTGAAGTACAACGTACACCTATTCTTGTTTAAATAAAAGTTATGTATCATTTCAGAAAAAGCGGTTTCATAATATATTGATAGTTAATAATTTTCTTAAAATCGGCACTTTACGATCCATGTTTTCTTAACACTAAAAAAGGGAACCGCATGCAACTGAACATTGCCGTTTGATATTTTCTGAGTTTACGAGCATATAGATATTTTTATATAACTCGCATGCAGAAAATTCTTACCAGTAACTGTTTGCCTACAATCATAATACCCATCACCTTCGTATCCTCTAAGACAATGACATCGTCCACTGATGCACTCTCCATATTGATGACATTTTACACCAGTGCAAGGATCTAGAGATTTAGAATTTAGAAATAATTGCTTTGTTTTTGAAGCATTAAGTTGAAAGTACCTTTGTTTTTATTTTATGAAATTCAGTAAACAATCCTCAAACAATAAGTGAACGCTGTGTAAACTTATAGTCATAAAAGTAACATAAACCTGGTACCATAAATCAGTTTACTTCAATCAATTTAGATTCACTTTATATTTACCGGGTGTACTTCAGATGTAGAAAAGTAACTGGATCCATACTTTAACAATTTAAAATTACATCCAACAGATATTTATCAAGAAGATATTTACTTCATGGGTAGGTGATTTTTATAAGAATCTAAATTTAGTTCATTTGCAGATGAAACATTAAAGGAATGAAGAATAAAGTTTAAAAGAAAGATTGTTTAGTTTTTTGTATATAATTACTATTGCTAATCTATAATTACAAGCTATTAAGTTACGAAATTACTTGTCATTCTATGTATCATTTAAGTGTAACTTTCAAGTAGTCATTGATTCACTTTTTGTTCTATCAGTATTTAACGCAAATGGATATTAACATTCCATACATTATAGGTATCATTACCAAGGTTTGACTTGATAATTTCAAATAAATTAAGCATAAGGTATATTGTTATAAATAATTTAATATATTTGTAATATCCCAATGAGTAGAAAAATAAGATTTTCTGATGTTTCGTTACTCAGTATAGGTCATTTTTAAAGACAACTAGTTTCTACGAAGACTAAATATTTGTAACACCAATAAATGAAAAATCGAATCAAAATAATTCAAATATAATTATCAGTATTTTCTTTGTATTGTAAACACATTCTTTAAAATTTTGTGATAGAAATAAAAATGACTATGTGGAGGAGGTTGCCATTGCATACAACAGACTCCGATGTTTGAATTTCTTTTCAATATTTAAAATGTTACAAATGATATACCGTAGAAACCAATTAACTAGTGATTTATCTTTTTTTAATTATAAAAGTGAAGTTCCATTGAAATCCAATGCATTAACTCTGTTAGCATTTCAGTTATTCATCTAAAGTAATCTAAAAAAAATCAAGTATATTCTTTAGTTACTGATTGATTGATCATGAACCGATTGATGTTAGACCACCATTGAAAACGGCTGTTCAGTGCTTCCAGGTTTTCAATGGTGGTCTAACATCAATCGGTTCATGATCTCAATCAAAAACTTAACAATCTCCACAACCCCTAAACTGATAATCTAAAAAGTGTAATTCCTAAAAATGCTTAGCAACTAATGAATGTATTGCGAAAAATGTATTATGCGACTTTAATTATGATAAAATAGATATGCTGGTTTATGATACACTCATATTTCCCAGTGAATATTTGTATTAATTTTATCTAATACAACGAATATAAGAATTAATTATTAAATATCAAATAGGCATTCAGCTAAAAGATCAGCTTCTATGTACAAATAATCGGTAAGACATATATAGATATTTGTTTTTCTGTCGAAAATAATCAGCACTGACAGGGCATGTGACTGTTGAATAACTAGAATATATGAAATACTACTTATATGAATGTTAGGTTTAACATTTATGTATAATTACCTAATCATCTTAACGGTCATTTCTTTCCAATAAATGTTAGGAGTTATTATTATTAGTTTTTACTCATACCATAGTTTAATTCAACAATGTTTATGTTAATAAACATAAACCTTACCTCTTACATGACAATCGTAATATCCATCACCAATATAACCTTCAATACAATGACACTGTCCATTTTCACACTGTGCATATGGATGACATTGAATGTGATGACATAAATCTGTAAACAAATACTTTGCTGTAACCTTTTGTTAAAATAAATAATACTACGAGGCGTTTTTTAAATCACTGGATGACATATCTCATGCTTGAGATTAATTTAAGATATGCATACATCATAGGAATTATGTTTAATTGACTTTATAAATCTGATAGTATAATAAAAGTTCAATAATGTGTATTAATCTATTAGAAAAAAAATGCCATTGTTACAAACTTTACAAGCAAAAGTATGATCATAACCATACTCAGTAAAACAGGTTTTACAGACGAAATAAATCAGAAATGCTGGGGTTTAATAATCGATCAATGCGTAATAGGAAACAAGCTAGGTGTAGGTACATTCATTTGCAATCTTTCAGTTTCAAATGTTCTTGTTAAGTACAGTATATGCCGAATAGTAATGGTAAATACTCTTACTGTATATTGTATAAAGCTAATATGATTAACAGATTTTTAAAGATCTTAAATGGCTAATCCTACTGATTAGTGTATTGTGACAACATTAATTACAATGAATTCATAAATAATTATTTAATTTCCCATATCTTTTTTTCCTACGTTTTAACTCATAACCCTTCAGTTTAGTAACATTTAACATAACTTCCATTTGCATTTTCTTTTTAATGGATCACTTATAATATACGTACCTTCAGTGTTATTTGATTATTCTATTTTAAGACTCAGTAACTAACCATGAAAAAGAATATTGACATCATAAATTTTACATAGAACCATTTTTAATATTTTATGATGACTGTCTAATTGGATAAATTTAACGAGTATTAAAGTAATATTATTACTAGGTTGATTTGTAAGTGAAACCAAAGATTTAACACAATATATTTCTAATGGCGGTCTGCCTGAATATCTGGGCTATCTGGTCCTGACATCCTAATATTTCAACAAGTCATCTAACTTGGTTTTAATACAACATTATGGTTTGTAGTGTCGGTTATTATGTTAAGCCCACATACCTTATTCTAGCTTTCGGACAGACCAATCTATTCATTCTACTTGAGTCATATTTTGACCTTGTTCATTATTCGCTTATCAATCTTCACTACTTTTATATGAACGCGTAGGTGTGTGTACATTTCTTATCCCATTCATCACATGTCTGTAACTTATTTTTGTGTAACTATAAATATTGATTAACGCTTGACTAAACGGAATTGGCTTATCCACCATACCCGCTGCGCGTCGTTTCTCTTCTCTCTATTCCATTCGCTTTATATACAAAATACATGTATTCACAAGTCCATTTTCGTTATTTGACTTATTTATTTCCGTTATTGACTAACGCGGTTTAAATCGATGATTATATACAACGATAGGCGAAATATATAGTCCGACAACCATCATTCAGTCAGAACTCGGTCCACTAAAGTGAAGAGCCCATCAACAAATATCGTCCGATCTAAATGACGACAAAATAAAGGGCCCCACAAGTTATTAATCGCATAACCTATTCAGGTGCGTTTCTGAAAAGTGTACAACCTTTCGTTGTATAAGTTACAAAAAGCTCAATCAGAGACATTGTGTTTGCTGGCAATGTGCAACGAAAAGAATGTACATTATTTGGACGTCGAATAACTAGACTGTTAACTTCTAACTGGCAATCACTCAATTTTATCATCAGGATCGACGAAAATGTAAGAAACGGGAAATTGTTGAAATACTTTGTGCTGAGAATTATTCTACATTTTACCAAAAATATAATATTGAATAACGCTAATAATAATAATAGTTCATTAATTTAAAATATGATATTCCAACATGATAGATTTCTACTTTTCTAATATGCTTAGTGTACAATTTAATCATTGATATTATTAATAAATGGTCACTATGTTAAATGGAAAATGTTATTACACTTAAAACTTACCTCTGACTCAAAATTATAAAAAGAACATAATTTTCCAAGAAATAAGTTGTGGTAAAATACAACAGATCTGGTAACCTGTTTAATCTAGTTCATCATTGTAGTGTTCAATATGCAGATTAGAATGAACAGAAAGCAAATTTAATTTTACTAAATAAATACATTTTGTTATCTCTTAGTCTCTAACTTCATTCATTTCCATTAATTAAGAAACATTTATACTTAGAAGAAAACAATGAAATTAGTAATAAATTTTATTATCAGAATGGGGTTTTGTGGAGATTTTAGTAATTTTATAGTTGAATTCATGAGTCAATTGAAGTTAGACCATCATAGAAAACTTAGAAGCACGAGACGGCCGTTTCATCTTAGTATGGGACATTAACACTGTTGGATGCCGGCCAGCTCAGTGGTCTATAGGTTAGACGTCCTCGCGTGAGACTGATAGGTCCTGGGTTCAAATCTCGAGAGGCAGGATCACGGATGAGCATGGCTGAAGAGTCTCATACTAGGATGAAACGGCCGTCCAGTGCTCCCAGGTTTTCCATGCTGGTCTAACTTCAATTGACTCATGAATTCAACCATAATAATTTTTAGTTTGGTGTTAAGAGAACATAGTAGAAGTATCGATATAATGTGTACAAATAATAAATTCAAGTTATTCAATGACAAAGTTACTTTAAACAATAAGATTCATTGAGTTATAAACATTTTTATAATAGTTATCATCATGTTTCAGTCAGTATGATCATAATGTAGTAAAAGTTTACGAATAAATGAAAAATATTCAATTGGATATGAGAAAACAATAAATAGACAATTTAAATGTTATTTTGACCTTTGGTTACTCGGTAGCAACTACAATCTCTGAGATAACATTTACAAGTTTAGAATGTTTGGATAGTGCGATGGGAAGATAAAAAATTACCAGAATTATGTGATATATTTGGGTAATGTATTTTAAACAATCTGATCATACATATACTTGTTAAGATACCTTATATGGAAAACAAAAGGTCGACTGGGTAAATTAAAAGGTGAGGGGAACAAAAATAATAAAAATCACATAAAAATAAAGTGAAAACCACGCTAGATAATAAATCAGTATTACATGGGTAGGCTAGGGGTAAAATAACTAAAATACTACATATTTTCTACTCACATGCTAAAAATAGCATTCCGATTTTTACTCTTTTCTTTGCTGAGCAAATATTGCAAACCAACATGCTAATGCTTTTTATTGTATTTGTAAATTTGTATTTACTCTGTCAACCTACTCACCGGTTTCTCTAGGTCTACACTCCCTATAACCATCACCAATATAACCATCTTTACATGTACAAACACCATTGTGACATGTGGCATCATAATGACATTGTACATGAGAACAAGGATCTATTGTTAGGGTAGTATTAAAATAATTTTAAAAAAAGTTTGTTAGTGATGCATATTTAAAACATTTAGTACACATTTATTTTATTTATATGATAGTATTATTAATTTCAGAGTTGATCATCAAAAATAATTTAAAATAAAACTGCATTGTTTCTATTCATTCCCACTGATAAATATTTATCAATTTGTGATCGAGATCATGAAGCGATTGATGTTAGACCACCACTGAAAACCTGGAAGCACTGGACGGCTATTTCGTTCTGTTGTGGGACCCCTCAGCAGTGCGCATCCACGATCCCGCTTGTGGGATTCGAACCCAGGGACTTCAGTATCACACGCGTACGCTTAACCTCAATGGTGGTCTAACATCAATAGGTTCATGATCTCGATCGAAAACTTACCAATCTCCACAAGTCTATACTGATATATACTATTTTAGATGAAGTTTTGTTGTCTCAGTTGGATGGTTTGATCGTTGAGTTTTCATTGTTCTTCTGAATAAATTCACGTAGAACTGGAGTGTTCGAATTTCTCCTCATATGACTCACATCTTATCCTGTTGATCTCTATTATGATTGGTGATTGTTGAGCCTTAACCTGTCATTATCTACCTCCTTATTTTGATTGTATCGCCCTTTGATCTGATTATTGGTTTTATATTTGTCCTTGATTTTTTTGAATGGTTAGAACACTTCATTTCTGTCTGAAATTTTTGTTGATGATGTTGTTCAGATAAACACTGAATGCTTCACAACTAAATCAACCACCTGAGCTACAAATCTTCTCTACTATTTACAAATTTACATTAGCAATTGTTCGTGGAATTCTTGCAAAGATATATTCTAACTGAAAATGAATATATTAGTTGTGTGGCAATTGTTTTATGAATGTTAGTATTCAGTCATCAATAGAATCTTAACAGTTACTAAGCACATAATTATGTAATAAGTTCTGTAAGAGTAAGAGTATAGTTGCATTATCATTTCATTAATAAAGTGAAAAGTGCACATAAACTCGTTAAACGAAATAATTTCGATTGTATATGTTTAAAGTATAATCAGTCAGAATCATCTTCAGTTTTCGCTTTGATGAACAAAGTAAATTAAGGACACTTTAAAAAGCAATAATAAATCTTAAAAAGAAACTTTAAAATAAACTATTGTACTACTGTGATAAATGCTACTTATGTCGACATAAGTAGTATGTAACGCCACTCAGAAGTGGAATGCCTGGCAGCAGAAGATTAGGAAGAACGAATTGAAGAGAACGGGAACAGAGGGTAAATGTTATGGCATTGAAGGAACGATGAAGTTTGAGACAATTAATGGAGGATTCGCAAATAAAGTATTTGCTATTATAGTTTTCACATTTGGTGAAAGAAATTTGTGATTTTGTGCTAAAATGCGATTAGTCGTTCTCACATGTGTTCTCGTTCATTACAATACTACTTTAAAGTTTTATAGAGTTACCACCCTTGAGAAAATAAAGAAAACTCATGCTCAATGAAAGAGCCGTTATCCACAAGGCAGAGTCACATTTGTTTATATTATAACCTATATGTGGAATACCATTATAACCACAAAGTTTTTTCAAAGAGAATGTGTTTTCACTTTGAAATAGGATGTGTATATGTAAAGTGGGTTAGGAAGAGTTTTAAAATGGTTGAAGAACAATGAACTACCACTTTGTTGACAGTTGTGGATTAACTCTTAAATGTATTAACATGACTGAGGAAGGTAGTAAAGGCTTCAAATTTTAACTAATTACATATTCAGTAAAAGCTTCTTTTTATTGATGTATTTGGCCTACAGTTATATTGCAGAGTTTCTTCGTTCTTAACTTTTTCTATAAATATTTATCATGCATATGAAAGTTCCTGTATTCTGCCTATACTATGAGAAATAAATAACTACTTTGACAACATATTTTCTTATTTATTAGAAGTATGCGATCTAACCGATGTACTTAAATTTATCTGTCTAAACAATAGATGTTAGTTGGTGAGTTATTTAAGAAAACACTCACTGACAAAATACGCTCCAAACTTCCTACATTTTTTTTGTAAATTTCTGGGATATTTCAATCAAAATATAGGTCTTTTAGTAGTCTTACCCACCTACTTGAATACGGCGGCAGTCGTAGTAACCATTTCCTTCGAATCCAGTGCGACACTGACAGCTACCATTAATACAATATCCATACTGGTGACATTGAACATAATCACATGGATCTATATCAGAATGATTATTATAAGTTACAAGCGAACACCTAAGTGGATGAGTGGTGTTTGAAATGTGCAACTCATGAGTAAATGACACCGAGGTAGTATGGCAAAATGCAATGTTACATAGCATTCAAATGAAATTCTAGCATAACTTATCGTGCTATAAAATATTTTATATATTGTTTCTTTGAAGTATTTATTTTTAAAGCAAGGTTAATTAAGTTATATTTTATAATTAAGTAAAATGGATTATGTATAGAGATAGCATATGTTTTTATAACACACCAATTTTCTATCTTATATGATGTCAAGAATATAAACATGCACACATATCTTTTGATAAAGTAGTTGTATGTATAGTCAATCTCCCAGCTATGAATCTATATACAAATAATGAATCCATGCGTGTTAGTACTTCATCATTTTCTTTTAACTTACCATAATTACGTGGTTTACAAACATGATAACCATCACCATAATAGTCAGCCAGACACTCACAGTTACCATTTCTGCATTTAGCATATGGATGACACCTAACCTCAGAGCATGGATCTTGTATAATAATGTTTATGAAAACAAAAATTAAATTTGAACAAAATATGGATTGTATTTTCAACTGATTTTAAATGTTTTATTTGAGAATACGGCGAGCCAATTAACAACAGATTATGCACTAGGGTTGAGACTATTTGAAAGGACGATGACTATGTTTCTTTACATCATTTCTAGCTGTTACTTGAAAACAATCTCAGATCAAAATAATCCAAGGCCTCAGTACATTATTTTTTTGTTTAAAAGATTCATGATCACTAAGGGGTCCGAATTTTTATTAACATGGAATATTTTCTTAATAAACCTTAACTGACTAAATAGTGCGGAGCTTTAAACATCATGTGGTTGCAGTTACGAACTAGAGTAGATTAGAGGTACAAAGTCTTCCTCTGTAAACATTTATTTCTGGTACATAAGCTTACTCAACTGTTTAAGCTTAGTGAGTGTAAAGTTTCATGTAAATAAGATTCACTAAGAAAAAATCTTAGTAGTTATCGCTATTCGCAAATCGGCAATGCTAATTGTAGTATTTCAGAAAAAATGTTATATTTTAATTGAATGAGTCATTGTTTTTCGTGAACTTTAACCCTGAGATAAAACTAGGCAAGGAGTTATATGCGATCATTGAGAAAGTAAGTTTGATCAAAATCAAACTTGAAAAACATAATTATAAATTTTAAGTAATCTTAGGAGTTGTAAAACACCAAGTTAGAAAAGTTATCGTACACAACAAATAGATGGAGATGAGTAACTTTGAAACAAACTAAAATCTGGTCAAATTTATCTCTAAAGAATGGAAGTAGAGAAGAAAGGTATCAATTTAAAACATAAAATTGTAATATGAGAACCCTCAGCAGTGTATATCTACAACCCCGTACACGTAACTCAGATGTAGGACGAAACCGAAGGTCCTGGGTTCAAATAAGGCGTATGAGATCGTCGATGCGCAGCGCCAAGAAGTCCAATAACAGAATGAAACTAATGTTATTCACTAAACATAGATTATTACTTCAAAGCTCCACTCACCATCCGATAACTCTGGATCTTTTTTGAACTACTTTCTAAGAAATAATCTTCTTAACCATGGTAGGTTAAGCATGTTGATCAGAGATTATTTGTTAGATGTATGATTTAAGTAGATATAATTAATGGTGAACGCTTGAATAGTATTAAACTTCTTTTTTTCGATCTGGATAAACAAGTATTTAGGATATTTATTCATTATAAGGCACATGATCAAAGAAATTTTTGATGCAGAGTTTATAATATTCATGATGTTAGTATGCCATAAAATATATCATTGTACTGAGTACAAACATAAGATGTCAAAAATGGAGTCTAGAAGAATAATATGCACGTCTACTATGTTCAGTATCTTAAAGACAGGTATTCAATAAAAATAGATTGAATAAAACACTTAGAAAATCTCTGCATAAATTATTGTGTTATACAGTTGAATTTGGGAAGGCATGCAGACGTACCGTGGTAATGCAAAAAATTAAGTGTTTCTACGTCAAATAATAAATAAACTTAAGAATTTAGCATTTGGAACTGTAGTATTTCTTTTTAAAAAAACAGAATGGGAAAGGGCATAGTCGGAGTTTACGTAAATGCACTGTTTCAAAACACAATAACAAGCTGTGTGAAGAATGAAATCACACGAAAGGAATGAAAAAAAGGGATAATCAAGGGAAGCTAACTTACCGTAAACTTCAGGCTTACAATCATAATACCCATCACCTTGAAAACCTTCTACACAATGACATTCGTTATTATAACATTGTGCATTTGGATGACAACGTACTTGAAAACATCGATCTAATAAAATGAGAGATGTTATGTATTCTGTCAAAAATAATCTCTCTTTACATATATATATCACCCCAAGAAACAAATATTAGAGAGATCTTCGTGACTATTAGTCGCATATATTGACCATAATGTGTATTGTAGAGAGGGTTTTTATCGGATATGATCAAAAAAGTAACTTAAATTCCCAAGTGAAGAAAAAAGTATTGATTGTGCAAATAAGACATAGATACATTTAATTACGGATAGTGTAATCAGAAGACAAAATTATCAGAACTGTGTGATATAGTGACGCAATATATCACATAGGTCTGATGATTTTGTCTTCTTATTACATTACCTAAATTTATCAAAGAGATTAATTGTTTTACATTTAATGTCGTAAACTCACCCCTTTCTTCGTAACATTTGACAACTGGGTCGCCAGTATAACCTGGTGTACAAACGCAAGCACCATCTTGACAGAACGCTTGTTCTCCACACTGAATCCCTTCACATAGATCAACACCACTTGCTATACATATACCATTTTCACAAATCTCATTACGACGACATTTAGAACATGGATCTATAAAATAAACAATCGATTTGGTAAATTTTTTCTGCTAAATAGTGGATAACACACTACGTAACGGTATTATGGAGTTAGGAAATATAAATAATTTACGATTTTGTTTTCGTTTGTTACATAAATTATCTATTTGTTTTTCTTCTAAAAGTACAAGTGCGGTGTATGCCACTTATGTCTGTCGACATAAGTAGTATGTAACACTAATCAGAAGTGGAGTGCGTGGCAGCACAACGTCAAGAATATTTAATTGAGGCAAACAGGAATGTAAACAGAGAGCAGTTTTAATAGCAACAGAAATGAAGGAACGATGAAGTTAGTAAGAGACAACTGATGGAAGATGTGCAAATAAATTATTTAATGTTCTCTATACTGGGACTCCTTGATGATATAAGAACTGCTGTCACAAATTCATTCATCTACTGATTTGTAGGCAAAACAAGAAAATAATGAGAATCGAAGGGAAAGTAATTAGATCCTCCTATGCTAAACATAATTTGAGAAAAACATTTGTGGTAAACTTCATATTCACTTCTATAAAAATTTCCTTTGCTTGATATAGGGCAGTTAAAGTTTCTGTATTATTATTAATCATGGAAATGTGAGGAGTATATAGTAAAACGTTTATTCGTACTAACCTAAAAAAAATCGAAGACAAATCAGATACACTATTATGCAAGGCTAATACTCCTGGGTATAAAGTACGAATAAAGTAACCCAGGGAACGTTTATTCGAATCATACAGTTATGTAGATATTTTTCGCGATCTAATGTCTTTTACCATTTTGTTTAACATAAAAAATTAGAATGGTATCAATAGATTTGAAAACGTTTATAAATTACATTACGGTATTTCGAATACATGCCACTTCAGGGTTAATCATTAGTCAAACTTTACCACCGTCAAGATTCATAATCAAAAGGATCTCAGACAGTAAATGGAATTTGTAGGCAATCAGGAAGAGATTTAAACCCTCGTTTAGTTCTTGCTGGCATCACTAGCTATAAGTATTATTAACCTTAGATATTTCGACAGTGAATCATTCACCTTTAGATTAACGTTAATGACTGATTATTGAAAAATGTCTAATTACCATACAAAATAACTTCTATCATCTTGTTATTATAATTAACTTCACTCCATACATTTAACTTGGGATATTTAGTTTATTCAAATATTTCTTGCTACAATCACTGTATTATACAAATACTTCATCTGATTTGATGGTAGATTTTCATTGGAAATAAATACAAGGATTTCACAAAATATCATAGTTTTTTTTCCAGTTAATATACTACAGCCCACTTATCGTTCGGGAATATATATCAAATCGAAGACAGAATTCAAAAAAAGGAACAAACCAGATGTTTCAAAATAATAATAACAATGTACTTTCCTGTCCTTAGTTCAATACATTACTACGAAAGGTTTGTTAACCTCAAAAGTATTAATTATATATTCTAAGAAAAGATTACAAATTCTGTACAGATTTCACAAAAGTAAGATTATTTAAGGTGAAACATGACATGATTTGCCTCTAAATATTTCATACATAACTTCTATGAATACTAAAGTCTTTAAAATAATATTACACATGAAGAAGTTTTTCTTAAAGGGGACAATTCATTCATCATAGTATGACTATCTGTAACAAAGGGAACAAATACCCTCACAAATGTGGTTTTAAAAGCATGATGTTTAATTCAGTGACTTACACATAATCTATTCGAATGATCATAGAGTGTTTCTTAATCTATTTGTCTTTTAATAAATCATCAGGTCATTTTCATTAGTTGAATTAACTAAAAATTTACTTTTTAAGCAAACAAAATTAGTTTTACTTAATACTGTGACCTAATTTGGTTACCATCTTAGTAAAGATTTAACAAAATGACATGAAAAATTTATTGTTTCGCTTATTCAAACACAGTAAGGGATTTAAAAGACTGTTCATATTACGCTTGCATATGCTGACCTATAATTCCAATTTAAACATTTAAAAAGTTCAGAAAAGGGATCTCATTTCAACGAATTTATTATCAAGGTGTACAATCGTATATATATATGAAAATCTTATACTAAAGTATTAGTTTCATGAGGACATATGAACAAGGAATAAATATGATGATGCAATAGAACAATTATGATACTTGATTACGTAATGTGACAATAACAATAAAACTAATAAGCTATCTAGTATAGGGGTTGTGGAGATTATTAAGTTTTGGATTGAGATCATGAACCGATTGATGTTAGACCACCACAGTTGAAAACCTGGAAGCACTGGACGGCCGTTTCGTCCTATTGTGGGACTCCTCAGCAGTGCGCATCCACGACCCCGCTCGCGGGACTCGAACCCAGGGACTTCGGTCTCGCGTGCGAACGCTTAACCAACTGGACCACTGAGCCGGCATCCAATGGTGATAGTTTCTAACATCAACCAATCCACGAAATTGAGCAACCAACTTCCGTTGTACTGAGGTAGATACCTGTCTCTACCCGACAAGGATTAGCTCCACTGGTCACGGCTTCTCACTAGAACTCCGAGAATTCCCTTACGAAGCTAGTCACTAGTGAGCACATGTTGATTACTAGTATAGGGGTTGTGGAGACTATTAAGTTTTTGATTGAGATCAACGAATTATAATGTGAATACAGTAAGATGATTAAAATGTTTTTGTTACAATAGTTGAAAGTAATTAAAGGTCATATAGGTGCACATTTAATTGAAGTTGTATCAGAAACAATTATGCATAAAATCATGAGAATATGAGTATAGGGAGAGGGGAATAACAAAATGGGAAAATAATAATAACAGTAATAATAGATTAAAGCCATGGTAACGATAACGATAGAACGTATTTCTTTTGTATGAACAATTCTGGTTTGAGCTAATGGATAGCAAGAGCTTCTGCTATTTTAAGGAGTTGGATACGAAGAAATCTATGTAGATTTGTACGAATTGTATACACAAATTTTAAAATCAACCTGTGAATCGATAGAATGAATAGAGTCGATCAGCTGTCCAAGAATAGAACTTCTAACTGTTCTCCTCCCACCCCACAGGGATATGTCCTCGTATCTGAGTTGAAAGCGAGCGCTTGCTGCGGTCTATGTACCTAGCTCCACAAGAGCAGGTGACTTGGTAGATGTATGATATATATATTCAAATGCATACAATTGTGACGTTACCCTTAGTTTGTTACGTCATTCTTTGGACTCTTTCAATTGTTTTGAATAAATAAGGATTATTATCACAAGGGGTTTGAGGAGATTTTAGAAATTTTCACAGATTGAAATCATGAGTCAGTTGAAGCTAGACCACCATGGAAAACCTGAAAGCACTGGACGGCCGTTTCGTCCTAGCATGGGACTTGTCAGCAGTGCGCCTCCACGATCGCGCACCCCACGGGATTCGAACCCTGGGCCTACTGGTTTCGCGCGCGAGCACTTAAACATTAGACCACTGAGCCGGCATCCAACGGTGTTAATGTCTAACTTCAACCAATCCACGAAGTTGCGCCACCGTACACCATTGGTCTTCAGTGAGCTGATATCTCACAACAGACCTGGTTTTAATCCCGCGGGGTGCGGGATCGCGGATGCGCACTGCTGAGGAGTCCCATACTAGGACGAAACAGTCGTCCAGTGCTTCCAGGTTTTCTATGGTGGTCTAGCTTCAATTGACTTATGATTTCAACCAGTGATTATAGGTATAGTTTGAAAGATATTTTGTGTATGATATATTTTACGTTATTAATGTTGTGATAACAAAATAAAATGCTTTTTATTATCTCGTTGAGTAGAAAATTGAATATTTGAAGTCTAACAGCTTAGTGTAAGTCGCTTCTTTAAAAGATAGATAGATGACTGCATGAAATTACTAATGAACTTATTAAAGTGATGGTTTTTGCTGAACCGTGAAACGTCAGAATTTCACTTATGTATAATGAAAAAAACAAGGATACAGAATTGAACATTTTAATTCATTAGCTTCACATCAGCTGTTTAAAACCTATAATATTTTAAAATCAAAATGATCGTGAAGTTTATATACTTATAACAGTAAAATTAAATATGTACCATCATGGTGGAATAGCGATTCCAATGAATGTTCGACTATTTCGTTAAATAACAAAGGAATTATCTTAGCTCGATGATCTCTTGTTATTATATCTGATGATCTAGGATCTTCTCTCAAAGTTCTTTATGTCTGCAACCACATTACACTTATTCGAACCACTATTTTACCACGATGATACATATTTAACTGTTATCAGTAAGCAAATTTGACGTTAATTTTGGTTCTAAAATATTATAGATTGTAAGCAGCTGATGAGAACTTAATGAAATAAAATGAATTCATGTTATTCTGCTCGACTGCTTGTTCTTGGTAACTAAGTGTATGAACATTCATATGTGTCATTTCAGTTTTAATTAGTACATCCTACACCCAACGCCCAGTCTATTTGAGATGATCAAGCCAAACTTTACTAATGATACTAAAGTTTGATGGGTTTTTTTTATTCTCGGAAGCCACTTAGTACAGTTGAAGTAGGTTGGAAGAAATCGGCTAATTTTATTTCTTTTAAGGTTCAAGTAATTCAAGCGAAGAATATTATCAGTTTTTGGTATTTTAAAGAACAGATATAATTTACATGAGCTTACGGTTAATTCATTAACCAACTGAAGATATTTAACTAGGTAATATGTTATTTATTGGATGGTTCACATTTCTTAGATAGTATTTTAAAAGAAATAGGCCAAATTCATTTACAAATCTGTGTTTCTACGGATTTTATGGTAACACCTAATGGAAAAAATCTAAGGAAAATTTATGTGCTAAAAAAATGCTAAAGAATCGTAAATTTTCATTTGCAAAAATACAGTCAAACAGAGTTCAACAATATCCCTGTCTAAAAGATAGATGATTTAGTTCACAGTTCAAAATCTAGGGATAATATTGAAAAGTTTATTCTAATTATTTTTAGATGATCATTAACCAGAATGAAAATGGTTGGGAAAAAAGAGAGAGTTAACGATTTTACACTGTCATTACGAATTCCACGATATTTGAAGTTATCAGGGTGAAACTACACAGATACTATTACTAAATTTGATGTGGAGCTTATAAATAAAGGTATATTGCTTCATTATATAACTACCTACTATCATTCGGTAAACATTACAGTTTGTTTCATGGCAAAGATATCCAATTGATGATGGTTATTTTAATTGAATAAAACTTTTTATGATGAATGTTTTCAACTGTTTCAATCTGTGATAAGATGTCGTTATTTGGGAGTGAAAAACATCGTCTGATATATTTCGCAGGATAACAATTTCGAGTTGGTTATTCCATGTAAATCTGTTTACTTGGTTAGATGTAAATATTATGGAAGAATGATGGGAGGTTTCGAAATCGTAGGTAGTGTAATAATAATAACTATATATATATATATATATATATATATATATATATATATAATCAGAATGGGTTTTGTGGAGATTTTTAGAAATTTCACAGGTTGAAATCATGAGTCAATTGAAGCTAAACCACCATAGAAAACCATCCAGTTCTTCCAGGTTTTTCATGGTGGTCTAGCTTCAATTGACTCATGATTTCAACCTGTAAAAGACTTTTTTATCATAATTATTTCCCTCCTATTTATACTCTTCAGATTTGCTAATATGAACTTGTTTTGCGATAAAGAGTCCGTAGGAAAACATTCAGATATACAATGAACACATAAACATTTATTATTACCATAATCACTTACTTATTTTATAAACTAATTAAAAAAGCATATATGAAAACAATACGATGGAAAGATAATAAATTTTGGTATATAATAGACATACAGATGTGTGAAGCAGATGTTGGAGAGACAACTTTCAATAAGTAACTAATGATTTACAGAAATTCCCATGTACAGGGTTCTTCTGCTTCATAAAAAAAATAACGTTCAACAGATGTCAGTCTGATTAATAACTTCAACCATACTTTTAAATACATTTTTGGTAAAAACGTATCTTACATATTTTCATATATGCTACTAGCATTAACAATCTAAAGCTCTGTTACAACATAGATATATAGGGGTTTTCTGTTTTGTATTTAAAGGACGTTAGATAAAATAATTCACAATGTAATAGATTTTTACTTAAATTGTATTGATGGAAATATAGGTGGATAATTTAAATCATGGATTGATATCATACAAAGAATATAGAGCACGAAACAGATGTTCTACTGTAAACTGGTGCTCTTTACAAAATATTGCACATAAACAAACTTAAGACAACTAAGTATTTCAGTGACTATAATATATTCAGACTCTCGAAGCCAGTAGTGTGAATATCTAAATTTCAGATATTACTTGATGATAGATATTAGCATCAACGTGTTTGTTAAATATGCACGATTATTAAAACTGATCTGAAGATAACTTTGATCACGAACTAACACCAACCGAAAAGCCGCTGAGAATTATTGTAAATTAGACACTGAATTTTTGATTGTTACACTGACCGATGTGGTTTCTAAATTAAAATCACTTTCGAATTATTTAAGATCTTGATGAGGTAACCTTTGTAAATAATAAAATCAAACAGGAAAAGATGACATTTGTGAAATATATTTTAAGTAAGTCTCTAGCCCGATTTATTTCCATAATGCATCATTGAATATGCATTCATATGAAAAGTGTTTTGAAGAAAACAGGTAGCTCAAAGTTTCAAACTCTGTTTATCTTTCTCCCTTGACCTTTTCCGTTTTTTCTTCGCTGTAGTTTTCGGTGCATATTCCTAAAATATGTTTGATTGGGTGTTTTCGAAAGAAGTCCAATAAAAATGTGGTTAGTATAAAGAGAACGATTGGTCAATCAATAGTTGGAAGATGAATTCATGAACTGATGTTAGCCATTGGAGACAGCTGACAACTAGCTGTGCATCAAGATCTTGAATTATTTACGACTCATCAGAAAAGTTCATTTCCAACTTAATGGGAAATGGTGCTGTCAAGTGAATCAAAATTCTCTCAATCTCAGACTTTATTCGTTAGCTATGCAATCTGCTATCGGCCCTTGATAAAGATGAGATGTTTACACTAATTAGTAAATAGTTTTATGTTTATACATTTATGAGTATTTATCAGATTTTATCGGCCAAGTTCTCGTATGTATATTAGTCTTAGTGACTCGACAACCTCAAGCGAACTTCCAAATTTTTACCTAGTATGATCCCAATCTACTATCACCTTTAACTTTAGTTTGTATACATATTAGGAGACGAAAGTAAATTCTGTTGATCCATCATATCTATATTATTTGAATATATATTTACTATGATCATCTATACGGCATGTTCCTATATATATATATATATATATATATATATATATATATATATATATATATATATATATATATATATATATATATATATATATATATATATATTGTATCGACCAAATCGCAACACTACACGGCATTGTGGAACAATTAGTTGAATGGAATTCATCACTCCACATATATATGAGATTTCTATTGATTATTAATGAAATTGTTATAATTAAAATAATGCCGATATGAGTTATGATTTAAAAGTTATCCAAAATGTACTCATAAATACGATTTTCCATAATTTAGACACTGATTCATAACCTTAACTATAGCATCATTAAAAAACTTGGGCGCCACATGACTACTTAATAGAAAAATATCTCATACATATACTTTATGATAAAAGTCATACAGAAACAACATTATACTGAATTATAGATCTTTAATATCTTTTTCCATTAAGAGATAAATACATATTGAACTGTTATTTGTTATAGTTAGTTAATTTTACACTCGGATAAATGATGTATTGTAAATGAAAACTCGACTAGATGTATATTAATAAAAAAAAGTATTAAAGTGATTAAAACCAATTGTAGAGTTAATCACTTGCATCATGATTACTTTTAGGGTAGTATTAGGTGTATTATTTTATTGTATCATTTAGAATACTTTGTAGAATCATATCTATTCTCTCATTTGTTTCAATAAATATAAATGTAACAGAATGTATGAACTACTATAAATATTTATTGTTTTAACTGATATTTATAAATTTTATAATGTAAGTGTAATATAGTATTCATTTTATTAGCAGTTAATTACTGAAAGTGTGTGTGTGTGACGGGGGGGTAAGGGTAATTTAATGATAAAGTATTACTCCATTATTCATGGTAATAAACGTGGATAATTTAGAACCAATGAAAATCTTATTATTTTATGATTTGCAATTATTGAAAGAAAAACTAACAGATTGTAGAGAGAAAAAAAAAGAAACAAGTGGCTACTTTACAACTGTTTAAATGATTTCTCATAGTCAAACATGGTTACTCCAAATGAATTATAACACAACTGTTAATTTGCCTAGAGTTGCATTTCATTGTTTTAGCTTTCAATAGTTCATTATTAAACGATATTTTTTAAAAATTCGTATAGATTTTTTAACAAAGAAACTAAAAGTCATTCAGTCTTTCAGGAGATGCAATTCGAAATTTTCTAAACACAGCAGAGTGCTTAACATGTATGAGATGAGTATCAATAATACACTTGAATAAAATCTGCTCTATTTTGTTGGTATCATCAAACAGAGAATCAGCGGAATGGAATTCAAAGATTAACAAGTGGTTTATTATTGTGCTTTGCCACTGATTTGGAAGATTAAATAATCTAGTTAAAGGTCAATATCACGTTTATCAGATGTAAAATACTATTGAAGCTATTACAAAAGCATTCATTAATTCTGTGAGACTAATTTTGTGCTACACTAAAACATAACTGGAAAATGTTGTATTCTGAAAGTAGTAATTTTGATGTATTCAACCAAATCTAAGTTATTCATTTGCTTCTGACCATTTTTTTCTTCAGAAAACTGTCTAATTTTGCATAGTCTGATGAAGTTCTTTCAACCACTTATGATTAAACACGAGTATGACCAAGTATTTTTAGCTTTTCATTACATTTCTACGCTTATTTATACATGTTTTACAATAATAATAAAATTATTACTAGTGAATAAGTGATGTATCAGATGACAATACAGAATACCTGAAACTATTTAGAAAGATAGTTACGAATGATTCAAAGTGTAATTGAAATGTTGAAGATTGATAAGGTTGTTACAGTGCTCAAAGATATTATTCAACAAATTAATTGATATATACGACGATAAATTTAAACTATTTATTGACTGGTAAGAGACCCCTGAAAATTTTGTTCAGTACAATTTTATTTAACAAATACTTTTGATTAGAGTTTGTTGAAACAGTGGAATGTGATTGATAGTATGGGATCAGTAGGTAGATGAGTATAATTTTGCATTAGTTACTAATTGGTAGTCAATTAGTGTAAAGACTGTGAAGACTAACAAAAAGTATAATAGATCTAAACAGATTTGTAAAATTTACATTTATTTACACTACTTTTTTCATACTATTTTAGGTGAAGTTCCACTGTTTTAACCACTTATCAATTACAAAATCGATCAAATAAGTGAATTATAAACACTTTCAATATTAGTGCTTAGGAATAATTTGATTCTAACCTGATTAATATTACTTAATAAATATTAATAAAAGTATGACAATAATTCTCAGTGAACTGAGAAAACTAAACATGCCGAGGCCTGTATATGCAACAAGTGGGCTACGATATAGGGCATGAAATATCCTATTTTACATAAAAATACCTTATTAAACAACTGCTATTTTTCCAGCAATTGCACTTTAACAATTTAAGTAATAGTTTTGTTAGTTTGGTAGAATAAGTATTGGTAAATGCATTAAGGTTTTGGGAGAGGATAAAAATGCGCAATGTTTTGTTAAGAGTATATTACATTATTATTAAAGTATATCTTACCACTTTCACAATGGCTAACACCATCTCCTCTGTAGCCAGGTAAGCATTGACAAAACGCTTGATTTGGATCAATACAACGAGCATGGGTATGACAATTGACAGAACCACACTGTACACCGAGATAGTTAGTTACTAAAAAAATATGTATACTAAAGTTAACATTGATATTTAACACGTTGAATTAATGAATACATCAAGTTTCAATGTCTTAATAAAAGTAAGTGTTAGGATAGTCGGAAAAATATACCAATAATTATCGTGTTAAGTCTATGGTGGCCTTGGACCTTAAATGTACATTTCCTATTGGTCGATGTTTATTTTACTTGTTAAATATTGTGTAAATGTTGTTTTCTATTTTATGGTACGATGTGGTTTGTTTGTTTGGTATATAAGTAGAGTATGTCTGAAATACAATGATTCATAACTCAGAGGCTGTGACTTGTGTTTTTGACTCAACTGGCTAGGATGGACAGCGAAGCAGGGCCAATCAGGGCACTAGGTCGTCCGTACGTGTTTTCCGTGTTACTGTGATCGATCGATAGGACGCTGCTTATCAAAACCTGCAGTCACACACGTTACAACAGTAAGTATAGTAGTATGATACTAGTATTATGAACTAAATATCTTTGTTTCTTGTAGAATATATCAAAATAAAAAAAGTTACGTCTAACAAAATATGACGGACGATTATGTTCAACAGTTAACATAAAATTGAAAGATTTGGAAAGTAGCCACAATTAAAAGAATTTAAACCCATTAAGAAACAATAAATTCATCATACCGAGCATTAGTCATTTAAAACACTGAGAATAAAAAACCTACAAAAATACAATCGAACAGATATTTCTTAATTTAATAGTTGAAATCATGAGTCAATTGAAGCTAGACCACTATGGAAAACCTCCAAGCACTGGATAGCCGTTTTGTCCTATTTTGGAACTCATCAGCAGTGCGCATCCACGATCCCGCCCGGTGAGATTCGAACCCTGCTCTCATCCGAGCGCTTAATCACTAGACCTCTGAGCCGGAATCTAACAATGTTAATGTCTAACTTCAACCAATCTGCGAAGTTGAGCCACATGTCCACCACTGTCTTCAGTGAGTTACTATCTTAATTTGACAACTTTATCAAATGGAATATTTCTATATGGTTGAGTAAAATATCATGTGGTATAAATAAATTAATATATTTGTAATATCCCAATGGGTAGAAAAATTAGATTTTTTGACGTTTCGTGACTTAGTGTAAGCCACTTCTTCAGAGAATAAATAACCTGTTTTTTGATTGATCACACGTAATGTTCTTGTGTTGTTCCTTTGTATTGTTTAAACTTGGATTAATTTTGATTGGGTCATTTGTTCTCTGAAGACGTGGCTTACATTGAGTCACGAAACGTCAGAAGATTTAATTTTTCTACACAGTGGGATATTACAAATACATCAATGTATTTATAACAATCTACCCAATGCTCCATTTATTGAAAATTATCAAGTCAAACCTTGGTAATGATACTTATATCATGGGTTATGATCGAAATTTATGGACTGTTTCAAACGACTGGTAGCTATTTGAAACTATTTAGGAAACAAGTTAAAAACTGACCCTTTAAATTTGAACCTCCATTTTTTTCAACATTAGTCCAATGAATTATCATTTAGTTCTACTCATGAACCTATATTAGTCAACCACTTTATTGTGTAGATCAAACTCAAAAACATAAAGCTTTAAGCAGAAATAGTGAATACTTATTACCGAAATATGAATGATACAGTATAAAGCCGGCAGAATTATTATTTAACGTAAATGATTACAATAAAATAAAAATATCCTAGCGAATAATTCATTTATTTGTTTGTTAATAGTTAACTTACCATCCACCAATGAAGTAGCTTATAACACCAAGTGGAATCCATGAAATAAAATGAATAAACAAGATACAAATTTAAAACAGAAATATAAGAAAATTCTTTTAAAAAAGCTTAGAAATATTATGTTAGAATACATTATTATTAACTTGTCAGCGAAGTAAAATATTTCATCACCTTTCAGAAGATCCGATAAAGGTTTTGTCAGTTAAAAAAATATTTTTCTCGCTAACATACTACTGACACTGTTCATCACTGATTTAGCAGTAGTATCACTAGTATTTGATAGCTTCATATTTTGTATCGATTCACCACTTTCAACAAGGTAATGGATAGCTTGACAATGTTTTTTTCACTTGCTCAAGTGTATTTCATTTATGTTCGCTTTTTTTGTAAACCACAAGCTTTATTTGATGTATCGGAGTGCAATTGTTTCGATATAAAACTTTAATTTCAGTCGTAAAACGATATATAGGAAACCAGATAAATCATTTCGGACATTTTGAACAAGAAATGAAAGAGTCATCAATTGCGCTAAAGCGAAAATAATTTTTTATTGATGTCGTCTAGGGTAAGGATTTTTAAGGGCCATTTAAGATTTACATGATAGATTTTGAATGAACAGATATTGATAATGTCAAATGTGTGCACAACATTGTCAATAGTGAGATATATATTTTTTGAATTGTAATCAGAGGGATCGTAGAGACAGAGACAAATCTGTTGGGGGTTAAAGGTCTACACAGAAAGAAAGAAGGGAAACAGATGCTTGTGAAAGAATAAGGCATGAATAAGATTGTTTGATGTCCAGCCTAGAAAACAATTAATTTCAAACGACTATTGATAATCTACACTTTTATAAAATGTACGTGGATGATGCCTTTATTATCTGTGACAATAGATATAGTGTGAATCATCCTCTGAAGACATTTAATAACTGCTACTCGGCAATAAATTTCACACGACGTTGAAAACAAATAAAATATTCTCTTCCTTGATGTAGAGATGACACGAAAACATTACAAAACTCTGAGATCTATCTACAAGAAACTCTTGTGGAATAGCCAGCTTTCAAGTTTCACAGCGACTTTGAGAATAGTGTCCTCCAGCCGATCAATTCTCATCAATAATCTTAAGAATAAATGATTTCATTTGACCGATTCTGTGTGCGTTTATCAATTTATCTGTTCATATGGAGCTAGGTATATAGGTTTTTCAATGAGTCTTTTATTCAAAAAAATTCGTGAACATTAACCGGCTTGGCTGAAAAGAGGTGGAAATGGCTCAATAAGAAGTCCGATAACCGGACACCTTGTGAGCACAGGTCATCCACTCAAAGTGGATTTCACGTTCAAAGTCATCTACAAAGTAAATAGAAAGCTGCTAAAGGAAGTTATATTCCATCTTCCTAGTATTGCTGAAGCACTTGCTAGACATCTAGAAAAACCAGAGTTAAGTGTCCGAAAGAAACTGGTACAACTTATTCTTCTACTATGGTCTTAATCTCTTGTAAATCTTTTCTTTCTTGATACTTCTTTCACAGACATTTTATTCCTAAATGATTTGTCTTTTTGATCCCCTAGATTACAGTTCATCTCAATTTCAACATCTTATCTTATCACACCGACCCTTCCATTCCCAATTATAATTTCATTATCTATCTTCATGCTCTCAATAACAAAATTATTCCTTGACTAATATTCTCCTAAAAATATTTCTTACAGAAAAATGAGTGATTTATATGTTGGTTGGAATTATAATGGACATTTTGACTAAGAATTTTCAGTGTATACTCATACTAGTATAGGTAGTAACAAAACACCGGATCCTGTATGCAGTAATTTTAGATGTTTTAAATGTCAAGAAATTGTCTATTTGTACACGGATTGAGCGAAAGATGAAACTTTATTTATGCTAACGATTTTAAATTATTTCCGTACATGATAATGCGAACATACTAAAATATACATCACTTGTTACGATATGCTGAACTTCTACTGTTTTGACATCAGTAGGGCAGTAACAGGTTTACAATTATTTTTTATCATCGTTCAGCTCTATATCGTATATTAACCAATTCATATTACTTATTCTTGATCAGGAAGTTCGGTAAGTAATTCGACATTCAGAGATCAGTTGTCTAAGGTTCAGCTTGATGGGTGATTTGGATAGGGCTTAGTAGTATTTCAATGAACCTTTTGTAGAAAATATATTTGCTTTTACCCAGAACTACATTAAAAGTAAAGTTTATTGAACTAGAAATAGGAGTATCATAAACCTTTTTTAGATGTACTGAAAGCACTGAAAAATTTTACGAAATCGAAGACTAATACAGACAGTCATGACAAGTGTCACTAAGGTTAATAACCAATTAGGGTATCTTAACTAAGTCATTCCCTGATTCTGACTAACTACGTTTACTTTGATTTGACACTTCAAAATTGTCACAATTCAAACTTCCAAACACAAATTAGGGCATTCTTTCTTATTTTGTTGATTACTGATGTTAGTTTTAATCCCTACTTTACTTAGTTACTAACGCCCGTTACTCCCGATGGAGCATAGGCCACCGACCAGCATTCTCCAACACAATCTGTCCCACTCTGAATTCCTTTCCAGTTCTATAAAATTTTTGTTCATTTTTCTCATGTCTGTCTTCATTTCTTGGTCTTCCTCTTTTCCTTTGACCTTCAGGATTACATGTGGGGGCTTGTCATGTGACCCAGTTCGGTGCTTTACTCAATGTGTGTGTGTGTCCTATCCACTTCTAGCGAGTCTTCCTCCACTGGAATCTGGTTTGTTCTCTCCCGCAATAGGTTGTTACTGATAGTGTCTGGCTAACGGATTCGAATTATTTTGCATAGAAAGCTGTTAATGAGCACTTGTATCTTCTGGATGATGGCTTTCGTAGTTCTCCAGGCTTCCATCTCGTACAGTAGAACTATTTTAACATTTGTATTGAAAATTCTGACCTTGGTGTTGGTTGACAATTGTTTTGAGTTCGAGATGTTCTTCAGTTGTAAATATGCTACTCTTGCTTTGCCGATCCATGCCTTCACATCTGCATCAGATCCACCGTGTTCATCAATCATGCTGCCCATCACATATGTAAAGGTTTTTATATCTTCCAAATGTTATCCGTCAAGTGTGATTGGATTGTTGCATGCTGAGTTGTATTGGAGATTCTTGCTTTTCCGTTTGTGTATGTTGAGACCTAGTGCTGCTTCTGCTGCTGTTGCTGCTGAGGCTGCTGCTCTACTGGTCGTCTTCTCCTGCATTTGTTGTTACGTATGCGGTAGAAGAGGCAGATTGTCTGCTAATTGTAGATCGTTCAGTTGGATCGTAGCTGTCCACTTTATCCCATGTTTCCCTTCAGATGTTGACGTCTTCATGATCCAGTCGATCACCAGGAGAAAGTGGAAAAGTGAGAGTAAGCAACCATGCCCGACACCGGTCTTTACCTCGAACGAGTTTGTCAAGTGTCCTCCATGCACAATTAGCTTTAATCCATAGAGTACTGTATTCTAGTCGTCAATATTTACCTGAATTAAAAGGTCACGTTTATAACTGACTGTGCAAGATGCTCCAAAATACATGCGCTTTATATCTTTTCTACCGGTTTTCGTTTCGCATTAAAAATAGAGATTACATTCCAACTTCCAAATTATATATATCCCAAGATATTAATAAATCCGATTTTTCATTTCCTGTTTACATGGTTTTAGTTAATGGTCTGGGGGCTAAGACCCAAAAAAGCATAACTTACCTTGACATGTATTGTCAGGCATTAACTTCAAGCCCTGACCACATTCACATCTATAACTCGCGCCCTCTGGTCGACACACTTCACCATGACGATCACACGTTACACAGTCACAAGGACCTGAAATTGCATGAATAGAATTTCATGAAAAGTTTAAATAAAACTTATCTGGAAACACATTAAACGTCGTAGAGTATCGCATCAAATTTAAACTAACGCAAGATGGATTAATTCAGCTTAGCGAGTCAAAATTAAATTAGATTACTTTTAAAATACGAACATGAGTTTTGATTCAATTGAACTTTTTCGAAAACCGATTTATTCATATAAATAACTGATAGAAAGGAACATCTTAAAATAAATAGTTTTTCTACAGGGCAAACCGCTGCTTATTCTCAGAAACAAATGAGTTACAATTCCTTCAGTATTCCACCATCATAATTTACGATTCACTGCTGAATCCACACACTGATCAATGCTAGACCACTATTGAGACCTTGAGGCACTAGAAGGCCGCTTTATCCCTATAGTGGGGCTCCTCAGCAGCTCATATCTAACACCCTGAACTCGGAAGTCGAACCATGGACCCAGTGTCTTGCACAGACGCTTTACCTATAGACCACTGAGCATTCAATGATTTGATCTGTAACAATCCATGAGCTTGGTCAAACCTTCATTCGTGCCTTGCAGTGGGCAACTACCTCACACCTGACACGGATTGAACTCTACCGATCCCAGCTTCTCACTAGAACCCCAAGAGTTACATAATGAAGTTAGTCACTAGTGAGCACATGATTGTGATTAGTATGAGGGGATTTGTGAAGAATATAGTATTTTCACTCTTGAAATTACAAAATAATCTTAATTAGACTACCTTTAGAAATCGCGATTTCAAGAGTGAAAATACTGAAATATTCGCAAATCCCTTATACTGATATTCTAATCATACACTACCATCAGGAATCCATATAAATTTCCATATGTTCAAGGCTTCATCGAATTTCAAACCAATTTGATTGTAAGTCGGAGATGACGTTTATATCCTATACAAATACATAGGGAATTACAAGCAAGGGATAGATAACGTACCAAAATTACTGAGAAAATAAATAAGTTTCAAGTATGATATGAGAGCAGGTGATAGACATCCATCTATCTATAAAGTTAAACATGTTCACAATTGATTAATCACTGAGTAGTGTTATATGTCATGCTTGTCCTGTCCACTACCTCCAATCATTTAACAGTCAAATATGTCACAGGGTTGTCATTTGTTCAGCCACTGTGGTATTGTATACAAACAGCATGGCAAACGTCTTTTGAAGCCATAGTTATACAAAAATTGAATCCACCTTGGATGTTCGGAAACTATTTATACTTACACCATACCCAGTTTGATTAAACTAGTTTAATTATAGTATCCAGAATTATATAATTAACGTCGTTTTTTCTTACTGTCATTGTTTATTTTTATGCTTCCACTTGCTTAGCTTCATCTTTAGTTATCATACAAGAATCTCAATAGGTTATTATATGATTAAACTGTAAGAAAAGTGTTGAGTTAATATATTTCATAGGTCTGTTAAGCTTCGTCTTCTCACTGTACAATATGGTTTAATCCAATCGACTAATTGTTGTTAATCCCAGTAAACCTTTATTGACTATTTTTGTTGTGATATAATAATAACATTTGCCTAGTAAGTATTTATTCGTTCTATTCAATGTCATTTATTTTCTAATTTTTATATAAATTTTGATCTAGATGAAGTTTATTATTAGGGTTCAAATGAACATTTTCATATTTAACAATGTCGACATTTTCTCACTATATCTCAGATTTATGCTTTTATATCACATCACACAGAGACACTGGTAACATTGATGTATAATATCCATTTATGTTAGCGTAGATGTGAAATTACATCAGCTTATCATTGGATAGATTTTTTTCCTGAAAATTTCATGACTATCTGTGATTAGATTTGTGAACGGTCACATCAGATATTATACTTTAAGTACGTGTAATGAAGTTGGTGAAAGTGGACAGAAGTTAAATCACGAAGACTATGAAATTGTGCAAAACTTTTTTTATAACACAACTAAAACTATATTAATTAAAACATACTTGCTTTAACAACGAATTTTATTTAAACTTACTTGGTTCTGTAGCTAATAATAAAGGTTCGTCTACACAGAACAAATTACATGTGCCATCTGGTGATGAACAATCCTCACTACAGTAACCACGATCTTTGAGACGAATATAATACGATTTATCCCTAGGTATAGAGCTGACTTGTTTGAGCAAACAACTTTCTGACTCAGCAACAGCAGACCAGTGTACATTAATTTCTTCAGGAAAATTACTTATTTCATTTGAGTCACGATGCTCAACAATAAATTTAACAGTTTGCTCAGGAAATACAACACGGCCATGATCATCAATTTTATAATTAGCGTAATACGTTTTATCTGGCTTATCAGAAGCACTGTAAGCCTCTATATAAGACTGATCGAGTAGGTTTAAACTTTCTGTACTGAACGCCTCTAGCTGTATTACACCACTGGCGTATGCTCCTGTTGTAAAATCGTGTAGCTCAAGTACGGCTTGGATTGTAAATTTCCCAACTCTTTCAATATCAAACTGGAATAACACTTTGAAAGGACGTTGTAATCCATTTCCTAACGTGAAAAGATTATAAACACGTTCACCTTTTGGAATATTTTCACAAGGACTAGAAACCATTGAATTTAAAATATGAAATACAGGTGTAATTAAACGCATAGTTGAATATATTTTGTCGTTTGTTCGGCCACCACGAATTCCGCTAGAACTGCGTCTTAGTGAACCATGTTGAATATCCAGATAGATAAGCAGAGGTGAACTGGTATTCTCAATACCAAAGCGTGTGGTTAGGGAACCAGAAAAAGAAAATTTATGGTCATTGACTAAAATACAAAGAGCGAAGGAAACATATATTATACAGTGTATAAATATTTATCATGAATTTGTAATGTACAAAGCAAAACAAAATCTTGAAAGATTTTAGCTTTCATTTTCAATAAAAGCCTACTTATGTACGACATGAACATTACTTCATAATATATATTTACATATTTTGTCTTGCTAGTGTGTCTTTCTTTACGATTAGTTTACTACAAAATGTTCCTAGGTAACGAGATGAGTAATAAGGATACCATAATACAAACTACATTGTACAATAAAGACATGATGTAGGTTTTATGGTTGATAACTTAGTGTTAAGAGTTATTGATATACTCAGAAGTGTGATAAATCTAAACTACGACTGACCCATCCAAAGATCTTATACACATATAAATTTGAAACTAATCAAGTAGTAACTTTCTAGTTAATTATTGTACGATAATATTCGGAATGCTAAACTTATATAACATTGTGGAAGTTTAATAAAGTCCAATCCTATGTCGATAGTAAACTTCTTTGACAAATCTATGTAAATTTTTAAATTTAAATGAAAGTCAACGAGAATAACTAGTAACTAGCATTCAGAAGAAATATTCATTTATACGCTAATATATAAAGAATACTGATAGGTTTACGTCATTTAATAAAACTGGTGAACACGTTCAGTTGCTTGACCAACAAACAGAAGTCTGGAGCTATTTCTAAAAGGCAAAGGGGGAATAGTTGAAATGACTATCAGTGTTAATTCATTCAACAAATTCAAGAATACGCATGGTGTAGCTTCGATAGATCCACATTTACAATGATGGTGGAAACAAATACATTTTATTGTTACCGAAATCAGTGAGATATTATTCTTCAATTAACATTAATCTTAACTCCAGATATGCACTAGTTGTCCGAGAATTGTATATTCAAACTGAGCAATTTAGGCATATTCACTACTATCCACAAGTCAGAAGGTTCAAAAATGTAGACTATGATCAATGAGCCAAATAATAAAACACTATATGAAATAATTTAAGCTAGTTAACTGAAAAACGTGATCCAGTAGGGTTGGATTGTAGTAACTGATTTCCTTGCATTTTTCATACATTATCAGAACTATTGATGTTAAGATCAAATTTAATTTACGAAAATATTTGCTAGTTTTTGTCACAGACACATCAAAGCATTGTAGAAATCTAGGGTAGTTAATTACATTCTGACTGTGTATCCTAATTTTTACGAGTAGTGATTTGCAATTCATTTGAGATTATATTTATTTAACCAAAATCTACTTCAGCTGTGTTAAGAGTTGGAAGTTTAAAGGGTGGTTACTTTAACGATGGACTTTTTCCTGACAGTTGTTAATTCGAAACCTCTTGGTTCAAAATTATTATAGTGTCATGAAAATAGACGTCAGAGAAGTTATAGGCTAAAGTAAAATAGTTGTGTGACGTGACGAATAGACAAAATTAAATTTTGTTACATTGTGAGTTTTGTTCAACATAGCATTTGTTTTTAAGTCAATATGATGACTATTTGTTTTACTGATAGGGTGATATTTTACCCACTATATGATAGATTTATTTCAATATGGTATTTATTCAACCGGGTCAGTTTTGAGATAGCAACTCATTGATGACAATGGTGTGTGTCGCTCAATTTCGTGGATTAATTGAAGTTAGAGATTGACACCAGTGGATGCCGGCCAGCTCAGTAGCTAAGCGCTCGCGCGCGAGACTGATAGGTCCTGGGTTCGAATCGAGCGGTATCGTGGATGCGCACTGCCGAGAAGTTTCGCAATAGGACGAAACGGCCGTCCAGTGCTTCCAGGTTTTCCATGGTGGTCTAGCTTCAATTGACTCGTGATTTCAACTATTGATATAAATGAATGTATTTCCGACTAGGGTTGTTGCGTTTTGAAGGGGTTAATTATTCACTCGTACCAGTCTTTTGTGTTCATATTTTACGTCTCGGGGATTTTAATGTTTCCTGATTTTCAAGTGTAATAGGGAGACGAGGGTATAAAAAATATCTATCAATTTGTGCATGGTTTAATTACCTTTACAGCTGATGTCGGCTTAAGATTTAAAGAAACACTATCATATACATTTCATGAGGTCACTTGAGTTTCCCAAATACGTATACAAGTTTTTAAACATAGATAGTCCAAGGAATAAAATTTATATCGAAAACCTACCAGTCAATCAATCATAAACCTCATCAATCTCGGGTAGAGAGTGAAGTACTTTGCCTTCAATATAATTCTTAATGAGGTAAATCAAGTTATTTCATCACGTTCCCATAATACTTTCAGATTTTCACATTAGAAAACTACCTTACAGGCATTTTAATACAAAGATTTGAAAACAAGTCTAATGGGAAGACTAGTTCATTTAGATTTGACTACCGAGTAATGATATGAATATCAGCGCAAATTTTGATCACTACTTTGCTATTTCGAAAAATTATTAATATCACACAAACAGATTAAGTAGTATGTAAACTTAAACATATAGTTATAATTACAGACCAACTTTGCATTACATAACAAAATGCACATATATATATATTTTCAGTAACAAGTCTTTCTAACCTTCGGACCAACACTTGGCATCTCCTGCACCGTAAAATCCATCACTGCATACACAGCAGGCAGAGTTGTCAACTCGATAGCATTCTGTGTTATGACTATTACATTCACTAACAGCATCACATTTCACCAAACTGTTTGAAAACGTTTTATTCACGGATTTGTATTCTCCCTTATTATCGGTTATATCTTCTTCACCATCATCGTCATCACCCAACGGGTGTATAGTGACTGGTACAATAAGAGCTAATGTAAAATAAACCAGTATGTCATGATATTATCATAAATTCATCATTTATGAATAAACAAAAGCATTAGGTATTAGTTGGTGAATAGATCAGTTTATAGCCGACGAAAGTAGGGACTCATCCTAGTATTAGAAATAATGAACATAGTACTTGGTAAATTATAATAAATTTGTCATAAAATCAATCTCATAGGATTTCTGTGCACAGCTATAAATGAACCGAAATGATTCAAATAGAATTCCATTTCAAATGAATTTCTCTGCTTATATTTACAGTTGTTATGGTGAATTAATTAGTTTAAATATACATTCACCATAACAGAATGATAAAGTTATAGCAACTATCCTACAACCAATTTCGATGATGGTTAATTTTGGTTAAGCCCTTTTCTTAACTTAACAAATAATATCATTTGAACAGGAACAGTTCGCATATTTCCTTGTATCGTTATGATCACTAGAGCACATGACAGACTATCTAAAATGTTGATTGCTTAAGTATCACTCAATGATTCATCCTCCTCCTTACTTACTCACTTGCTTACTTACTTACGCCTGTTACTCCTCGTGAAGGAGCATAGGCCACTCACAAGAATTCTCCATCCAACCCTGTCCTGGGCAATTCTTTCTAGCTCTTTCTAGTTGTTATTCATCCTTTTCATATCTGTTTCTATTTCCCGACCTAATGTGTTCTTTGGCCTTCATCTTTTACGCCTTCCTTCAGGATTCCAAGTTAGGGCTTGTCTCGTGATGCAGTTTGATGATTTGTGTAATGTATGTTTTATCCATTTCCATCATCTTTTCCTAATTTCCTCTTCATCTGGAAGCTGGTTTGTTCTCTCCCACAAAAGGCTATTGCTGATGGTATCCGGTCAATGGATGTTGAGTATCTTGTGTAGACAGCTATTTATAAATACTTGTGTCTTCTTGATGGTGGTTGTTGTAGTTCTCCAAGTTTTAGCTCCATACAGTAGAACTGCCTTGACGTTCGTATTGAAGATTCTCACTTTGATATTGGTTGAAAGTTGTTTTGAGTTCCATATGTTCTCCAATTGTTCTTCAATTCATCCTCCTCTCTATGTATATCTGTACTCAAATCATATTATTAGCCTTTGCCTTGCTGTGCCCTTATTTAATTTGACCATAAATTTGCCAATGTGATTGCTCATATATACTTATTCACCTTTCCGCTTCAAATTCGTTCGGTGTGCTTATAGCGTTATGATATACGTTATCCCCTAATAAATAGTAGTTGCCGCTTCTTATTGCCTTCTGATTTTAATCACCGTTGAGATTCATATTATAACGGTTATCGAACTGATCGATTAACAAAGCAAAGCCACTACAACTTCGAATTCCAGCAATTTACATACATTAGTTGAGCATGACAAATCGAAATCCGTTTTTTTTTTAAAATTTATCATAAATTTTACGTAATAAGTGGTGCTATGGATATTCGATTAGTATAATTTTTTTCATCATAATCATTTCTTCATTTCGTATTTGTGAATTATCAGCTATTTTCGGCGGCCTATTCTCCATTGGGGGTAACAGGCGTAAATAAATAATTTATTATCTTTTCATTAATGGTTATCATTGAAAAATCCCTATTTATAAAAAGATTTACAATAACCACTGAAATATTGTTCTTTTTAGAACAACAGTCTTTCTAATGAAACATAATGTGAGTTAATTTTGATAGTGTTGAGATTTTATTAGTATAAAATTTTGTAAAACTAGTAATTTGTTATTTCCGTTGAAAGAATACCGTTAAGTTGGACACATATATGACGTAATTATATACGTTCTTATGTTATTTTGATTAATTTCTAGTCCTTTATCATATGTGGAACGAGAAGTGATTTCATCGTTTTGTATATAGCCTAGAAAAATATCTCCTAGTTATTTACGAAAGAGATTAGGGTTCCCAATTATAATAGACTTAGGAGTTTAAGAGAACAGATAAAATTGGTGCACATGTTGTTATAATGAAATTACAATATTTACTCACGTTCATGTATCTCCTGCCTTTCCTCATCTCCATCATACCGACCCAAAGGATAGTAAGTTTGTGTCGTAATTCTGTCTGTGGGTGTGTACTCTTTATTATCAACAACAAATTGATTACTCTCATGATAAAAATTATCCCCAGTTTCATTCTCTGGTAGAATATTCACTTCATTTTGATTAATCGGATCAACACCTGAGAATTCAGTTTCATCACTTAGGATATTCCATGCAGCTTTCGGTACATTTTCAGTCATTCCATAACTATAGTCATTTGATGAGACGTTAAGGTCATAATCATCAAAGCTTTCCAAAGCTCTTTTAAAACTCTGTGTTCTAGCAATCGGCTCTTCTGATGTATTGTCAATGTTTACATTTTTAATGACGACCGTATCAGATGGTGTTTCATTATTTGATTTATGTGAATGAAGTGAACCCTCACAAACACTTGTCAAAGATGTAACAAATTCACTGGCAACTGCACTTAAATTCTTAACATTTATTTTAGCTATATTTTCCGATTTGTATAAAGGAACAAGCCATTCTCCATGTAGGGCTATGTTTGTTTCACTATGATGAAAAAAATAAGATAAAAGGTTAATAATTCTGTTTAGTGACACATGAATAATTTAAGGTACATTTTTCATCAAAACCATTTCTGAAGTGTGGAATTAAAATATTGAAGATTAAATAGAAGAGTTAGTTTTCATTTATTAAACAAAGAAGTATACAACTGGGACCGAATAACCATCAAGCTCTTATTGTCTTCAATGTTTCTCCATCAGCTTATAGTGTCAAACCACTCCACATAACAACAATGAAAAATTTCTTCATAGTGAGTATTTTGTCTAGCTAAGTGTTATTTTCAACATAAGTAATAAAGTTTACAGAAAAATAACGATTTACATAGTTTTGTAAATTTTCACACAAAAATCGTATTAACCAGAATCGTACTTAAGCATTAACAAAATTTCCTAGTTATTACGAAAATCCTTTAAACTATCCAGTTACTGAAGGACCTTAAAAATTATACATTTACTTTTAAATATTTTAATGTATTACTTACGTTAACCATATATTTGGTTCTACAGCTTGAGAACTTCTTGGCAACTGATAACCTCCAAAAGGTCTCATAAATATACCAGATTCAGGTGGTAAAGCTAGATTCTCTGCGACATCATTTTCATTCCACTCAATTTTTATGTATTGCATAAAAGCGTAAGAACGGATTCCATTAGAAATTATTATCATTCCATACGTATTAGCCTGTTAAGTTAAAAAAAAGCCATAACTCAAAGCTAATTCAATACCATTAAACTTTTTAAATACGATTACTCAACTAGTGAAGATTGTTTATAAGAAGTAATAAATGGCTTTAAGATTAGTCATTTAACAACATCTCTATCTGTTTAAAGATATGAAATGGTAGGGACTTATTTTTATGTCACATTTACAAGTACAACTGACAGTGTATTTCATGCACAGCTTCTAAAGATTATTTTATTTTCTAAACGACATTATGTCATATCACATCAACAGAAAAAAGGTTTTAGTGAAAGAGTACAAGCAGAAAACGTAGATATGTACCACACAAACAAATGTTTATGTACATTTAAAAGAAACTATATGGCTCTATAAATTTATTCTTGCTATTCTTACCATAAGTGTTTGGTATGTAGCACGGAAAAGTGTTATATGAACTAATTCTGAATGTATTACGTGCCTAGAATCTATTAAGTTGATCAACTGTTAGAATATGTTTTCAATTTCAAATGAATTTATTAGGTGTGTCTTGTTAAGCTTCAATATAACTTCAATTATATCTTCGTAACTGATGTGATAATTTACTTCTATTCCACCTTCTATAGATCATTAGTTTTCTAATATTAATTGCTTTAAACCTATTTACGTGATCTAAAAACATTTCTAGATTCCAGTGATTTTGAGCGACTTTTTATAATTAAGCAAATGTCTTCGTTTAACTATTCTGTTTATGCTTTAATTGATCTCTTTTCTCTTGGTTGGTAGTTCAAATTTGTCAGCTTACTTGAACTAGCTATGATTCTTAATGAAAATTCGATAGTAGGAGCTCAACATTTGAAGATTTACTGTGCTAAAATTATATTTATATCAATAACATCTTATTTTCATCACTTAAAAATCGTACGTAGAACAAGGATAAATGTTATTACACTTGAAATATACGGCTTTTGTGCCAAAGTTTTTCAGTGGTCCTTAAACCATCAAACTTATATAACATTCTGTTATAATGAAAATTAAGATATTCTGGGGTTACAGATCTGTTTATTTTTTCAATGGTATCGTTATCTGACCTTCACAGTGATGTTTGTGTGATGTGATATTTACGGTCAATTAGAGATTTTTCATTTCGCACTCTTATATTATTCCACGTTGTAAATGTTGTGTGCAGTATTTTTAAGGGCAATTTAATATAACTTCATCTAAAATAAACACTTAAAATATTACTATATTGATCAATATTGAATGAATTACCAGATATTGAGCAATTTACGACACATTCACAGGGTTTCAAAATAGATACCTTTGAAATAATAGCAGAATCATTGTCTAATACACTGATAACGTTTTTGCTCAACAAGACTTTGGAAGTTTACTTACAATAATCTTTGAGCATGCTTTCTCTAGCTTAGAGTTTCTATCTTTCCAAGCCCCTAGTGCATACAGTTTGTCAAGTCCTACAGATCCTTTAGTAACAACACTGAACTCCCAATAGAGGACCTTCAAAGTCAGCATAAATTGTTTCGAAGTCATTAAAAAATTAATTGCTAATAAATAGAGTCATACTGAATGATGCTAATTCATAAATAACTCATTAAAATAAAATCACAGAAAAAATTACTTTCTGGTTGATTAGGTAAGCGTTTGTCATGTTTTCCCACAGTATATGTACAATATACTGAGCTTTTAATTCAGATTCTTCGATATATGATAAATGTATAAACTTTATTAGACGATCTATTTGCATTCTCTCTACACATGGTAGTTTTGAAGGTGATAGTAAATCGATTTCCCTAAATACAAGAAGAAATACATTTTTATACGAAATAAAAGTTAATTTAAAATTTATAATATGCGTATAAATGTAGGACTGAATTGAAACAAACTAAAGTTTGAATTTTCTAATGTTTAAGGCTTCCAAAACTCCTATATTAGCCTCAAAAGCTACTCTAAGGGTAATCCTAAGTGATATTTCAATCATTTGTTTTGCTAACAAAGAGCATGGTTTTTTTCTTCCTGCTTTTAACAGAGAATTTTATTGCCTGTTAATTCTAAAAGCATTTGGGTTCATGTTCTACCATAGTTGATTGGATTGTCCGATCACTTCCTGTTTATTTACGTCCATGCGCAAATTGGTTAATGTAATGTTATTTATGAAACTTCGAAGCCCAAGTGCAATCACGAGCTTAGTTTTGGCAATGATAACCAGTTTAGAAGTATAGTGTGTCTTCCAGATAGCTGTTTTAAGTTATTGTTACTAACTTCTACTGTTTGATTTTCCTCAGTCTTGTAAAGTGATGTAAAATGTATTCATATAAGCGGAAGTAAGAAGGGCTTTAGATGTTAGACGAATTTTTATCTAATTTATAAACTTTTATGGATATCAGTTCAATCTACGTTTTTTTGGCTACCATTTACTTATCTCTTTCAAGCATATCCTTAGTGGATTTTGTTTGAGAAGCACCTTACTAAATGATGCTTACACTAACATGGACACAAACTGTAAACTTTTAAGGTGTGAGCGATCCATATGTATTTCTTATAAACTGATAGTGTTAGATGTCCTTATAATTTCGAACCAGAATATATCTTAATGACAGCTTGGATATTTAAACGGTTGAATACGTTATTTTTGAATCGCAGTGCACATTCAATACCGTATATCATCATTTTCATTAATAATAACTGCCCTAAAACCACCTTCAACAGAACGTTTAGTGCAGTTTAACTCAATCGCAAAGGTGATTTAGGTGTTAGTAAAAACAACTGCTAAAACTATAGCATATAGACATATACTTCCTATATTTAATATTTGGAAATTTAATTTAAAGCACTTACGTGACACTAATTCTTCCACATTTTCCATCATTCACTGAACTGAAAATGCTTAAATATCGTCCATCAAAATCTTGTAATCGTTGATTTGTGATACTCGTATTGACAGGATAATGTGATGGCAAATTATCATCAGAAATGCTATCTAGTGCTAGGAGACCATTTTTACGGATCTGGTAAAACAATAATTAAGTATACAAATTCTAATAATTTAAATTTTCCAGTGTTATTATGTATAACATTGCATCTTTTAATGTTTTGCTATCGTCTTTACAGATGTAAGAATAAGAGGCTGATTATTTGTCTAACACTAGTTTTCAATAACTGTCTATGTCGAAAGAATAAATAGTCACAGAATAACCAATGTACTTCATGTGATCACATTTTGATGGTGAGCAAAATGAAAAATTATTATTAAGTTTTGAAATACGAAAGTTTTGAAAGCTCATAAACATTGCTACTCAAAGATCTGTTGATGTCTAGTTACTCATTTGTTTCTAGACAAGGGATAAGAAATTGAAGTAAAAATTAGTTCTGAAATTAAATCTCCGTTCTGCTTAATGTATCCTGTGAGCTGTTCAGCACAGTAAGACGAGTCTTCTGTTATGGTGTTTTGAGATCATATAGTTGATAATCATGGAAACAGTGTCTACGTTTATGATGAGTCAAAACCAAAGTTTGTGAATAACGTACCCAACAGTGAAAAATATTTTTACATACGTATAAATATTTAAAATTATAGAGTCATTGAAACACAGTTAGCATTTTCGAATAAAGTTTATATCACTGATGTGTGAATATCGTTTAAGCACATTTCTGAATATTTCAGGGAGAGTTTTAAGTAATGAGATGGTGATCTTTATGCCTGACTGTAAGAACAATTAAAATATATGTATAGTGGTGGCTCAACTGATGAAATATTCGGCTTTCAATTATCAGGTACCTGGTTCGAACTGCGTTTCACTTACTTAGGTTTGAACGTTGAGGTAATATCGCTAGTTCTCACACAGTTAATATTAATTAAATCACAACATATTAACTGGTATTCCATAGCTCAATTACACTGATTTAAACGTAGTATGTTGATCATTGTTTTTAATTCTTCTCTCATTCTGCTTCAAGGATTTCATAATCGAAACATCCAAAACAATCAACTTTCCCGAAATGTTTGCTCGAAAGTTTACGACTATCGAACAATTCAAATTCTTCACTAAATTATCCAACATAAAACCAATTAACTTGAAAATATTTGTCAGGAATTTTTTTAATAAAATCAGAAATTTTCAAAGTTGCAAGGTGAGAAGCAATAATTCAGTCTTGGAATTGTATAAGAAAATGGTAATTTAATTGTACTTCCCACCATAGCTTTTAATTAAAACATATAATCTTGTCAAAGTAATCAGAATGGTCAGTATCGTTTACAGAACATACTAACTTGTCATTTTCCCAAGTTCGCTTGCACAAGCTATACAGTGAAAAGGTTATACCTATAATACACCTAAACAATGGAATCATTTCTACTTTCCCTTCAAAGATGTTCTCAATTGATTAACTTCAATACATTTGCATCTTGGATCTCCTCTACGATTCCAAACATTGTCGTCATACCAAATGTTTTGCTAATAAGTGGTATAAGAAATCCAACTATTAAACTTAACATCATTTTTCCCCGAGCAAGTTAAACATTTGCTTTTGGTACAGCCTTTAGTTAACCAGATGTAATTGTAAACAAATCAAGTTCAAAAGTCTAAATTATCCAAGCCACCTGAACTTACGATGAGAAGCACTTCATAGTGTTTAGCAACAGAAAGAACTATGCGTTTGTTAATCAACAACTGTTGTGAACCGACTTTAAATTTCATTAGTTCCAAATGAAATACACCGATAATGTTACGAATATAAATTAATTCAGTAATTATCAGCGTTAGACTGTTGTACACAATTACACACATACTCGTGAAAGGTAAAAAGAAGTTTGAAATAGCTTATATTTTCAACTACGATTTATCATACGATAAGTCTTAAACACCGATTTGTAACATCATTATAGGTAATAATAAACCTCTTTTTTTCTTGTTATTCCGGCTTAAAATCTAATTTCCTTAGTGAAAAAAAAAGTAATTACAATGTCTTAGTTACTATTTCTACCCAATGTTGACCTTTTCTTACACGTATATGTTTAAAAAGTCACTAATCTACTGCATTTTCACCATATTGTATTTTTTTGATTGACGTACCTATAAATCTTATATTTCGGTAACAGTTGTTTGAGCTACCGGAGAATTATCAAATAGATACTTTAGAATATTTTAGGATTTTAAGTTACATTTTCTTGTGAAAATGTTATTTAAAGGATTTTGGTGACGATATAGTGAAGAAAGAAAACACTATGGCGAGTTTAATATGGGCAAAACGTACGGTGAATCTTTAATAAGTCAATATTTAAAATGAAGGGATATATCATTTTTAAATTAAATAAATAAGCTACTATTCTGTTCTATCCGTTTATATTCAGAATTAAATTATTTAAAGGTTTTCTATTTTCTTTAAAGTGAAACTGATCTTATAAATTTGTAGTGACCTACTTTTATCAAGAGAACGCGATTGGTTTAATGGAAACAATTATTATTATAACCAATTGTACCAGTGACTGTTTTACTGTACTTGTTTGTTTAACTGTACTAAAGACATTCTTTCTTCCGTTGATTGTGACCTTGCACGGATTCGGTTACGCTCAGTAACCACACTTGTAACCTGGCACGATCTCGGTATTCTTTGGATACCATGAGATCGCCAACGAATACATGTCCACTACAGCCATCAAATCCCTCCTGATATTTGGCTTATAGGGGATCTTATCGGTTAACTGGGACGTAGTCTTCCTGCAGTGATCATAACCAACCGCGACCCGACCCGACGCTACAAATTAATGATGGTTAATGTTCAGTGTATAGTTTTTTCAGAGTTGTAAACTTCATAAAGAGCTTATGTAATCCGGAGCCTTTTGGACACTTCCATCCAAAATAATAAGACATCATAATTATTGTTGTATACTCGTATAAATATATATAGAAACTGTTTGTGTTTTCGAAAATAGTACACAATAATAAGGTGAACTTTGAATAGTGTTTAATTCATATTGTTATTCATATTGAGACTGTTATATACATTTTGGCTCACAGTTAGTATAACAACAAATTGTGATTAGATTTTGTTATCCGGGTAAATATTTGTCCAGTGATATGGTCTTATTTACATACTTGTCTAATATTCCGATTGGAATCAATAATTATTATTACATTAGTTTAGTAAAAATATAGATGCCAGTTTTTATAGTAGACAAGCTCGTTTAAGATAAACTATATATCTTGATTACCTGTTTGCAAATGGGATCAATTGGTGTAGGACCCTAGTACTTTGACAGTTTAATACATGCTGTCTAAGTAAATCATATCATCTTTTAAAATCACTTTACAAACAAGTGGTTTTTGTTCAGATGGCTATTTAATACTATGAGACATAAACTTTTAGCATAATTTATAGTCATTTATTTATAAGGTCAATATATATATATATATATATATATATATATATATATATATATATGTATATATATATCCATACTCGTTTTACCATTAATTACAAAGACTGATTCAACGTAAATTTATTAAATGAATCTAAGCAAGTTTCGTTGAATTTTAACTAAGTGAGAGTTTTCATTAAAGTTCGTTTGCTGAAATCTAAATGTTATTGTAGCCCTTTTTTCCTAAATATTCAATCATTTAAGTTAGAGTAGCATTTTCTGCAGCAATAAAAAAATATTACCAGTTCAGTTGTCGATTAAAAACTTTCTGTTATTAGTAAAACACATAAGATCATTTAGTAACAAGACAGAATACAGAAGAACTTTAGTATTACAGAAAATTAGACCCCAAAACTAATTAACTTTCTATATGAGTGATAATAGTTAACAAATAAGTTAGTAAAGTGTACAAAACTGATTGTTTCATTACAATCAATGCTCAACTAAGTAGTAAAATTCAATAAAGCTACCATTTCAGTTGCCATTTATAAGTCTATCTTTTGAAAATATCAAATTGTTTAACATTAGATATACTATCAGAAGGGGTTTGTGGAGATTTTAGAAATTTTACAGATTGAAATCATGAGTCAATTAAAGCTAGACCACCATGGAAAACCTAGAAGGACTGGACGACCGTTTCGCCCTAGTGTGGGACTCCTCAGCGGTGCGCATCCACGACCCCGCCTGGTGGGATTCGAACCCAGGACCTATCAGTCTCGCGCCAGGCGCTTAACCAACTAGACCACTGAGCCGGCATCCAACGGTGTTGATGTCTAACTTCAACCAACCCACGAAGTTGCGCCACCGTACACCATTGTCTTCAGTGAGCTGATATCTCACAACAGACCTGGTTGAACTCCACTGGTAACGACTTCTCACTAGAACTCCAGGAGTATCTTTTGAAGTCAGTCACTAGTGAGCACATGATGATTATTATCAGGGGGTCTAGAGGTCTAGGCGTTCGCGCTGGGTTCGGATCTTGTGGGCCGGGATCACAGATGCACATTGCTGAGGAATCCCGTACTAGAACGAAACGGCCGTCCAGTGCTTCCAGGTTTTCCATGGTGGTCTAGCTTCAATCGACTCATGATTTCAATCTGTGAAATGAGATATACTTTCAAGAAAATTGAATTCAGGGTTATTATTTGTAATAACTACAAAACTGGAATTGAATTTTTCTTAACCATTTTTTTGACTCTTAATAATAAGATTCAATTACCAAACAATCATTCTTTCGGGTGATTGATTTCATTTAATGAAGAAAATAGATATTAATGAATGACACCAACTTTTGTATCCTTAACTATTTGGTACAATTTTTGTATCTAATGCTTCAAATTCATAATAAGTGAATATTTTTTTTTAACTTAACAATCTGTAAAAGTAATTTGTATTCATGTTTATAATTATAAACGTGAAACCTAGAAATATACTTATTTTGATTATTTTTCAGTAGTGTAACTACTAAGACAGATGTTAACACCTGTTACGTAAAAGCTTAATTAGTATTGTGATGGAGACAAGCAGTAATTACTCATTGTGTACAATACTTGAAATAATCAATCTACAAGATGTGATGGTTACAAATAATATTTAATTTGTCTATGACGAATGATTAAAGGAAATATTCAGATAAATTAAGTAAATAGGATATATCAGTTTCTTTTTATTTATGGTAAGTTTGCAAAAAAACCTACATTAGTACTAGATGGAAATGAATGTACTTAGTATCCTGACGATATACTGAAAAACTACCTAATCATTTAGAAATGTATCTAGGACTTAACAGATTATATGTTCAGTATTCGAGGTAAAGAATAATTAAATTCTGAATAAACTAGAAACATTTACGGTTCTAATATGTTTTAACATGTTAAACAAATTACTGTTAGAATATTGAGGAGTAATCTCTTACTTGCACGTCTAATATATCATACTTAGCAGAAGAGTAAAAAAAAAATAATCTTGTATGTCAATAGAATTAATTGGATTCAAACATTTTAAAAAGGTAGCTCATCATATATTCCGGTGAAATGAATCGATGTGTTTAATTCTTTGAAGCAATGAGAAATAACCATGATGATTTAACTAATAAACTTTCTTTACTTTCTATATTTGAATTGACGTTTGTTTATTATTTTCCTCTTAGTGTTGAGATGGTGTAGAAGATTTGTAGGTCAGATGGATGAGTTAGATGGAGTTTTGTTCTCCAAGCTGGACTGTTTAGTCATGGAGTTATCACTGTTCTTCCGAACAACATCATCAGCACAAACTTCAAGTAGAAGCGAAGTGTTCGAATTTTTCCACATTTGGCTCACAGCTTTTTTTTGTCAACCTCGATCCATGTCTTGATTGTATCTCTTAAATTAAAGGTAGACAATGACAGGTTAAAGATCAACCAATCAAGTTCGAGGTAGACAGTACAAGCTATGAGTCATATGTGGAAATATTCGTACACTTTACTTCTACTTGGAGTTTGTGCTGATGATGTTGTTCAGATGAACAATGAATACTCCATGATCAAACATTCCAGCTCGGAGAACAAAACTCCACCTAAGCCTCTTAGTGTCTTTTGATATATTGTTTTAATGTAATATAGTCTGGAGAAATATGTGTTCAGAAGTATTCCATTCGAAAACAAATTATTTTAAAGGACTATACCCTCCCAAACAATATCGTGACAGCAAATTTAGTTGACCATTCATTATTGCATGTTTTGAAGATGGTCTGTCTCTGAAAGTTTAGTTCAGTTGAATATGTTTGAACAGTTTGCCATTAGTAATGCACAAATTTTGATAAATTCAAATAATTTAGCCAATCTGAGCGATATTAAATTTGAAATCTTTCTGAACTGCGTAATAAATGATCGCAATAAACCTAAAACTCTTTAGTATTTTTCTTTTTGATGAAATTCGCCTTTGTTACATATTAAACGATTCCGAAGTTCTTCATGTATTAAACTGGGCTTAGTATAAAAATATATATATAATTCAAACAACTAGCTTCTAAATTATCATGTGCCAATGTAATAAATAAAATGTTAGTAAAAGATAAAACAAAATCCTGTACTGAATAAATGAATCATAGATAACATTGGGATATAGGACGCGTGTCTCTTCCTACTTAGACCTCCTCATCTGGATATAATCACAGCCCGACGTTGATTTTCACGCAAAAATTGAAGCCTAGTACTTGGCATTTCAAACGCCCAAAGCATTGTCCTACGAACTAGATAGTTCAAATGGTCAGTAACTTGATAAACTGGTATGATATTTGTTAGATTGTTAGAAGTCAGGATTATTCCATAGTTACTAATCATGAAACTCGACTAGATGGTCAGAAGGGTCCACTCAGGATTCACATATATCAACAAAGGCTGACCAAATTTGAATCAAGAATATCAACAATCGTATATTCCCAAACCTTTCTGGTAGCAACATAGTGCTAGACAGTTATTTCATTGAATTTATTAAGTGTTTTAAGCGTCACAATTCAAAACTTTGATTGAAATCATTATCGCTGGTGAGTGGATAATAATAAGAATTACTATCAAATTAATAGCGTTTCCTACCTTAAGTTAGTCTACTAAACACTCAAAAGTAACCTTATATCATACCTTTAGTACTTATTACAAGATTAACAAACATGATGAGTTTTTTAGGAGATTTAAAATAGAAAAAATAATTATTATTAAACTGATATTCAAATATTATAAACATTATCTTCTTTTCTAAAATGACAATGACTTACAGTGATTTTTTTAATTAGTGTTTCATATATTGGGATCGGATATTGTAATTCATAGGTGAAATGATCTTCAACAAATCCTTTTGAATAATCATATACTTTAGTATGTAAATTATCATTTTGTGGTATGAATTGAAAATATGGATTTAGTTGAGTTAACCCATTTTGAACATCATATAATAATATCAACAGAATAATGTATATACAATTTGTATAAATTTTTCCTATTAGGTTTTGCATTTCTGAAAATAAACTCAAAATAATCCGATAACGTAGATAAACTTTCAATAGACAATCATTCTAATAATGGTCAGTACTGTCTACCAATTCCTTTTGTGGTTATATATATTTATGTGTATTTATGTGTTGCACAAAGTATGTGTAACTACACTTGTATCATTCTAAACATATAGACATGTATGTCTACAGCCAATGTATAACCTTTGTTAGTCTATAATTATGTGCACTAATGTAGTGAATGATTTTCCTCTCTGATGATTAGTTTACCTTATTCACATCTGGACACAACAAAAGTAATAGTGTATACAACACAAATCTTATTTGATTTTACACAGAAATGTTTACCTTATAAAAAAAGGTCAAGTATAAAATAGGGTTATTTTTACATGTGGAAAAGCCCAAACTTACCTTTACCTAAGTGATTTTGAAAGTAAAACCAATTACTTTATACTATCTCACTGTTAAGAATAAGCCTTGTAGGTAATAAATATTATTCTTAATAGATAGTTACTTACTTACTTACTTACGCCTGTTACTCCCAGTGGAGCACAGGCCACCGACCAGCATTCTCCAACACACTCTGCCCAACTCTGACTTCCTTTCCAGTTCTATAAAATTTTTGTTCATTTTTCTCATGTCTGTCTTCATTTCTTGGTCTTCCTCTTTTCCTTTGACCTTCAGGATTACATGTGGGGGCTTGTCATGTGACCCAGTTCGGTGCTTTACTCAATGTGTGTGTGTGTCCTATCCACTTCTAGCGATTCTTCCCCCACTGGAATCTGGTTTGTTCTCTCCCGCAATAGGTTGTTACTGATAGTGTCTGGCTAACGGATTCGAATTATTTTGCATAGAAAGCTGTTAATGAGCACTTGTATCTTCTGGATGATGGCTTTCGTAGTTCTCCAGGTTTCCATCTCGTACAGTAGAACTATTTTAACATTTGTATTGAAAATTCTGACCTTGGTGTTGGTTGACAATTGTTTTGAGTTCGAGATGTTCTTCAGTTGTAAATATGCTACTCTTGCTTTGCCGATCCATGCCTTCACATCTGCATCAGATCCACCGTGTTCATCAATCATGCTGCCCATCACATATGTAAAGGTTTTTATATCTTCCAAATGTTATCCGTCAAGTGTGATTGGATTGTTGCATGCTGAGTTGTATTGGAGATTCTTGCTTTTCCGTTTGTGTATGTTGAGACCTAGTGCTGCTTCTGCTGCTGTTGCTGCTGAGGCTGCTGCTCTACTGGTCGTCTTCTCCTGCATTTGTTGTTACGTGTGCGATAGAAGATCCAGATCATCTTTGAAGTCTAGATCGTTCAGTTGGATCGTAGCTGTCCGCTTTATCCCATGCTTCCCCTCAGATGTTGATGTCTTCATCTGATATTAATAGATAATAATACTTAATAAAATAATAAAGTTGATTTCCATATATCTATCGACTGGTTACTTTTCATTCTAGAAAAAACTTTCAATTGTTTATACTTTGTAGGTATACTTCAACAAAACTAAACAAACTATTGAACGAAATGATACAACTTAGTTATCTTTATGTATATTGTTTATTTAAAAAAGAAATATGAATTATATTAAGAAGAAAACCATCTTTTGAATGATAGTGTATACCTAATGTCTTACTTTATTTGTTATGATCAGAAAAAAATTCATTTAAGTAACCAAAAAAAAGAAAACAATTACGAATTCACTAGTACACTTATCAACTAAATAAGTCATTTGTATGATGGATAAATTCAAGCAAAAATCAATGTTTAGTTAGATGATTGTAACCAACAGAAAGCAATTATATTATAGAAATCCAATATAGAAAATGAAACTATTCTAAACAGTTTTCTTTTTTTCTTTTTTTCCTACTTTTGTATAAAAATAGAACTAAGTAGACATTCATTTCTGATATTATATTCACTTTAAAAAAAAGAGAGTAAAATTCCCAAGATTAAGATAATCTAGGTGATAACATTGTTTGACATTCGGGTTTAGAGAGTGAATTTCATTTTCGTATGAATATAACCTTCTTTTGTGAAGGGTATCAGGGAGTTTTAATGATATTCAATACAGTTTGTGTCAGAATATAGTAGAATGTTAAACTTTCATATCAAAATTATTCTGTATATTTACAGTTTTACTTAGTCTTAGAAATTATACAAGAGTTATTGAAAATCATATGACAATGAACAATCTTACAAATACTACAACTTGTAAATCATTTTGAATATAACATATTATGTATTTTGATATCATAAAAACAGAGGCATACAAAGTTTCGCCTAAAAAAATACATAGAATTTTAATATCAGAAGGGCTTTTTGTGTATTTTATAGTAATTTTAATAGTAGTACTGCTGAGGAGTCTCACAATGGGACGAAACGGCCGTTCAGTACTTCTACTTTTTCCATGGCGGTCTAGCTTCAAATGACTCATAATCTCAACTACAAAAATACACAGAATGTTGTTAGCGTAAATTTATCTACCAAAATATTTTAAGTGTAAATTGTATTATTTCTCCAAGAGATTGGAAAACGATTTCTTTAATTGAATCATAGTTGTTATAAATTTTTACTAGAAATCATTCAAAGGAAATCAGTTTTTCTACATTCCTTTCAGCCTTCTAAAATATCACATAGAAAGCTTACCGATATGAGACACTCCAATGTTTATTTCTATTTATTTCAAAAAACTGAACAGTAAAAGGTTATTCTGGACCTCTCAATAGTGATTAGGTGGTTGAAACGTGGCTTTTAGGCGTCCCCATACCTAGGTTTCGTGCAATTTGCTGGTCATCAGGAATAGTTACCTATAATCTTGGAGTAGCTTGTGATCCTTGATGGGTTTAATGTCAAACCATTCATTTTCATTTTCTGAGACATTACCACTGAGCTACTCAAGCCTTGACTGACCTATGGGACTGAGGTACTATAACTGATTAATCATTATCGATCAACACTAGAGGATTAATCAAAAATGGTGTTGGTCATTATTCAGTGATCGGTTTACTGGATTAACTATTGATTGAATTACTTCAATGTGAATTTCTGTAACACATATTTTGCACATTACACTATTATTGTAGTATGTAATGAATTCCTATCACTGATAATCGTTTTGTTTATGATTTATATTCTTTTCTTCTAGTGACTTTATTTGACGCTCATCATTAGAAACACTACTTAATCGGTTAAAATTTACTGTAACCAATGGTCATTAGGAATTTTCAGATTTATTAGGTTACATCTTTCACCCATTTCAGACTTATTTATTACAATATAATAGAACCATTGTTGTTTATGCTTGAATTTAAGCATTATATTATTTTGTGTCTAATTTTGATGAAACGTATCGAAAAACGATATTAATAGATTTGTAAATCGGTATACCATAACCACAGAAATAAAAAATATTGTTCAATGTAATTATCAGCTATAATCTTACTTAATCGCTCAAATATGGATTTATGTATAGATTTATTTTATGAGCTACCATAGCACAACAGTGTTTCCATTAAGTCCGATAATACAAAATACTCGAGAATTTATACGTTCTTCAAAACTGTACAGTAGATACCATGACGGTTTAAGTTTAAGTTTGTAAAGGATAGGGAGCTAGGTGGCCTGTGTTAGTCTTGGCAATGATAGTCTCTCAGTCGATCCAACTTTCTATTGAAAAAGTCGACAGATAGAAATTTAATCACGTGTTGATTTAATGAATTACATTTAATGGGAAAGTCAATAATCAGCTTACAAGTAATTTTCCCTGGGCTTGTGAACTGTTTGGAGTGTCCTTGTAAATTTCTTGTTCTGGGAGACTAGAAAAATGAGGGCGTATCAGATGGAAATTTATCACTAAGTAATTTAAAGTCTGTGATCACGTCGCCTCTGGTTCTTCAATATGAAATAGGTTTGCTTAGCCAGTCGAGCATCAGACGGGAGCTTTTCTATTACGGAAATCAGCTTAATTACGGTTCTTTCAACCTTTTCCAAACTCTCACTGTCTCTTTTTAGGCAGGTATTAGCCGCTTGTATCCAGTACCCCAGCTTAGGATGCACGAATACTGTATACAAAGTCAAAAATTGTTTAGCATAGACATGACTAATGGCCCTACGCATTGATCATAGGGTTCTAAAACCTTTGGCGGCTATCGCACTGCAGTCTGCAGTAGTTTTTAAGTCTTTGCTAACAATGACTCTTAAGTCATTGTATGTCTGGACAACAGTGATAACTTCTGAAATTTAAATCTTTCAATAAATCATAATTTTTTAAGTTATTGAATTTTTCATACGACAAAACTTACTTACTTACTTACTTACGCCTGTTACTCCTCGTGAAGGAGCATAGGCCACTCACCAGAATTCTCCATCCAACCCTGTCCTGGGCAATCCTTTCTAGCTCCATCCAGTTGTAATTCATCGTTTTCATATCTACTTCTATTATCCGACGTAATGTGTTCTTTGGCCTTCCTCTTTTTCGCTTCCCTTCAGAATTCCAAGTTAGGGCTTGTCTCGTGATGCAGTTTGATGATTTGTGTAATGTATGTCCTATCCATTTCCATCGTCTTTTCCTAATTTCTCCTTCAGTTGGAAGCTGGTTTGTTCTCTCCCACAAAAGGCTATTGCTGATGGTATCCGGTCAATGGATGTTGAGTATCTTGTGTAGACAGCTATTTATAAATACTTGTGTCTTCTTGATGGTGGTTGTTGTAGTTCTCCAAGTTTCAGCTCCATACAGTAGAACTGTCTTGACGTTCGTATTGAAGATTCTCACTTTGATATTGGTTGAAAGTTGTTTTGAGTTCCATACGACAAAAGTCTGGACAATATTTACAACATCGTACTTCCAGTATTTAGGTACCGGTGTGTTTTTCTGAACACGGTAAAAAATTTTTTTAACTGAATCAAACATTCTAATGTGACTACTAGCTAATATTTCATTGATTTAGAAATGACCAAATATATATAATAACTATTTAAGTAACCAATAATCAATCCA